CCAACAAGTTGCCCCCGCTTCTGCCAGCCTTGCCTCACCCCTGGCTTTGGGGAGGGGGGGGGTTTCTTTGACAAAGCCCCATCGAAGCCACCACTTTGTCTTGTTGATCGATCCCGGGAATCTGGTTGTCAGGTTGGACATAGCTCCAACATGGATCCAAGATGAGCTTCAGCTGCTGACTCTGGGTCAGGCACATCTTGCGGATGCCCTGGTGCTGAGGGGGCGGAATACGCCGCATAGCGGTATCAATGCTATCCGATAATTTGCCTCTCCAGCATCTTACTTCGTGTAAAACCGGAACATGCGGATGCATTCACAGAGCAGAGAAAAAAAATGCGATAACGCGCTCTTCTGATAGCCAATCCGCAAACCTGAAATGTTGTCATTTCCGCACGATACGCAAGACCTCTCCTAGATGCTACGTGACGTTCCTGCGGCATCGCCGACAAGAACGCCATCTCCCACGTTGTTCCTGTCCCCAGAGATGTGGCCCAATGATATGGTGTGTCCCTGCTTGGGTGGCCCCACCTGGCACCAAGCATCTGTGAGCTCGGTGCCATCGGATGCCGGAAAGCTTCACGCGCCAGCAAACCGAGGACGTTAGCAAGTGTCAGGGGTGTGATGCCAAGCCATTGTTGCCCCCTCGTCCTCGTCACACCGGGTTCGCTATCATGGGACGTGATATGCTCCTTGAATTAGTCCGACAAACGTCCTAACCCCCATTTCGAGTTTGGCTTGTGTCGATACCGCAGCTAAATAATGGCAGGTTTACTTCGCTGAAGGCATCGATCATCAAATTCAGTGCAGTTCGTTACGAAGGCGCACATTGAGTTGTATGGTGAGGAGTGTTTCCTCCCTCGCGGACTTTCGGAACTCTTCCGGTTTCGGCGGAAGAGGACGACATCAAAGAAGCCATTGTGGTTGGCCGCACACCTATGGATCAGGTTACCCACCCAAGTAAAAGTTAACATAGGCATTGTCTGCGAAATACAACTAGGTTGATACAGATCCAGAGCCCTTTGATTATGCCCCAAGTCCCTGACCAGGCAATACCTCCATACGGAGCCTTCAAACAAGAGATTTGCAGATGGTCATCGTTCAAAGCATCATTTGGGGCAGGTGCGATGATCAATTGCGCTTTAGTTACCTAAATAAAGGCATTTGATCGCCCTGAAGCCGCCAGCATCGAGCTTTTTAGGTCTGCTTATACCGTGGGTGCTGAACCGTACTTTAACCAGATAAGATTTCGAGGACATTACTGGTTGCGGACATAACACCAACACGACTCCGTGCCTCTGTGCTTTTGGAAGAGAATTGCATTGCCCCTGCCAAGGAGTCCACCTGCCAGAGAATCTTCAACCACAACTTGTCAGGAGACAACTCAGGAAGCAGGGGATAGTAAAAGCTCAAGTAAGAAGTCGGGGGAACTGCCCCGGGAGCTGACCGAATCGAATTGCTACGTAATACTTTTGTCGGAAGACTTCTCTCTACAGCATATGACCCATCCCATAAAGTGTGATAACCAACGTCTCTTCTATAGACGTTGCACAATCACAACCATAACAGCATCAAATGTTTCGCTTCGTGGGTTACCCAGACTTTTCGTCAGCAACCTGGCTCAGCAATCTGGGCAAACTTTATTTTCATGGGAGTAGCCAGGCCAGGGCATCAAAGCGGCTTGGTCGTTGTCGCTGGCTGGGCCCAGCAGCCGACCAACCGACCGAGCGATCGACAACGTTGAGTGTCCAGGGGTCATCTCCAGGTGTGCTGTGCAGGATAGCGTGATGGGGAACTGACCAGGTGTTGGCGATGCGATCGATGGAGCTCATCAGTTACTTCAACCCTGGTTTTGACCAGGGGCCCAGTCGTGATCCAAACCAGGGCATGCCAAGATATCAGATGTGGCGACGTTCCATCAACGTCATTGCATGAGAAAGCTGTCTGGCAGTAAGACAGTGTATGTTTCAAAGAACGGAATTCTGTTGATACAGAGCCAGTGCTTTTGACCCAGTGTTTTGGGACTATCCGGTGTTTTGTGCGCATTGCATTTCTGTGGGTATGTCCAATTTATTGGTCCTCTAACCGCCATATCACATCGAGAAGATAGAGTTACCGCCCCTCACCCACCTCACCTGCTCAGCTGAGGCTCACAAGGCTTGAATCAAGAAAACTTAAAACTTGATGTGAGTTGGACAACCTGCGGTGCTGATGGGGGGGGTCCCAAAAAATTCCGTAATCATTAATTATGGAACCCTTCTGCGTGACAGACCAGCGAAACTTACCTGCCTATTGTACACAAGCTGACTGCAGAATATCTATATCCAACATTCAAAGGTGTGTCTACCACCAACTGAACCCACTACAGTACGGCAACCCGATATGACAACTCGGTGAGGGAGTTACAGAAGTGTACATGCTCCGGCCCGAGAGTTGAGAAGCCTGCCGATCTTCCCTCTGATGCCCAGGCTCTGCCCCCTTCCCCCCCCCCCCCGGCCCCTTTCTTCTTCCCTCCCCTAGCGTCCCCAGGATCCAAGAACCCGCATCTCTCCCCCCCCTCCCCCTGCACACAGTGCAGCGAGTGAAAGGCGGGCAACAGCAGGAACATCACCAATAGCTGCTAGTCAACCCCAAAGCTAACTGCCGAATCTATGAAACATGCAGTTGTGAGACTGTTGTAGGAGGTGGATCTTTGATGCTGGTAAAGGTGATGAGCTTATCCTGTCATGTTGCAGGTTTCGGATGATGAAAGGAATATCTTGCTGCTTCTCTCTCCGCTGGGATGTGTGTCTTAGACATTGATGGGGCTGACAAGGTCATGGGATATGCTCAATGGGCTTGCTGAGTTGTGCAATAAATTTATTGAGATGGATACAGCATGGTCTGTGCCTGCTCACTGCGATGGTGAGTGAGATGAAGTCACTGGCTTCATTAGCGTTGCTGAGACTAGTGTTGTGGTGTTCAAGGGAGCCCATATTGAGCCACAATCATCGAATATATGAGAAACCTTTCCAGGAAGTTGCCCATATTCCCATAGAACCAAGACCTCTTACTATGCTTTTTCCAACTTTATCCTATGATATTGCTTTCTTGAAGATGCCACTATATGAATGAACTAGCCCCCATTTTCCAGAGCAGGGAGTAAGGAGATGATGGATGTGAACTATACGTTGACATTTTGACTATTTTAAGACTTTTGACCACATGTGCAACAATCTGCTCACACAATACGAGCGTCTGCGTTACTTGTGAAGAGGCGGGAACAGATAATTGCCTTCTGCAGTGAAGCCGATGAGGATCAACTGCGGGAATGACGGCATTGATATTACATGATCCTTTAGGCAGACAAATCTAGTACTTGGCCGTTAAAATATTTTTCAATATCAATGTCAGTTAAGATAGGGATGTTCTGTGTTACCATCGTTAGGGAGAGTACCGGTCATGGAATACATAACAACGTTCCGTTAACAAGGTGAAAAGATCACTATATGCTGTTTACAGCATGAGACCTTTCCGCTTAAGTAAACGCAAGCATTCATCATTGAACCAACATGGACCCAATCCGTACAACAGTTTGTTTCAAAATCGGTGTATATATCAGCAAAAGAATTGGCTACTTTATTAAACAACCCCCCCACAGCTAAACCCCCCCCCCACCTCCCGTCATGCCTCAACTATTCCTGTCTAACTAACTAGCGAAATCGCGCCGTCACAACTGACAGAAACCGAAGCCTCTCAACGGTCTGGTCACAGCCCAGTCCAAACGGTTTTGATCAGGGCACTTGATGGACATAATGTTTGCTTGCTTGCTTCAAAGGTCAAGGCGTCAATCATGCAGATAGCAGGGAGGGGAAGCGAGCCGGCGCAGCTGCTTGCACGTTTTGCCGATGAAGCCGCTGCAAGGTCCGCTCAAGAACAAGGGACAAGAGAAACGATGGGAGGAAGGCGTGTGTTTGCTTATGGTTTACGTAGCTGCTGTTTTGTCATGGCCTTCCCGCTTGCCAACACCAATGAACGAACCACTTGGGGATCGGTGTTTGCCACTTCGAGGGTTCATTTCACCAGTCGGCAACTCCATTCCGAGGATACGAACGGAGCTGCTGCAGCACTCTGACCGTTTTCAAACAGTCATTAGTGGCGAGAAGAATAACCCTACTACTTCCTTCAGGCGCATAGTTCTCATCGTCGTCCATTAGAACCCATTCGGTGTGGTGTTTAATTCCCAGTACCCAAACAAGTGGCGTCTTCAGTACTGTCATCTGTTGGCAACAGCACACGCTGGCCCCTCCATATTAACAACACCGATCTCCGGCAGCAACACATCACACGTGGTACATTTTCTGGTATATCCAGGTAAACATAAACCTCGAAGCATGCAAAAGTCCCTTAAAACGGACGGTTCGGCGGGTGTTTCCTCTTTGGTGTGGTCCCTCCATGGGAAGTGTATCAGATCTTGGATGGAAGTTTGGTGAACGGTTTCAGCTCCAGATCGTTTCCATGGTGGAAAAGCTTCGATAACAATAAAGTGTGACGATTTGTCTTTTATCAAATCCTGTTGCCTAAAAATAGCGTGAAACACTAAGTCCTTCGTGGGTTGAAGGCGACTGGTTCGCTCAGGGAACACCTCGACTCAATTTTCCGCCATTCCTTACATATTAGATAAATGCAAAATGTAGGCAACTTCAGACATTGCGGGTCTGGGTTGGAGAAGAAAGGCCAATTCCATTAGATAAGGATGATTGCAAGGAAAGTTTGGACATAGGTATTAAAGAGGGACAGTCCATATCACTATGACGAGGGAATGTGCGGCTGGCATCTAACTACCAGGTTAATCTGTTGTCTTCAAATACGAAGACTCGTAGGAAGAACGTAGACATCAAAATAACAACAATCAATCCATTGAAATGTCCTTTTAGACCCCTTTACCCAATTAAATATATCCAAAACCTCATGAAATCACACTGTAAATAAATCATCAAGTCATGTTATCTTCATATCATTCCTCAATGAGGACGATGACCATGCCTCCTTGCCGCCGCGCGGGCCCCATAAGCATTCTCAACAGCCTCATCATCCGACGCTGCATACCTCGCCAAATCCCCACTTCTATGATGGCGGCGGATCTTATCCTCGGCATGCTCTCTCTGATCACGGTAGCGCTCCCGGTCCAGCTCGCGCTCTCTCTCCCTCTCACGATCTCTCTCCCCACGATCGCGATTTCGTTCACCTCGGTCACGCTCATCGTCTTCTTGTGCCTTGTCACTGCGACGGTGCTGGTGGCCCTTTCGGCGCTTCTTGTCGTCGGCGTTGTTGGTAGTGGTATCATCATCGCGTTCGTCGTTATCGCGGTCGCGATCGCGCTCCCGGGAGGCTTCGGCTGCGCGAAGCTCGCGCTCGTATTCCCGCCTGCGACGTTCTGTAGGGCATCGTGTTAGTAGACTGTAGAAATACCCAAACACAGTAGAGGGGATATATGCAGGCAACAGACCTCTAATCTGCATTGTAACAAACGCATACTGTTGAATCTCCTCCCTAGTGAGAACACGCAGGACGATGACGAAGTCATCGCGAATCTCGAAGCGTTCCTTGCCCATGCGAAGGGCTTCCGGGTTAACCAGCTTGCGGCTGATCTTGGTCCAGCGAGCACCCGGCGGCACATTGGCTTGTTTGGCTTTGTCATCCTTGTGAGGAGCAACGCCCTCCCGGATGGGAGCAGGGTCTTCGGGGAAGTGGGCACGAGGTTGCTTCAAGATGCCCTTGAGAGGCTTCTTCTCGGGCTCTTTCGGCGGAGTGACCAATCGTACTTGCTTCTCAATCTTCTCCGGCTTCTCAGGCGTGGAGGGAGTCTCGTTCTCCTTCTTGGAGCCGGCGGCATTCGCATCCTCGGTCTTCTCAGACCTGCTTTCTGTAGAGGGCTCTTTAGCAGGAGACTCATCTTTGCCAGCCTCCTTATCCTTTGGCGTCTCCTTTTCCTTCTCCCTGGCAGCTTCCTTTTCCTTTTCTAGTTCTTTCTCCTTCTTCTCCTTTTCCGCCTCCTTTTCCTTCTCTTTCTCATTCCCCTTTTCTTTCTCCTTTTCCTGCTCCTTCTCCTTTTCTTTCTCCTTTTCCCTCTCCTTCTCCTTTTCTCTTTCTTTCTCCTTCTCCTTTTCTCTCTCTTTCTCCTTCTCCTTCTCCTTTTCCTTTTCCCTTTCACTTTCCCTCTCTTTCTCCCTCTCCCTCTCCCTCTCCCTCTCCCTCTCCCTCTCCTTCTCACGTTCTCTTTTCCTTCTCCTCTTCTCTCTCTCTCTTTCTCTTTCCCTCTCTCTCTCCTTATCCTTTACCCTCTCCCTCTCCTTCTCATTACCCTCCTTATCCATCATTAAAGCTGCCAGCTTCGCCTTCACCTCCTCCAAAACAGTAGGATCGTTAGGATTGAACGATGCCGAGCGAGGGCGTCTACGAATTTTCGACCTAGCATCGTCCCTCCCAAGCGAGCGCTCTCTCGTCGACACGACGCTCTTCGAGTCTCCCTTCGGTTCCGGCAATGGCAGCGGTGGGCGATCCGGTGACCTACCATCCCGCGGATGCTCAATGATTTCATAATCTTCATCGCTAAGCATGGGATCTTTCCTCTGACTGGACTTGATGGACCGTGGCGGAGAGACATCATCCTTACCCTTCCCATCTTTCCCTTTGTCTCTGTCGCGGACTCTGCTGTCGCGCTCATCCTCCGACGAGTACCTCGAGTCCTTCCGGATGCGGACAATGTCGTCGTCCTCGTCGTAGTCGCGAAGTCTTCTGCGTTCACGATCGTCGGGCTCGTACCGGACAATCTCCAGGTCATCGTCGTCCGACCTCCTCCGCCCGACGTAGCTCCTTGTCTCGTCCCTGTACTTGCGTGGGTCCTCGTAGGTCACGGCGTCTAACCAGTCATCGACGTAGGCCGGGCCAGTGCTCCGGATCCCAAAGCCGCGCGAGATGACATTGTCGTCATGGAAGTACTCCCTGTCATGCTCTCGGTGATCCCAGAAGTCTTCATACCAGTAAGGGTCATCATGGTAACGAGGGTGAGACGCAGCGCGATTGTGTTCGTCAGGAGGACTTCGGGGAGCCTCAATCAGATCAAAGCGGCGTCTGTCAGAGTCAAGAGGATCAGCTGGGGGCAGAGAAATTCGAGAGCCAGCAGTCTGGTAGACTCGATTTGCTTTATCCACATCCCATGGCGGAGGGGGTCCGCGAGCCCGTCTCTCTGCAGGGTCATATGCACGAGTCACATCGGTGTTGATGCTGACTGTTGGGCGGTAATAGCGCTCGAAGTTTTCACGACGGAGCTTGTTTGGACGATCATGGTCCAAATCATATCTAGCAAGGTCGCTGGGCTTAGTATACTCGTAGTAGACCTCGTCATCGAGGTCCAGCGCATTCGGACGGTAATGTGAAGCGGGGTACACGGGCGGGGGACGGGCAGCACGGTAGGTATCGCCAAGACGCTGGGTTCTGTCTCTCAGACGCTGGATATCATCGTCGTCCAAGATCGGACTGAAAGTGGACTGGGCATCTCGACCACGAGGGATGGAAGAAGCAGGAACGGCATAGTACTCGTCGCTGGCACGGTAGGGATCGCGTGTTGGGCTGCTCGATCTGGGATTCGAAGGAGGAGGGGCCTGCTTGGCAGTGACGATGACGGGGCGTTGGGGTTTGGCATCACGGGTGTGGTGGGGACGAACAGCAGTGTCATTAACGTTAATGGTCGTGGTTCTCGGCAGCGTTTCCTTCCTTGTGGCATAAGTAGTCGGGGCAGATGGAGGGGGAGCAGTGCGATAGTCGTCCGCTGGACGAGGCCCAAGGCCCTCGTGGTGAGAGGCCGACATAGTGTGTAAGTCGCCGGGGTAGAGCGGGGTGTAGCCGCCAGGCGTGACTGGCATGGATGCCCTTGCAGGATTGTAGACGGGAGGAGAGCGTTCACGCCTTGCGGCGTTGTCGGGGTATCTGTAAACTCTGGCTGGATCGGTCATCTTTGCGTTCTCAGGCCCGTCGGGGCCAAAAATCTTTTTTTCTGAGGCTTTTCTCTGAATTTCGAACCCAACGGTGGCTCTTGGCGCAGGTCGTCGGCGCTTGTTTGGACGAAAGCAATCGAAAATCGAAGCAGGACGAGACGCAAAAGTGTGGAACAAGAGATAAAGAAGGGCTTGTCACGCCAACAAGGCTACAGACAACAAAAAATGACCAAAATGTGGAAGAAGTGGTGACGAGTCGGCGACAAGCCCACATGCAAAGCAGAAAGAGGTGAGGGCTGTGACTCTGTGAGCCTAAGGCGGGTTGTTGGTCTGGGGCGCAGCGGGGGAGGGGCTCGGGGTCGGGCCCACCCTTTCGAGAGCACAAGGGCAGGCGGGGTCAATATCTCTGATAAAGTGAAAACACTCAAACGATAATAGCGGGGTAACAAGGCAACCACCCAGGTAGGACGAAACGTTCTGGAATCTTGGAAGCCTCGCCCCCTTGCGGCCTGGCGCAGGTAAAGTGGCATGTTAAAAAGCATCATGGGCCATTCTGACAATTGACTGCAAAATGCAGAGGACGTGACAACACATCGATTGTCCAGGTCTGGGAATGTTGTGGTTGTGGTCGGGTCATGCGTCAACGCGAAAAACGCTTCCAGAGTATTTTGTGCAAAGCTGTCTTCCATACCTAAACCGTTGCTTCAGCTCTCGGAGCTGCTTGTTCACCGGGAATTTTCGACGAGGCCCCCGGACCTCTTCCACCGACAGGCCAGTGGCATTTTGTCTGTTCGCTGTTCTCTCCTTTTGTCCCACAACCCAAAGTCAATCATTAGATGAACCACGGTTTGCAAGTGGGGTTGTTTTCTGCCCAATGTTGTCATTCCTCCCATCTGCCCATCAATCTAGAATTCTCCAGACTCCCAATTGCCATTAAGCTTCCTTAAGCTGTGATTCATCCCCAACCGGCTCCGACATGGCATTTCTCTGTTATCGGTCCAGCTCAATCTGTCCTCCAACCATAGTTGATGGCCATATCCCGCAGCTCCGAATTCATCCGGTTTGTTGCAATGGACATGGACCAGCAAGGAGCAAGGTAGGCTGCAAGTGCTCTTGTGCTTGTGCGCCCCGGGAATGTCCCTCTGGCGTGCAATCGTGCATATGAAGAAGCCGGCTGCTTCGGTAGCCTTGTTTTGGTCCCGGTCGTTGATTCAATTACCATAAGCATGGATGCATAGGCGTAGATAGGACACACGACAATGGTAGTCTTTACATTCAACTTCCAGCTTCATGCCACATCTTCGTGAGCGTGGCAAATGGGTAGTAATACGGACAATTTTGGTGTATATGCGTTGACCCGTTCTTTGAGCTACGAGGCTGAAGAGGACAGGTTCGTCAATTGTGATATCTATAGCAAAACGGACATGAATCGATTACCCAACTTCTATGTTCTGCATCAATTACATCAGCATGTTCTTAGAAGTCGGGCAAGCCTTTACTACAAATAATGTTTATCAGATTTATTGCTATTGTTGCTAGATCTGGTAAATTGTATGCAGCCTCTGTAAGCTCCACTGAGCGTTATCCCGTACTCAACCCAGTCCTGTGCCCTCTATCTCCGAACCCGATATTTTGTGTGTCTCTCGACAGAAATTGATGAGTGGCAGAAAGCTGAAGCCCCGTTACACCACCGCCGATCACCATCATCGTTACTACTACTACCTCAACACAGGAACAAGGCGCCCTTGCCGCCTCAATCCTATCATTGGAAGAACCAAACTGACATTACTCACTGCAAAGCGTGACCAACAAGTAGGATAGGCAGAAGTAGCACACGAAAGCCAAGCATCCAGTTATAGCCAATCAACCACTTTAGTGGACTGATTGACCAGCAAAGGTCGGTGAAGCGGTCATCTATCTCTTCCTCCCTTCATCCCACCCACCACCCGCCATGTGAGCCCAGATTCATCCAGCCACTTGGATACATATGGGCGAGGGAATAAGCCATCGGGCACCGACGAAGGAGAAAAGCAATAAGCAATCATCGATACCCAACCCACGAGTGCCCGTGCTCCCACACTCATGAGTCCAGCCATGCACACAGACACGCTCATTCATCGATGGCTTGCTTCCTTGCTTGCGTGAGTCTTTCAGCCGTGCCATCCATCCACACAAACTTCGTATGCGGCCAGCCTGCCTATGCAACATCCCACGCAACCACACCATTCGCGTTCCAACCGGCAAGCAGCACCTATGCTCCCGATTGGACGCAGTTCAACATGTTGCAGACCGGACTTGGTTAAAGCATGAAGAGATCATCCGCGCGCAGACGCAGAGCAGAGTCACGGCAACCCTGGCAACCTAGTGTATGTATGTAGCGCAGGTAGGCCATTGGTAGGCAGGGAGGAGAAACTCGGAAAAGTGTCAAAAGATGCAAGCCGGGGAGTGTGGACATGTGACTCCGCAAGGCCACTAAACTGAGACATTGCCATGCTCTGGATCGGAGCAAGTGGCGGAGAGATCACGGGTTTGCAAAAATTATTCCAATTGATATAGTGATTCATTTATGCGCATCATTAATATCTGAAGGTTAGCTATAGAAGATATGACAAAGGGCTTCATTGGATGAGGCTAACAGTTGGTGACATGAGCAGCTACAATGAGAAAACACATTGTGCCTACAGCTCTTGCGAGCAATGATCGAGAAGCATCGTTACAGACCTGAACAATCATTCAGTTAGGTCGAGTATTCTGAAGTTGCAGTTTGTATCATCAAGGGCAACGGGGAGGTAGACAAAGCATGAGCATGTTCAAATTGAATAGAAGCCCGCTCAAGCGGCACAAGGAGAACGGCAGGAGTATTCTATCATACTTCGAAGACTCGGTCAGCGGAAAGGACTAATTGAAGTACAGAATTGACCTGGCTACGATATGCTATAACGAAAAGGACTGGCAATATCACACTCATCATTAGGACCATGGTTTATAGCCATGAAGATCCATCCATTACATTCATATACAGTAGTACTACCTGACATGAAAGCCCGTCATAACCCTTCGAGATAACACGCGAGCCATATCCAAGAGCCTTGGCCGGCTACCCGACTAAAAATTGACAAATATTGACCAGACAGGGAAGCGAAACAGGAGACAAAGATACAACGCGAGACCACGACATCATATCCATGCCCGTTGCGCTTACAGACGGGAGCCGTGGACAACCTTCATATCGACAGCCATCTCGCGGCCGTGGTCGGAGACGACCAGGACGCGGACGGAACCGCGGCCAGACTCAAAGGCCTTCTTGAGGCGACCCCAGAGGTTGCTCTGGTCGATGACAGGCAGGTTCTGCTTGACATCGCCGGTCTCGGTCATGGCGACGATGGTACCATCATCGCGCATGTCGAGGACGCGGTACTGCTTGAAGACAGGGCCGAGCATGGTCTGAACGACGACGCTCGGTGCCGGGTTGGAGACGAAAGAGGACTCCTCATGGAGCTGCTTGGTGAAGAGGTCGACACCCAGGTAGCGGTGCTGGCCGGTGGCAGCCGAAGTCGAGATGCGGATGACCTGGCAGGGGCGGCCCTGGAGGATCAGGATGTCGCCGAGGCGGATGTGGTGGCACGGGATGGTGACGGTGTTGGGGGGGCGGGGAGCCTCGCCAGGGGCGGGAGCGCGACGGGGCTCACCGAGCTCAACGCCGGCAGCGTGGCCTTCAGGATGGGCAATCTTGTCAGCCAACTTGTGCAAACCCTTTTGCAGACCATCGCGGAAGGAGTGGTAGCGGCCTGGGGGAAAGGGGCTGGCGTGAGCATGATACTCACACACACGCTCATGAGGGTGGGGGATGGAGTGTGCTAAAGGTCAATGGCACAAGCGTGTGCCGTGCGATTTGAATTGCAAGAACGTGGATTGTGTTACTTACCCTGCTCGTCGAAGTAACCCATTTTGGATTTCTTGGAGCTAACGCGGGAAGAAGTCTCGACGGTTTCCTCGATGAGGTCGGCCTTCAATTGAGGCTTCTTAGGAGGACGGGGCGGGTCTACGGTAGTAGAGTCGGCTACAGTGACCGTAGTCTCCTTGTGAACCTTCTGGGTGGAAGGTGCGTCGACGGTGAACTCGACGACGGACTTGGGGTCCTTGGGGAAGGTAGGGAACTTGGTAAGTTCGACGGTGGTGCCCTCGACGTGGGAAGAGCTGGCCTTATGGGTTGCGGACTTGAACTCAGTGCCGTCGACAGTAGTGCCGGTCACAGAGAAGTCCTTGCGGTAGTTGGGCTGGAAGCGTGCGCGGTACTCGCTCTCAGCAACGTCAATGGCAGAGCCGATGTGGCTTTGGCGGTCGACCTCTACCCGAGTCTCGGTATGGGTGTGGGTGTGGGTGTGTGTGTGAGAAGACTGAGGACTGGATAGAGGGAGAAGAGGCTTTTTGTCAGTGGACTGAGGAATGGAAGAGGTGCGAGAGGGAAGAGAGCGGACGCCTTTAGAATGTATGGACGCGTGTGTTTTGATCCCCCTGGCCCCCCGTCGCTTGGCCAACCCAGCCAACCCAGCCACCCCAGGACCCAGCCGTCAGGCGTGCTTGGCAGTGGGGCCTGACATGGGTGGGAGCGGCCCTAGATGGAGCTATTCCCTGCTGAAAAGGCGGGGAGAGGGGACAGGGGGGTGTGAGAAAAAAAAAGAGAGGGAGGCTGGGGAGGTGTGATGGGGACCGAGACCCATGGGAACTCTGGGGGGACCCGTGGGAAGCACAGCCGAACGAAGCCCCCAGAGCCCCAAATTGTCCCAAAACAACCACAAGACTGGTTCAGCTGAGAAAGTAAACAAAAGGCCACACTTACCGATGATGTTCGTGAAACTCCTCGTGGATAGCGTGGGCTTCCTGGATGCCGGGACGGTGGTGCTTTTCCTCTTCCCGGGTGACCTTGACTTCCGTTACCTCCTCCTTGGCGTGGACCTCTGGCTGGGGAGCCGGGGCAGGCGGAGGGGGAGGAGGGAGGTGAGCGTGGACTTCGATTGAAGAGGCTTGACCTTTCCGTCCGGCCTTCTCGGGAACCTTGATCTCAACCTCTGTGTGGGTAGCCTGGGCGGTCTGGGTCGCGGTCTCGCTCTCCCTGTAGGCTGAAGGGAAGACGCTGAAAGGGACCGGAACACGCGCCTCAAAATCCAGCTTGACGGCTTGTTACAGGCGCGAGAGGCAGTCTTCTCTTACACCTTCCGACTGGTACCAGACGAAAGGTGGAACAGAAGATCCCTCTTGCTTCTTTTCCGACAAAGAAGTTCGATGGAAAAGACGAGATGAGAAGGCGGTCTAACTAGACGACCCGGCCTTCTGTAGCTCGGAGTTTTCGATCGAAACTCGCAGGGGAAAAGAGGATGGAGAAAGCGCGTAAGCCTGTGAGTGGACAGACGACGCTGGCGGTTGTTGCAGGACTGGGGGAAAAAGAGCTCCAGACACAGCTGAACGAGCGAGGGGCTTCAAATACGCGATCGGGCGGAGTGTTTCCGGGTCGAGGGGACAGGCACAGACACAAGCACGGGAGACACACAATCTGGGCATCTGAGCAGCACTGGGGCAGCGTGGGAACCGTGGGAACAATGGGAAGTGCGGGCAGCATGCAAAACCCGCGGGCGCCTGGAAACCATCTGCTCCGTCTGCTCCGTCTGTTTTTTGTCCGAGGAGGTTGGAGGAGGTTGGCGCTGGCGGGGGCTGGCCCAGGGGGACATGTCCAATGAGACGTGTCCAATCGCTGTGCGGCAGACATTGCCGGTGTCGATTGGCATCGATTTGCATCCATGGGTCTCGATTGGTCTCGATTGGCTCTGCAAGGCGACGACGCAGGTCTGGCCAAACAATGTCCCAAGCAGGGAAAGACAAGGAAGACAACAGCTTCACCACCTCGTGTCCGCGCCTCTCTGCCAGGTCGCCTGCGAGATGTCTCCTGCACGTCTGCCAGCAGACGGGAGCAAGCGGCAGCCGGGCGGGAGCAGCAGCAGCGAAAAACTTCAGCCGGCTCCATCGCGGCCGTCTGTTTACCATCTGTGGGGTCTGATTGTGTTTACCCCTCGCAGAATGGGCTTAGCGCGACGCGCCTTCGACTCCACAAGGCAGGCCTCAGGTGCCCCTGTTGGTTGCTTTCTCCTGTTTAAGAAAGGGGGGGGGGTGTGTGTCGAATTTGTGTCCCGTAGGATCTTGGGTGTTTCCAAGCTTTCTCGACCCTCCTTGGGCCGTCTCTAAGGGTGCCCGCGTCCCGCTTTTTTTGAGCTAGCGGCTGGTCAGTTGCGAGCTGAAGCAGGCTCCTCCACTCGTGTGGCAACAAAGTCACCTTGCTGACAGCCGAAAACCAGCTCTCAAAGCTCCCAGCTTCCAGATCCAGCCTCCCTCGATCTGGGAGTATGAACGGCATGAAGCTTGCTCGAAGCATGGGATTTGCATGATTTGGTAGCGGTGGTACCATTGGGGTTTGTGGCCAGCACCAAGGCAGGAGGTTCGACTGGCTACGCTTCGAGCCAGCGTTTCAGGGAAAACCGCCATGGCGCGCCTCGCAATTTCTGCCAAACAGCCGCGCGCGCGCGCACAGCTCGAAAAAAGCCAGCTGGGCTTGCCGGAGCTCGCGATAACTGGGGTGGTTGGGAGGTGGCCGGTCACACCCCTGTACCCCTGTTGAGTTGCAGCAGCAGAATCTGCGGGCTGGGGAGAGATCAACGGCGATTCGGAAGGCCCATTGGTTGTCTGCGTTTCTTGCGCTACCAACCTCTCAGCGATCCCCGGATCGAGCTGTCGCTACTGTGTAGCAGTCGCTCCCCCAGAAGGCCCAAAATTCCAGCCTTTCCTGTCTGCTTTGGTCTGCCACCACAGCCTGAATCGAATTGCAATTTTGTTTGCGTGTCCCTAGCAGAGTTCGAGAATCATTGTGATTGGGGCTTGACGGCGTATCCAGCCTCCCATTCGCTCGTTTTAGTTGGCCTGATGCAGGGCCAAGGAAACCAGAAGTGATCCAAAACGGCAAGGAACCCTTGGCTGCTTGTCAGATAAGCGCTGATTCGCTTCGGCGCTACGGTGTCGGCATGTGCGTGTCATCCGGCTGAGCGATCACCGGTCAAAAAGACAGCTGGATCGTGGACCTGCCGAGGCCTTGAGTGGCCCCGTCGCACACGGCCACACGCCTCTCGGCTCTCCCTTCGGCCCAGCACGCCATCGCAGAGTTGCCATAGCAACGGAAAACAGCGGTCTTCTGTCGGAAGCCGCTATTGCCTTGGCCGTCAGGAGAACGGAAGAGTCCGGACCTTCCGGCGGACGAGAAGCCGAGCAAGGCTGCTTCGGAGCCGGCAGTTCACGTGCCTGGCGAGCTGAACTTTGGGTCTGGCTCCTGGGTCACCGACTGTCGTTCCGGGGTCTTCACCGACCGACGTGCTGTGTCGATTCCGCCATTTCGCGGTCTCCGGAGCTAGCACGACGGCCAGATCGGGACTTCACAAGCTGGCACGTGTCAGAATTTACCGGCTTTATCGGGAAGGTATCCAGAAGGGCTATAGGTTTGCAGGAGACACGTCAAGAGCTGGCCCATCCTGAGAATCCTCTCTGTACGCAATATTGCGTCTGAGGGACCAAGAGTCGAGCACGTTTTAGCATCCTGAGGCCCGATGTACTTTCGGATGTGGTTTGGGTCCCAGTTGGCGCGAGGTTGTTGGAACTGTTAGCCTCTTCCAGTTAAACTGCCATGCTGGCGATCGAGTCAGCCTACGACAGCTGCTTCTTGGACAGACGGAAATCGTGGGGCTGAGGACACAACATGCCTCGGCTCAAAGGTAATTCCCACGCGGGTAGCTCATCCATCAAAGCTGGTAGGAATTGCTGCCCGACCGAGTTATCATTTGTATGATCATGATGCTGTGTCGTCTTGGAAATGCATAAGTCGTCGCAATGTGTTGCCTTGGTGGAACATCAAAGGCTGTTGAGCTGCCGAGATTGACCTTCTGGTCTTACTGTGGTAGCCCTCATGGCTCCTTTAAACTCCGTCCCAGCTTCGGCACTCTTTGCATTCTAAGAATCCAGTGAAAATACTGATAATTATAAGAAGTCGCATCCTGTCAAGATGTCATGAAGCCTTCAAATTCAATCTCTTGATGTTTTTGGGAATTGTTCACTGTGTTGTTAAGGCAAAGCTGGTGGACCTCGGTGTTGCTTGTGGCACCTGAAAGGCTTAGGGCTGATATAGTCGATGGCATAGCGTATACGACCTGAGGAGGCGAGTCCATGATATCCGAGTGCTGCAGCATTGAAAATAGCAAAAATCAAGCTTTGTTGCATTCCCTGCATTGTTTGAGAAATTGATTGTTGTAGGCCGTACCGTGATGTGTGTGCAGAATGCTTCCTGGGATTTTGTGGATGGCAGAGCCCTCTGCTGCTTAGAATGCGGGGCATATGCTGCGAATCCGCCCCACCTTCTTTTTTGAGCTCGCCGGTGCCCCACCATATGATGGTATCGCGACGTTGAGCCTCCGACTTCGAGAGTCGATGGGAATGAAGGCATAACATTTTGTAACGGGCTGATTGCTGCTGCAACTCAAGACCACAAAGATGAAGCAGAGATTCTCATCGCTAGATGTCAAGGTATGAAGCATTCACAGTCAGAAGCGCTGTTCCGGCTTGCTTCCTGGCCGTTTTTTTTTTTTTTTTTAGAACGCCGCCAACATTTTTGTTCTGCCCCTCATCTCTGTCCCCGAGACTGACTGACATCTGCTCTGTCAGGTCATTGCGCACGAGCTCTCCGAAGTGCTCGTGTCTTTGCGTCTTTCTAATATCTACGACCTCAACTCCAAGATCCTCCTGCTCAAGTTCGCCAAACCAGACTGCCGACGACAGCTCCTCATCGAGTCTGGCTTCCGCTGCCACTTGACAGACTTTGCCCGCACCGCCGCACCTGCTCCCAGCGCCTTCGTCGCACGCTTGCGCAAGTTCCTCAAGACTCGTCGCGTTACAAGGATTTCGCAGATCGGCACAGACCGCATCATCGAGTTTCAGTTTAGCGATGGCGCATATCGTTTGTATCTGGAGTTCTTTGCCAGCGGCAACGTTATCTTGACTGATGCCGACTTGAAGATTCTTGCTCTGCTCCGAAATGTTCCTGAAGGAGAGGGACAGGAACCTCAGCGGGTTGGCTTGACATACAGGCTTGATAACAGGCAAAACTATGGAGGAGTCCCTGCCTTGACAAGGGAGCGTCTACGGACTGCTCTCCAGACGGCGGTAGAGCAAGCAGTAAAGAAACCTAGCAAGAAAAAGGCTGCCGACGAGCTCAGGAGGGGATTGGCCACGACTATTACCGAATTGCCGCCTGTATTGGTTGACCATGTCTTTCAGCTCAACAAGTTCGACTCCACTGTCAAGCCCCTTGAGGTACTGAAAAACGAGGATTTGTTCGAGAGTTTGTTCAAAGCTTTGGAACAAGGCCGAGCCATCTTGGACGAAATTACAAGTTCTCCTGTCTTGAAGGGTTACATCATCGCCAAGCCAAATCCTCATGCACAGGAACAGGCTTCGGAAGGTGGTGAGGCCCCAAATGGCAAAGCGTCGAGCTTGCTGTATGAAGACTTCCAGCCGTTTCTGCCAAAGCAGTTCGAGGAGGACCCTAACTTGGAGGTCCTAACTTTCGATGGTTTTAATAAAACGGTTGACGAGTTCTTTTCTTCATTAGAGGGCCAAAAGCTCCAGTCACGGTTACAAGAACGCGAGGCTACAGCCAAGAAGAAGCTCGAAGCTGCTCGCCAGGATCAAGCAAAGAGGATTGAAGGCCTCCAAGAGGCCCAGGTTCTGAACTTGCGCAAGGCCGCAGCTATAGAAGCAAACATTGAGCGTGTTCAAGAAGCCATGGATGCCGTCAATGGTCTTTTGCAACAAGGCATGGATTGGGTAGACATCAACAAGCTGGTGGAACGGGAGCAGAAGCTACACAATCCCGTCGCAGAGATCATCAAGCTGCCCATGAGATTGCACGAGAACATTATTACCCTGCTTCTTGGCGAAGAGGAAGAAGAAGGACCAGAGGACGAAGAGATGGACTTCGAGTACGATACCGACGAAGAAGCTGCCAATGATCCCCAGCCCGAAAAGGCCAAGGGGCCTGACAAGCGTCTGGCCGTGGACATCAATCTGAAGCTTAGCCCGTGGAACAACGCTCGCGAGTATTACGAGCAGAAGCGCTCTGCTGCCGACAAGGCACAGAAGACCATTCAGCAGGCTGAGATAGCACTCAAAAATGCCGAAATGAAGATCGCGAAGGATCTTAAAAAGGATTTGAAGCAAGAGAAGCCCATCCTTCAGCCTATTAGGCAGCAGCTATGGTTCGAGAAGTTCATTTGGTTCATCTCGTCCGATGGCTACCTTGTTTTGGGCGGTCGAGATGCACAGCAGAACGAAATCTTGTACAAGCGGTACTTCAAGAAAGGCGATGTTTTTGTCCACTCCGATGTGAAGGGGGCGGCTACTGTCATCATCAAGAACGACCCGAAGACCCCTGATGCTCCCATTCCGCCAGCAACTCTGACTCAAGCCGGCTGTTTGTCTGTGTGCTGCTCCAGTGCCTGGGATTCGAAGGCAGCGATGGGCGCCTGGTGGGTAACTGCTGACAAGGTCTCCAAGTTGGGGCCCACTGGCGACCCGATGCCTGAAGGTACCTTTATGATCAACGGGGAGCGCAATCCCTTGGAGCCTCCGAAGCTTCTCCTCGGCTTTGGCTTGCTCTTCAAGGTTTCTGAGGAGAGCAAGGTTAAGCATGTGAAACATAGCTTGTACGGCGGTGATGATCGTGCTGAGAGCACTACTGAGGCTCCACTTAAAATGTCTACGGACAAGGAGGATGGTACCAAAGAGACAGGGGAAGCAGCCGAGGAGGTTAAGACAGGTTCTCAAGAAGAGCAGGTTTCACAGGATGTCTTGCCAGAAAAGGAAGAAAGCAGTGACGAGGATGAAGATGATGCCGACCAGAAGAGGAGCAATCCATTGCAGTCAATGAAGACCAAGACGGAGCCAACAGAGATGCAGCAGGATCCTCCATCAGAAGAGCTCTCACGCCTCCAAGTTTCTGACGATCAGTTTTCTTCGGAAGAGCAACCACAAGCTGCCCCCGAAGGAGACGTCGAAGCTGGAGACTCCCAACAACCAAAGCAAGACAGCAGCAGTCCAGAACAGCAACGGGAAGAAGAAAAGGAAAAGGATGAAGACGATGCCAATCAAGAAGAACAAGATTCCACACAATCCTCCACCGGTGTAGTAACCCCTTCCTCGACCAAGCCCCAACAACATCCCCCGAAACCCAAACAAGGCCCCCCCAAACGCGGGCAACGCGGCAAAGCCAAGAAAATTGCTGCCAAATACCGCCACCAAGACGAAGAAGACCGCGCCCTGATGGAAGAACTCCTCGGCGTGGCCGCGGCCAAGGCCAAGCGTGAAGCAGAAGCGGCCGCCAAAGCCAAGCGCGAGGCCGAGCTCGCCGCTGCCCTCGAGCGCAAGAAGGCCGCGCAAGAGCGCGCCCGGCGACAGATCGCTGAGCACGAGGCGCGCAGACAGAAGATTCTGCGAGAGAACATCGACAATGAGGATGACGGTGCCGACGCGGTGATGGACTTGCGCGTGCTGGAATCGTTGGTCGGCACACCGCTTCCGGGGGATGAGATTCTCGAGGTTGTCCCGGTATGCGCGCCGTGGCAGGCGCTGGGCAAAGTGAAGTACAAGGCGAAGATACAGCCGGGGATGGCGAAGAAGGGGAAGGCGGTTAAGGATATTGTGGAGAGGTGGCGGACGGCGGCAGGGAAGAAGGGCGTTGTCGATGAGAAGGCGCAGGATCCGGAACGGATGTGGCCCAGGGAGGTGGAACTTATCCGGGGTATGAGGGTTGAGGAGGCGTTTAATGTTGTGCCGGTGTCGAAGGTGGCTATTGAGTTGTCTGGCGGGCTGGCGGTTGCTGGTGGCAGTGGTGGGAGTAAGGGAGGGGGCAAAGGGGGTTCAGGAGGTGGAGGAGGACAGAAGGGAGGGAAAGGAGGTAAGGGAGGTAAAGGAGGTAAGAGATAAGCTTGGGCGGGAATACTGTGTCTATGGCATAGAACGTCATCAGTTCTTGCAATCTACGACTCACTGCCTCCCTTGCCACGTTATTAGACATTTATGGTTTATTATTAAACGGATCAAGATATGTGTGTGCCCTTGGGGGGCTTCTGCAACAAATCGAAAAGGGGGGCAGGACAACAAGTAATATGAGATCCGTCCCGGATTCCATAGAGCCTTCGTTCGCGTTATTTATGTGCGAGAGAAGCCTGGAGCTGTTTCGGGACGAATCGACGTCCCATTCATATGCTCATTGTGCTACCTACTCCTGTTTCTGCTGCATTAAGGAGAACGATTTCACCCCCCACTAGCCATTTGCAGCAAAACCTTCCCTCTTCCTATCATGTCTATTCATACAGCCTGTCGTCTATGTGACCCAATATTGTGGCATGTATGTTGACCTTGCCAGATGATATTGACTCGAACCAATCTATTAGCGAGCCTTCTTAGACTCCTTGCCTTTCTTGGACCCTTTAGCACCAGGCTGGATACGTGCCATCATCTCCTCCTTGGTGATCAAGTGATCGATGCGCTCTAACAAACCGAGCAGGCTCTTCATGTTGTAGCTCCACTCGTTGAGGATGTCGTCAGCATCACGAGGCTTAGCGAAGCTCACGATGCGAGCAGGTCGGTCAATCTTCGCGTAGATAGTCTTCGACGTGACGAGCTCGCTGATATACTTCTCCGTCTCGTCTTCCGTCAGATCGAGCAGCTGCGTCAGCCGGTCCATACGGATGCGCGTGTAGTAGCGCGCCACCACGCGCACGTTGTGCTCAATGACGCGCTTGCGCAGATCCTGCCACCTCTCGAACGCCTTATCGTCGGGCGACTGCCCAGGAGCGGCGTCGAAGACGTCGGTGCTGAGCAAGTGCGGCCCGAATACCTTCGACACCTCCGGCCACCGCATCAGCTCGTGGACAGTAAACAACTTCAGAAGCTCAGCATCCTCGGGAACCATGGCATTCCGAGGCTCTTTGCTGATTCTATGCAGGAGATCATGTTGTTCGTTGTCATGCGGTGCGAGAATGACGAACCAGATGATCCTTTGCAGCGTCTGCGGGCTAGGTCAGTCTCAGGGAACATCCAAAGCACTTCTGGGGGTCCATACCGCGCGCAGCTTCTCCGGGTCTTGCTCTACAGTCTCCGTGTCCAGCACTTGCCTATAGTGCTTGCATACATCCAGGTACCGGCCGTCGTGCTTGGCCAGGGTGATCTGCTGGCTGTAATACTGGAGCTTGAGCTCCTCGAGGTCCTCCTCTTCCGTCGGAGCCTCCTCCTCCTCTGGCTTGGGCTTCTTCTCGCGCTCCTTCTTCTCTTTCTCGAGCTGCTCGGGTGTCTTCTTGGGCTTCCGCGCCAAGTAACGGGTGCTGATCTTACGGCTGAGAATGCCGGCCTGTGTCCAGTCCCCAATCTCAATGCAGAGCGCTACCTGTGCTAGGATGAACTCGACCTTCTCGCGTCGGGACATAGACCCGAAGGTTTCGACTTGGAGCTCGCAGAGCGTGTCGGTGGCGGCCCTTAAGTCGCCCTGCTGCTTCTTGATGTCGGAGAGGATCTTAGTCACACGGGCACGCTCAACTTCGACGAAGATCTTGCCCTCGGTGACTGTGCGGAGAGTCTCAATAACAGAGAGCTTGGTCTCCATGTTTGGTGTCTCGTCCAAAAAGCCCATGACGGTCTGGACCATCTTGGTGATGGCCTGCTTGAGCTGGCCATGCTTCTTGGAAAGCACCAGGGTCTGATCGTTGAGAAGGCCCCAATCGCCGGCATTCTTGCAAAGGGTGACAATGGTAATCAAGACGCGTGATGTCGTGGCGAGGTCGGAGGCCTGGCGAGCCTGCTTCTCGAGTACCGCGAGCTTCTCGATGGCAGCATGGAGGTCTTTCTACGCAACAAAGCATCAGACTTTTGGTTCAGAATGCAGTTTGGGTTGTAAGAGAAACAAGTAGTACCTTTGCAAGCTGCTCAGCCTCGGGAATCAGCTTGTCGGCCTCCTTCGAGTAGTCCTTCTCGGGCTTCAATGCTGCGTCCGCCATGGTGGTTTGATGGTCCAGCAGCGCGGTTTGGATTGGTGTTAGTTGTTTTATTGAGTGACTTTATCTGCGCCCGAGATGCGTACAGGTACGTAGTCCTGCGGGGGAGGGGCAGCGGAGCGCAAGGTAGCTGTAAAGTCGTCGAGGTAGGTTGGCTTGAGGTCTCGGTTGGGGTTGCTTCAGCGCATCACAGTGCAAGGCGCCCAAGCGCGCAAGGCCCACGTCAGTTCGGTCTCTGCCTGTTGCTTCTGAGATCCCACAAGGCTACGAAGCTGGCAGCTGCAAGGCTGAAGCCCAATGCGGGGTCCAGACTTGTTGACCCCACTAGGAGTTACGCCTCATTACTGAGCCACATGTAGTTCCATGTACCCAAAAAATCTTGTGGGGCTCACGAGCTCTGACCAGCTGAGCGAATAGCCCAGAACCCGCCGTCTCTGTTCTGTCTTAACTGAGATCCACAAGAATCTGGCCCAGAAGCATGAAGCAACCTAAAAGCCTGAAGCGAGAGCGGCGAACCCCAACCAAAATGCCAAAGTGTCTAACCAGCCACCTCACGGACGTCTTGGCTTTTGATAGAGCAACCTGCCAATGCTTGGTTCTTTTGGTCCATTCAGCCTTTAAGCGTGACTGTGTTCCTTCAAGACCCAGGTAGACCGGCAGAGATTGACATGAAGTCAAAGCTCTCCCACTTCAAAAACTCCAAAACTGAACCACGGGCAAACGCAACCTGGCAGCAGCATGACGAAATCCAGCAGATACCGAAACTGCATGCGATAGCCTTTGGCAAAGGCTTGCAGTTTTTTAATCATACTGTATACTGTAATGCTAGGCAGGTAGCCTGGAACGCAAGCTCACGGCGTGGCTTGCCATTCTTTCTGCTGTAATTCCCACGTGGGCAACCTTGCGGCTCCCCAGAAGCGAGGACCCCTTGTCGTAACCCTGACTCTCGGAAACAATACCGATGGCTCTGTGCTCTTCATTTCCAGAAGAACCTAAATGGAAATCCAATCGTGTCGGGTTACACTACTTGTACACTACAGGCTATTACCACCCTGTAGGCGTCTTCTTGTTCGTTTCCTGAATGGTACGCGCTTGCGCGTCTTTTTGTACAAAAATACCTACCTAGTCTCGACCATGGAAGGATCAGGTTCCTGGCTGATCAAAACCGGACTGTGGCCTGGAAGTAATGATAAGGTTTGGTGCATTAGCCTTATGATGCAGCGGCTTCCCTCTCGGTTCATGTGACCTGGAGTCCATCATCACAGAAAACCCCACGCTCGCCGTAAGAATTCTCGTGGCCAAGACTCGCACGACGCAACTCTTTCTTCTCTGCCCTGCCGGCTCAGGCCCAATCATCAGTGTTGTGAGCGTTGTGCTTTCAGGGGAGAGTTTGGGCTTGTAACCTTGCGCCGTTCATCCACTCCGCTAGCGTGGCCCTGGCCAGCGAGCGGACAAACCCTTCCCCCACTCTTCTGGACCCAATTTGAGCTTGGAGCCCGGACGTTTGATGAAGGAAGCTCCAAACCACCCAACCCCTTCATCATCAGATCCACCGCTGCAGGCAATCAGGCCCTCTTCTGGCTGCATCTCCTTTGCATTAATATCCGGGGACAAACGGATGATTTGCGCCTTGTGGGCCTTTTGAGACTTGGGATCCCGTTGCTTTGTGCTCCTGAGGTGCGTCGCGCTTTTGGTTGGGCGAGAGGGCCACAAGAGACGGCTAGACCTCGTCCTTGTCGAGCAAATCGAATCCTGTTCGTTGCCTTCGTCCGTGACAGGCACCGAACTCCGACATTGCTTGTCATCACGACCTTGCATCTCGATCTTCGCCCGCGAGGTTTCGGTGCTCGATTGATTCCCTATACAGAGTTCATCTAGCCTGGCCAAGGCCCCGGGGGACGCTGACATTCCGCCAATCGAAATCTCATTCGCATTTCGACATTGAGATCACTGGGGCTCATTCATTACCCTAGCGCTCTGCACGCGCGGCGTCGGATGCCCGCCCTCAGTTCGGGATTGGAGTGTTTGAGCCTCATCCTCAATGATCCGGACATTCTACTGCAGCTGTCGACTCGAACTCAGTAATTCTCGAATCCAGTGTCCTCCGTCAAGTGCAAGCTGAGCAAGAGATTCCTTCCATCGCCCTTCGATAGTTTGATTCGGTTATCGAGCATTGTTGCTATCGTTCCACAACCACCGGAGCCTGTGCTCCTAAACTCTTGCGCTATGGCGGACCAGCGAGCACTCAACGGATCGATTGGGGGAGTGTCTGTTACAGTGACCGAGCTGCAACCTCAATCGAATCCAAAGAAAAGGGGCAGGAGAGACGACGAGGTCTCCTCACCAACAGCAGTAGAATCTCTCCTGACCAACCCGGAAGGTTTGAAATCACCAATTGCCAGAGCTGTCTCGCCGCAACCTAGGACGAAAAGCCCGAGCACTGTTGCCCGACGCCCATCGTTCGCTGCCAACGCCGACGGTTCCATCCACTCACTACCAGAAAGCTCACCTTCCGTACCACCTTCCCTCCCTTCGGATCCGGTAACGACGTCAGTGTCTCGTCCATCATCTGTCGAGTCCGGCGGGGTGTCCACTGGCTACCCTTACTCGAACTCCCTTCCGGTGTCCGGCTCCCCAACCGTCGACACCAGCGGCTTGGATGATAATGCTAAACGGAAAAGTGCCAACTACCACGATGAAGAAGAGCACCAGGCGGCCCTAACTCAGGCGGAAGAAGGCACCATTGTCATCGACAGCGACGACCAAGGTACCGATGATGGCTATGAAACAGACGCCCATACAGCCGCTTCCACATCACTAGCTGAGAGTGTACGGGATTATGTGTGGGAGAACGGCCGCCGTTATCATCGTTTTCGTGAAGGGCGATACAACTTCCCGAATGACGATATTGAGTATGTAACTTCCTCTCGATTTGCTCTAGAAACGCTGTTCTCTGACTCAACATTCGCAACTTATAGACAACAGCGTGAAGACATGAAGCATGCCATGGTCAAACTGCTTTGCGGTAACCAACTATACTTCGCGCCCATTGGGGACAATCCTCATCAAATCCTGGACATTGGTACGGGCACCGGAATTTGGGCCATCGAAAGTAAGGGAGATGCGTGTCTGCAAAGCCTCAGTCATATAGCCTTGACTAACCGTGTCTCAAAGTGGGTGACTTATTCCCAAGCTCAAATATCCTCGGGATCGATCTAAGTCCCATTCAGCCAGAATGGATACCCCCCAATGTCCGCTTCATGGTAGATGACGTTGAGTACGTTGTCCCCACCTTCCGTTTGGTCCAAGCTAGGAGACAGTGCTAATAGTCGTCAAGGAGCCCGTGTGTACAATCGTTATCATAGACTACATGGTTTGCTGTATCACTGACATCTATCTTTGAAGGTGGCTCCATCCCCGTAATTACTTCGACTATGTCCACAGCCGACATACTGTGCAGGCCATCCAAGACTGGCCGAAACTGATGCGGCGGGTTCTTGAGTACGTCTTCTTTGTCCCCACCCCAGCCTCACCATACCATATCCGCTAACGTCTGTAGACACCTACGCCCAGGCGGCTGGTTTGAACTACAGGAGGTTTACCACTACCCCATTTCGCAGAACAACTCGATGTCGCCGGACCACCCAATAGCGAAGTACTGGGGTCTGATCAGCGAGGGCTTGGGCAGGCTGGGAGTCCCATTCTTTGCGGTGGCCAATGGGGGGTTGACCAACATGATGCGTGAATGCGGCTTTGTTAACGTTACCGAACGCGTCCTACAGATTCCGATCGGCACGTGGCCCAAGAACAAGGTACTGAAGACGGTTGGGCTTTACTGGAGGACTATCCTGCTGGACGGAATCCAGGCTATCGCGCTCGGCCCACTTACTCGGGGCCTCGGCTGGACCCGGGAGGAAGTGGAGTTATTCCTGGTTGACGTGCGCAGAGCCTACCAGGACAACAGCATATTGGCTTACATGCCGATGCATATCATTTATGGGCAGAAGCCTCTGAACTACTAGTACACGTGTACTAGATCCAGGGGAAGATGTTGAGTGCTGGGAGGGTGGGACAATGTTCATAGGGATGGATAGACATGGTTTGGATGTCCTGGATATTTTACGCTATGTAGATGGCTGGATTAGGGCTTTGGGATGACGAGATGATACCACTTTTGTAATTGACTTCTACCAGCAGTTTTAGCCTGGCATTGCTGTCGGATTCGCTACCGGAATCACCTGCTAAACTCAGTCAGGTATGACACAGATCATATGGATGTGCTTGGATAGCAACGTCTACAATATTTGGTACGCTTGGGAGGACATGGGGAGAAGATTCTGAGAAGTCATACATGAAATGCGCAGTCATGTTGCGTAAGTCAAGGCTCTGAAAGGATGTAGACGGCCAGCTGGATGGCTCCGCCGAAGAGGTAGGTTGTGCAATCCTAACATGTATCATTTGGACCTGGGAACATCATCAGGGGCTTGAGCGTCCATCCCGCATTCTCTTTGTGTTTTGCGATGGTGCCGAACTATCAGCCCCAGAACGCCACGGGGTGGTTAACCAATCAACGGTGCTATCCCTCGATATCCAGATGCAAGCATCGAGCGAGATCCAGCCATGCACGACCAAGGATGTTCGTGCGGCGGTCAAGCGGGGTCAGTGATGTTGATGATGATGATGATGATGATGATGATGATGATGATGATAGCCTGTTCCCAGGAGAGCGTTCCGTACACACGTAGATGTGCTAGGCAGCAGGTGTCAACCCAGTTTGTTTTCTTGGAACATCTCACTCCGCTGAATTTGCAGGACAGAAACCATGCGTAACTTTAGTGGGTGGGGTGCTGAAGTTCTCGACATGACAGCAAGGCTAAGGACGGCGGGAGCAGAATCCGGAGTCATAGAGAAGGACAAAGAAGGATTGTAGCGATGCGGCAGGAAAAACCGGCAGGACAGCTCCACCACAGACACCATGCGAACGCACAATTCCGTGATGAGCAGCGCGGCGATTCTTATGATCCCACAGTGCCACGATTGCCAAGTCCGGAAAGAGTTCAAGGTGCATACCACCATGCTGGGAAAGGCATGGTCGGCTGCCCAAAACATCGAAGGCATCGCAAAACCCCCGCTTTTGCGGTTTTAGCACAGCATGCACCAATCGGGGCACCTCATTAACTTCCGCGCCTGCCCCTCTTGGCGTTGATGCCGGCTGCTGATGGGGAAGGGCGCCCACATTTCCCGGTCTTCCTCCTGTGCTCCCTCCCCGCCCCACTCATCCACTTCTGGTTTGATTTCATGGTTTGATTTCATGCAGAAAGAGAGGAGCCCCGCCCCAGTTTTTCGTTGCCTCGTCTGCTCCCGTTTCCTCGTTTTTGGATATGCACGCGGCCGCGACGGCGCGCGAGGTCTGTAGCGTGGTGCCAAGCCTTGGAGCGCCAACGGCCCCAACACCAACGCCCACTTTGGGTCGATCTTCCCGGTTCAGATTGTGGAGTCAGACTGCCCCTTTTCTGACGACTATCCTCGTCCTCCTCGAACTTCTTGGGTGACGCTGGAAGAGGGTGACATCTCCGTCCATTTCTCCTTTCTGCGATGCAACATGGATTTTAAGGCATGAGTGAGGAAATGGATGTGTGTTGGAACTTGCCTCATGCCCGCAACCCAGAACCATGGGGGTGGTCTTATCCGGGGCAATCAGCCCGGCGACTGTTCCCTTGGTGTCGGCGACCAATGTCGACACCAAGCCAAAAGCTCCAGTATCTTGCCGATCGGTTGCTAACCTGCGGTCTCGGCTGGGGACCACTGAGTAGGTTGGCGAGGCCATGGATCCGCATTTGGCAGCTTCTCGCCCACCGTCCCGACAATGTCGAGGTATTGGCACACAATAGTCGATGCGAGAAGGGACACGGCGCCTTTTCCGTTATGCCCTGTGTATACCATGCAAAGTATCGCGTAGGCTTGGAAATTATAGCTAACAGAGAGATTGACGCCGCAGTTGCTATGGCAGGCATCTCTCGGACGCCGAACGGAGAACTGGAGCTGCTGCAAGGCACCTCGGCAGCGTGGGATTCCTGCACGCGCCGGCTGTTTGCACTTGTACGGTCTCCATGGACATGGGACGGGTCGTGGAGGATGCGTGGGACCATCCCATCCGTCAGTTGGACCCATCGTTCCGCCCAAGCGGAGCTTGTTGGCTTTCCAAACTCGTCCCCGGGCTTTTGGACCCCGTCTCACAGCGGGAGTGGCTTGGCTGCCCGTGATCCTGCGAGATACAAAACTCCCTCCCCCCAACACCGAGCTACATTCTAAGGGATACCTCAGCTTGGGATTGCTCTGTCGGTACCTCACTTTGCTCCTCATTCTCACGAACCATCTTGCCCTCCAGTTCTAGAGGTATGTATGCATGTGCCTTTGTGAAACACTATGATCCCACCAATTACATGCAGTACCATTGTGCCCTCCCCTTGCTGCATTCTCCCACTTTGTGCTCCCACGACTCTACCCGATCCAGCTGTCTGGGTCGGCGAGCTTCAACTGTTCCAGGTGTTCCTCTTACTATATGTGAGGGCAACCAACACGCTGTGTATTAATTCAGTATCCATTTTCTCTGACAAACTTTGGCTCAGCCAAAGTTTGATCGGACTGGATTGAGCCTTTCACTTTATTGTACTTCTGTTTTCAAACGCAAGAAGTTGAGACTTACACTTTTTCTACAACAGGCTCATACGGAGTCGACTGCTGCTTTGAGGTAGTCTGCGGTTTAAACTCGGGTTATTTGCTTCAGAATTAGCAGCTCTATTGGCCAGGTAAGTAACACAATGGGCCGAATATTATTCTTACATCTGTTCAAGATGTCATAATTTAGCCGCCTGGACTGTCTCAGCTGCAGCAAGCAGCCCGCAACGCTGAGGCTGGGGTTGATGATGTAGCGTATCTATCAGAACAGCTGCCAACATCACACAGCTGCACTTATTACGGCACTCTTTTATTTTGGGGCGTTCATAGCTAACCTCTCATCATGCCTCCAGACCCGGATTCACCTGACTTTTGGGGCCGAATTGTATTGAGCGTCAAGATGACCAAGAAGTTCAGGCTCAGCGCCATCTTCAATGGCACCAGCTCCAGCTCGCCTGCTGGGGATGAGGAGACCAAGAAGCAAAACCGCCGGTCTTTCTCGCTGGCCACTTCTCTCAAGAACCTGAGGGAGGGGAAGACCAAGTCAGAGTCTAGTTCCAACAGCAGCGACAGTACGGCCGAGGGCCAGTCAACGTCCCGCATGGCCGCTCTGGCCCAGCAGATCGCCCGGGATACTGAGAAGCTCGAGGCATATATGCGCGAGAACGACCTTCCCATCCCTACCAGTGACGTCGACTCGCCGTCTCAGTACCCTAAGCTCCCGGAAGATATTCAGCGTCTCAAGCAAGATATCATTGCTGCCACCAGGGAGCTCAACCGGCTGGCCCATGGGCCCCAGGAGTATCTGAGATGGGGAGTCTGGGCGGTGAGTATCCACTTCCCCTCTTGGGGGCTCAAACACGGAGCTGACATGACCGCAGTTCCTTGATGTCCTTGCTCTTACCATTATCAACCACTTCGGTATTGGTAAGTTCGAGGCGGCATCCTTACCTCTAAAGCCCTCTTGACACTAACATTCCCAGCTAAACTTTGGCCTCCCAATGAAACTATCACGCTCGCCGAGCTGCAGACCAAAACTACTCTTGACCCCATCAACTTGGCACGCGTTCTCCGCGCTGCCATGACCAATGGTATCTTCCGCGAGCCGGAGCCGGGCGTGATCGCACACACCGCGGCATCCCGGGCCCTTGCTGAAGATGACAACCTGCAGGCCTGGATCGGCTTTAACTGCGAAGACATCTTCCCGGCCTCCGCCCACGTCCTGCAGGCGCTCAAGGCGTTCCCGGAGGCCACGTCGCTCACGCGCGCCGGCTTCCAGTTCGCCTTCGACACTGTCGACCGCGAGCCCATGTTCGCCACGTTCGGCAAGGACCCGGCGCGTGCGCGCCGCATGGGCAAGGCCATGGTCAGCCTGACGGGCGGCGAGGGCTACGAGCCGAGCTACTTTGTTGATGTTGAGAAGGGCGGCTATGACTTTAGTGATCTTGACGCCAGAGGCGGCGTGTTTGTTGATGTCGGTGGCTCGCACGGCTTCATATGTGTTGAACTCGCTCAGCGTTACAAGAACATGAAGTTCGTGGTGCAGGATCTGCCGAAGACGATCGACACTGCGCCCAAGCCCATCCATTCTGATCCTCAGGTTGCTAGCCGCATTGAGTTGATGGCTCATGACTTCTTCACTGAGCAGACGGTCAAGGGCGCCGATGGTAAGCTGTCTCCTGCTTCCCTTCTCATACACGAGGATCACACTAACATGATCTCACGTTAGTGTACTACTTCCGTTGGATCATGCACAACTACTCAACTCCCTATGCGGTGCGCATCATCAAGAACCTGGTGCCGGCACTCAAGCCGGGCGCCCGTGTCCTAATCAATGACCACTGCTTGCGCGAGCCTGGCGCTGAGAACGCGTGGGACGAGCGTGTCATGCGCCATATGGACCTAGTCATGCTCACGCTGCTTAACGCCCAGGAGCGTACCGAGGATGAGTTCCGAGAGCTGTTCCGTGCAGCGGACGAGGGCTTCGTATTTAAGGTGGGAATCCTGTCTGTTCAAGGAATGTGTCATAGCTTATTGCTTACACGCTTGTTTATAGGGTGTTCGCAGAGCCCCTGGCTGCCGGATGAGCGTCATCGAGGCTGTCTGGAAGCCGGATGAAGTGGAGAAGGAGGAAGAAAAGAAGGACTGAGGCACGAACCCAAGGAGGATGAGACTGAAGCTGCTGAGCCGGCTCAGAACTAACCGTTATTAGAGCTTGGTGAGCAGTTGGATGCCAAACTCAACACCGTAATGCGGACATCTGGGAGATGGAAAGGTCTTTATTTCTGCTTTGTTCGATACCCAGTCGTTTTGGCCTTGGCTGTATTCCGTGTGTGATGCTAGTGAGACTGTACGCCCTCTATGAGCAATATATGACTTAATGTCTCTTCGCTCAGATGTTGGCTTTATCAATGATTTTTTGATATTGGTCACTTAACAGAGTCCATTTCAGAGAAGGTATGTAGGAGAATCCACGACTAGAAACCGGTGGTGAAGTGCGCGAGCTTCCCGGATGCGCGGTCACGTGCAAGTAGGCCTGGGCCTTTGATGCTTTACAGTGACATTTTCATGCCTGATAATTTAGACATCAACAACTGCTCTCTGGCCTTTTTTTTTTTTTTGTTGCTTTGCCGTGCTCGTCTCTCCGGCATCCTGCGGTTTACTCTTGCCGATAATCGTTGACCGTTTATACAGGTTCTGGATCATGGTAAGCGGGGATAATTGTTGCTGAACGGACATAAGAGGAAATCAAGCGGTGTCTTCAACGCTTCTGCAGCCTGTATCTGTAACTCTGTCTGCATGTCTCGCGGTGGGATGGTTCACGCAATTCAACGTTGAGTGGTTGTCCTGGAAGGGGAACCGATTGCTCGAAGCAGGCAAAAGCTCAATGAATGCGCTGTACGGCCGCGCAACCGGACGACCAAGCGGCCGATTGAATGTTCTCGAGCTACAATTGGCCTTAGGTCTTGGCACAAAATATGACAGATTATAAACGGTAGGAATATCAGCTGTTTGTTCCCGAGGGCGTCATCAATGCTGTCGGCTCCCGAGTCATTCAGGTTGAGTTTCTGCGCGATACCAGCACGCCCCACCACCACCCCCTGGCACGGCGTCAGATCCTGCTCTCTACGCAGATGCCATTGTCCATCCAGCTTCCAGTATGTTAATATGGCCGTCTGGCATTACTGGCAGATGCCGCAGCTGATGACGCTTTTCCCCAGGCAAACTGCATCGTGTATCAGAAGCGGCCACATGTGCGACGCACAGAGCGGGCAGCCACATCATGAACTGAGGGGCAGCTTGGACAGGGTCGCCGGATAGCTTCGCTCGTCCACTAATGTTAGTATATTGCGTCTGAGACCGAGGACAACAGGAGCCCTAGCTGGTCATACCGTGCCTTCTTGCCGGCCAACCAGCCAAAAGGCGCAGTGACGGTGAACGGGGACCCGAAGCTGACACGCCCTCGGCTCGGTTTTTTTCTCGGCCGAAGACCCCGAGATCGACTCCCGGGCATATATCTCTGTCGCTTGTCTGTTGACAAGTGTACAGTCTCTGAATCAAGAAACGTTCCGTTGACTTCAACCCGAGATAGCAGAGGTGTCAAGCCGAAAACTGGTCTCTGGCCATTTCCCTTTTCCAGATCGAGTGCCTCTCAGTCTGTTTGACATACTTCTTTTACGGCCGTCACACAATGCACAGCATCCGTCTTCACTCATTGTGCCTTGATGTGCTACTATCCTTGTGGAAACGTGCAGTTGTTGGCATCACCGCCAAAGCGAGATGCTTGGGTATCCCTCCTAGAGCGTCTCTGTCCTGCCGGCTTATGAATGAAAGCGAGACACATCTCGCCAAATACCGTCTGTCTCATGGATGTGCGGCTCGAGACGGGTTTCTCTAACAGGGCTTCAAGCACAGCCGTTGATATTCGTGAACGGGTCCCTTTGTTAAGGTCAACGGTGTCTCATATTTTGTCGACATTGGAGGATGCAATTCCGACCGCTTGGGCGCAGTCCAGCCCCCTCCGGCTACCTGGGTATAAAAATGTAACCCAGAGCCCATCTGGGTCGTTTATCTGGCTTTACTATCATTCAAGTGGTTCCTTGGCGAGCTAGATCTCTTGCCCATCATAAACAAGTCCGGAAACAAAGACAGTGTGCCCACATTCAAACTCATCTGTGGTTAACATATCACAGAGTAGAGTCCCCGTCGATCGACCGTCAGGATAAACTACCGTCGTTTCGGGATCAGAAAGTCACTTACGCAGGTGGTAGTCGACCGAGACTTCTTTTCTTTCGTCAAACTTGGCCTCCTCTGCTAGAAAAAACTCAGACTATCGACATGGCGGACAGAAGTCGAAAAGGGGACAATGAATTCCCCCCCCCGCCCCCTCCGGTCTTCCAACATGAGATGACGCCAATCACTAGACATCCATGCTCAAATTTCACTTTGCCCTATCCCAATCCTTCGCTATCAGAGATGATAGAAGATCTTCGAGCAGAGTCTATCAGCGATGAGTCACAATCACAAACCAAAGAACGCAGGACGTCGAGGCGGATACCTCTGCGGAGGGTGTTGTTGACCGTCATGTATGTATCTTTTGTTTAGAAGAGTTTACTGTAGACTGACGACGATCTTCCTGCTCCATAGTATATGTTTAGGCCTCATGTTCTCCTGTTTGGATGCCTCTATTGTTTCAACTGCTCTCATATCACTATCGGTAGAGCTTCAAAACTACCAAGACACACCTTGGACTGTCCTCGGCTATCTATTAACATATATGAGTGAGAATCAGCCCTATATCGCTCATCTCTAGCCAGTGTTGTACTCAACTCCAATATTTTCTTCATAGGTTTCGCCGTCGGCTTTTCCAAGCTGAGTGACGTCTATGGCCGCAAGAACGTACTCGCTGTATCTTGGTTACTGTTCACTCTTGGCTCTGTCTGGTGTGGATTTGCACGACACATGGGTGAACTGTACGTCTCCAGCTAACAGGCATGTTATCCCAGACCACTGACTAACACGGTTTGACGTCGACAGCATTGCTGGCCGAGCTGTCCAGGGGATAGGGGGGTCAGGCCTTTACAGCCTAGCTCAAGTCTGTCTCCTCGAGCAAGGTCCAAGCCGCCCAGAGGCTGTGGGCGCCCTTGTCGGCATTACTCTGTCCATATCGTTTGTCCTTGGCCCTCTGCTTGGGGGCGGCATATCCGAATGGAACTGGCGAGGGATCTTTTGGTTCAAGTCGGTGCTTCCACCAATCCACGCTCATGGGTCATACTAACAACACTGTCTTAGTATTCCATTTGGCATTTTAGCAGTGTTGGGTATCTATGCCTTATGGCCTAAAGATCGCAGAGATAGATGTGGGGGGCCGAACCCCCTCTCCACCATCGACTTCCTGGGCAATGCCTTGCTCGCTGTGGGCTCAATCCTTGTTGTTTTTGCGATGCAACAAGGAGGGTCCTATGTTTGGAGCTGGATGAGTCCTGTTATCTTAGGGTCACTTATCACCTCAGGGATGTGTTGGATATTGCTTGTTGGATGGGAAGGTTATCTCTTCCATCGGCGGAACCATCGCATCCAGCCAGTCTTCCCCGTTCACCTGGTTACTACACGAGTCTACATCCTAACATTGATGTACGACTGTTTCTACGTCTTATTTTCTGTGTATTTGACTGACTCCCTCACAGTGTCACCCTCCTTAGCGGCTTCGTCTACATCGCCCTGGTCATCAAAATCCCCGAACAACTGCAACTCATCCACGGGGATAATGCCCTCTGGGCAGGTGTGCACCTCCTCCCGATGCTCGGTGCATGTGCCTTCGGCTCCTTCCTAGGCGGCGCCCTCTCCAAGCAGTCTAACTTGACCAGCCAGACCCTCGTCGCAGGCAACGTCCTGCAGGTCGCTGGCCTGGCCGCAATTCTCGGCCTCTCCCATCGCAGCGACGACGGCGCGCTAGGCCTGCACCTGCTCCTGGGCTTGACGGCGCTTTATGGCCTGGGTGTTGGCCTCACTTTTGCTGCGTGCACCATGATTGCTGCAATTGAGGCTTGCGAGGGGGATTTGGCGGCTGCGCAGGGCGCTGTGGCGCAGGCGAGGGTATTTGGTGGTGCGCTGGGCCTGGCGACGTGTACAATTCTTTTCAGTGAACGGTTGCAGCGGGAGTTGGGGTCGAACGGGTCACTACTCGGTCGGGAGGAGCTGGCGCAGGTGCTTCGGAACTTGATGGCGGTGTTGAATCTGCCCGATGGGGTGCGGCATGAGGTTTTAACGGTTTATTTGAATGCTTTTGAGCAACAGATCATGATTATGACTGTGGTGGCTGTTGTTGCGTTGGTGCTGAGCCTTGGGACGTATAGGAGGTCGGGGCCGAGACAGGTGATTGGAGTGATGGTTAGGCATCAGGAGCTGGCAGCGGCAAGGACAAGAGGGGGAGACGATTCGTGGAGAAGGGGTGTGAAGGGTTCGGACGGCAGAATGCGTGGTGAGGCCGAGACATCCCCTCTCAGCAGCATAAGGCCCTTTATCCGCCAGTAGGAGTTGATTATGTATCTGCTTTGGAAGACGTATTGGTTCAGCTGCAGTTATTTTAGGGTAGCACAGCCTCGAGCCCCAGGGCTCTGACTTCGTTTTCCCCCGTTTCCAACCTTTCCCTACTTTCTATTACCTTCCCTGTTCTTGAAGCAACTGAACAACTTCATCCTTTGCTGGATCTTTCTCTCTTCTGATTTCCACAACAGTGTTATCTGAATTTCGAGCTACTCAACCAAGTGCAGCTTCCTGGAAAAAAGACCGGTCTCTCTGGCAACAAATGTCGGGGTCAGATAGCAAGGTTACAGTCCGTAGGCTGGGCTTTACAGTCCTTCATAACCCCAGGGACCCTGTTATGAGTATGCCCCCTTCCATAGCTAATATCCACACGACTCTTTGTAGTTATAAGATCAACAACTAACGAAGCTTACCTTAGTTTTGTTTTTATTCATAGGTTCACAGGACATCCTTGAAAGACTTGGACACGGAAGCCGTCACTAAAACAACGTAAGCAGGGTTTGAAAAAGTGCTTCTGGCTATATGATCTTGCAAGAAAAACATGGCTTGATGCTAGAATCCTGACCTATGGATATGATACAAATCTTGGCTTTCAGTTCTTTCGCCCACAAAAGCCCAACAAACGTGCATGGGCTTGCGAAAAGTCTTTTGAATGCACTTGCTAGGAAGCGTAGCGACCAGGAAAAGTCTCGACCCATCCTTTTCATCGCACATAGCTTGGGTGGGATCATCATAAAGCAAGCTCTGTTGCTCTCAAAGGAAAGCAGAGCAACAAACGAAGCTGATCTCCGCTCAATTTTTTCAATTAACGATTGGTATCATCTTTGGAACTCCTCATCAAGGAGTTGAGCCTAGAAAGCTTCACCTTGTTCTCCCACGGATCGCTCGACTGATTGGGATTCAATTCCCGGAGCATATTGTCGATGCCTCCAGACCACGAGCTGATCTTTTGCAATCATTGTTCACGAGCTTTAGGTGCCTGATTCAGGAAAACAGTTAGCTCATCTTTCCTTCCAGGAAGAATATGAGGTTGGTGGTTATGGCAAAATTGTTGAGGATAATTCGTCTTCCCTGGGCGTTGTCGGACTCGAGAGGACGGACTATATTGCAAGAAACCACATGGGCATGTGTCGCTTCTATGGCACTGAGAATCCAGAATGGGAGAAAGTCACACATGCCATCAACTGGATCATTAAATCTACCAAGTTGGCGATGCGCACAATTGGTGACCAACATGACCAGTCTGATCTGTATGATGCTACTGCTGGGCACGAGTCAGTTCCGTCATCTTCTGATCTTCAGCGACAACAACCAAATTCCACAGCAACACAAAAACCAGGAACAGCAGAGGAAGAGGAAATTAACCATGATAAGGCTGGAAGAGAAACAGCCGTTGAAAGTCATGATGAGTAACCAGTCACAAAGTACACATGGCCTCACACACCCAGCCAGAAAAGCCAAACCACTTAACCTCATCACAATCACACGCCAGATACCATGCAATGATCCCGGGATATATCATAGAAAAAGCACTGGATGGTCTGTATTTTACCGAGATTGAGCAACGTCGTCTCAATTTGTCTACTGCCAAAAAGGGAACATGCACATGGTTCCACCAAATTTCACGATACAAAGATTGGTGTGATCCCGAACCGGTTAACCTTGTCATCATCTTCACTAAGATGCATTTGGATAATCTTATCAAAGTCTGTCCTGCACGGCGCTTCTGCTTTGAGACCTATCCTTATTATGGTTCACCCTTTGCCGCGGCAATGTTTCCTTACAGCGATGACAAGAACTTGAAAACAATTAAAGTAACTGCTCACGCGTGAGGGACCTACGCTTTGTCTGGATGCCGATACAAGCTGGCACTTTATAAACATCATGGATAAGACAAATGTCCTGCCTGGTTTTCACCAGGGAGGGAACATTGGAAGGACCGAGTTCGTGTTATGCTTAGCATGAACAAACGAGCCATTGAGTTTGTCATTGATTTCATAGGTTCGATGCAACCGCTGGCGTGCCTTCTTGACTCGACTGACGAAGCTGATGGTCGCTTCTCTTCCATGCAATTGAATGTATAGATCTGAGTCTTGTAGCAAAACTGCTCAGCGCAGGCGCCTCCGTCACTTTGATCGACCATAGAACCGGACTCTGCTTACTTGGGTTTTTGACAGCACTGTCAGCGGAACACTAAAGGAAATTGCGAAGCTTCTACTAGAAAAGGTCGCGAAACTGGCTGAACCCGAGAAGGAACACATTATCAACTTAGAGGATGTCAATGGTATAACACCGCTCCATCTAGCATGCTATTTAGGTGATGAGGAGCTAGTCTAGCGCCTACTTCAGCTTGGAGCTTATAACATTAGGCATATCCAGCTCAACGATCAATGTGACAGGCCTGGAGATATGAGGCATAGTTTTCAGATCTACCCCATTATGAAAGAAGAGGTTCCGTGGGATCCTAATCTTATTGTTCAAGTACAATGTTATTATGATCAATGCACCAGATGGCAAGGGACAAACGCTACTTACTAGGGCTTGTGCGTATGGAAACAAAGAAGTAACCTGGCTGCTTGATCACGATGCATTAATCGACTGGATTGATAACGATGGCAGAACCCCTTTATTCTATGCAGCCAAGCGGGCCAGATTACCTTTCATCAAACTGCTTGTTGAGCAAGGCGCCTGTATAAATCTGACCTTTGATGTGAACCATCAATCTCCACTTGGGACCCGCAGGATCAAATCAGGCGCTGTGGACGACAAGGATAAGATCGCTAAATATCTTCTAGGAAAGGGGCTTTACCAAATTGCAAAGGCCATCCACCGGAGTTCAGGGTGATGAAGGAAGAGAAGTTGGAAGATGGCAGTGTGAGAGTGAGAGTCCAACTTACCGGTGATGGAGTGAGGCAATCAGAGCTCTCCATTGCCTATGACAAACGCCTAAGCCTTATCAATTTCGCCGCTGATTGGGGGAGTGTGGATAATATACGAAGACTGCTCAACAATGGCACAGACGTCACTGAGCAGAATGAGGACAGGAGGATGTCCCTTCATCTAGCCGCACAGAGAGGTCTTACCCAAGCCGTCACCTACTTGCTGGAGAGAGGGGCACATATCATTTCCAGGGACAACAAAGGAAGAACTGCTCTGTGGTACGCTTGTTATGGGGTCCATTTGAACCTTGTGAAGCTCTTTCTCGAGAAAGGTGCCGACAGCACAGTTGTGGACAACTCTGGATATACAGCGCTTCATGCCGCTATGTCAGGATTTAGTCCTCACCATCACCATCACACAGATCCATCAGATGCTAGATCTGATGTGTGGCAGTCGTGAGAGATCAGCATGGAAAATCTGCGCTGTGGTACAGCATCCAGGGTCTGCTTGAAGAGGTAACGCAAATGTTGCTCAAAAAAGATGTGAGTATGGATGTGTTAGACGAGAGGGGTATGACTATTTTACACTTGGCAGCCAGAAAAAATCTCAGTGGAATCACAAAACGTTTGCTCCAAGCAGGGGCAGACATCGATGAAACCGATAAAGAGGGAACTACGGCCTTGTTGCATGCTTATAAATAGGGCTGTGAGAACGCCGTGAGATTACTACTCGAGCAAGGCGCAGATATTAACGCAAAAGACAATAGGGGAGGACGCCCTTATTACTGGCTTGTGGCAAAAGACATGGTGAGGTTGCGAGATTATTACTAGAGCATGGGGCAGATCCAATGGTCATGGACAACAAGGCACACACCGCATTGCATGCCGCTGTGGGAAAGAACCCAGTTACCACCAGGCCTGACATAGTCAAGGCATTGCTCGAAAGAGGCGCCGATATCAATTCTAGAGATTACAGGGGAAGGACGCCACTGTTTGAAGCTTGTAAACATGACCTTGGGCCCATCATGCAAGTCTTGTTGGACCATGGTGCCGATGTTAGGATTGCAGACCGAGGAGGGAGAACACCCATGCACGAGGCCGTACTGCGTTATAGCAATATCCAGGTCAAACGGATGTTGCTTGAGAAGGGAGCGGATGTCAATGTACATGATAAACAGGACAGATCAGCGCTTTGGTATGCCGGTAAACGAGGATACGAAGATCTCCGGTTGTTGCTCAAAATGGTGGAAATCCAAACAGCAGAGATCATAAATGGATGGCAGTCTTGCATGCAGCTGCGGCACATGGTAATGTTGCTATTATCGAGCTTCTTCTCGATGCCGGGTCAGCCATTGATTCAAGAGATAACAGCAACCGATCAGCCTTGTGGTATTCTTGCATTGAGGACAATTTTAAAACTACAAAGTTATTGATTGATAGGACGCTGATCTTGGAAGTATCACGGAAGCGGACGACATGGGATGGACAATTTTACATAGCATGGCATCAAAATCCACTCGTCCACGACCCGAACCGCCGTCGGCCATACATCTCGACCTTGAGACGGACGTCGTAAGTTTTTTGATCAAGGATGACATTGGAATTGAGATTGATACGAAGGATAACAGTGGCAGAACTGCACTTTGGCTTGCGGGTGCACATCATAATTTCTCAGTCCTGAAGAAACTCCTGGAACGGGAGGCTGATGAGAAGAGTATAAACAACAGAGATAAAAAAGGGCGATCAGTGTTACATGCCTGCATTCTAGCAATGAGATACGAGGACATCGAGTGTGTGAACCTATTCCTTGAGCTAGGAGTCGAAGTTGATGCGACCGATAACCTTGGGTGAACGGCTTTGTGGTATGCTGGGAAAAGAGGGTGGAAAAAAGTGGAGAAGATGTTGCTGGATGCTGGTGTAAACGAAGCGAAAAGGTATTCAGAAACTGGTGTCAGGAACGAAGAGGAAAATCTGGGTGGCCTCAGTTCTGATGAGTCAATTTTACGAGGTGAGTATTTTGGAGTATGGCTTCAGCTCTAGCGAGTCCGCTTACGAGGAGGATAATTCGGAGTATGGCTCCAGCTTTAGAGAGTCAACTTTGGAGGAAAGTGTGGATGACTCCAACTCTAGCGAGTACACTTGCGAGGAGGATAATTCGGAGTATGGCTCCAGCTCTAGAGAGTCAACTTCGGAGGAGGACAGTGTAAATGACTCCAGCTCTGGGGAGTCACTTGAGGAAACAGAATGGCAACTTGAACCTGAACTGTGATGAAGTCATATTGCAAGAGTAAAAACAGTTGTAATTTATTTTTGGTGTTATGATAGCTTCACAAATTAGAAAACCAATACCTTGTGACGCAACGAATACTTGCGAGAGCAGAGTTCTAATGACAAGAAGCCTAAAACAAGAAAAGAAACAAGACGGTTGGTGACTTGGCCTCATTTGTGAGTATGTGCACGGAATTCTCAATGACAGACATTTGATTAGTTACCGATATATTGATCTACTTTATCATTCAGAAATGCCGCGATGGTTCTTTGGGTTCTCATCACCCATCAGCAATATCCTAACCACGGGCACGGCTTCGTCAGGGGTAGTCAACATGAACACTTCGTCACCACGGCAACCTTAGAGTGCACATTTGAGTGGTCCGTGCTCAGCTGGACAGGCTACCTGGAAACCTTCCAAGCAATGTCGGCCGCAGATAGGAACTAGAGCTTCTCGAGCATTTGGGTACTCTAACCTTGCGTATCAAGATTCAAACATCATGATGTCCTCAACCGCAGCATCTCTGGACCGTCTACGGCCGACACCAAGCTACGGACTAGGCGGAACCTTCACCATCACATGCTCCACCCGCATCGCTGCCTCCCCGCAGGCCTGCCTCAGTGTCGTCACTAACTCTGCTGGATGTATGTGCTAGGTCCTTTTCCAAAACGCAACTCAGTTAAAGCCTTGACATTATCAACAGTCATCATCCCAAGAAACAACCTCCTTTCGTAACGCCAACCTCTTCCTCTTCAACCCCTTTCTCTCTTCTCCCCCCCACCCCCAAAAACCAGATCCTCTCTCCGTCGTGTTGTGACCCTTCAAACACCAAGCCTCACCTCAACTAACACAACCCAACCTATGTAACCAAAACAGATCCCTTATGGAACCGCTTCTGCCGCGCCTGCACAATCGACTACCAACCTCCCGGCAACAGCAGCGATACCAACCCTGCATACGCCAACCATGATCTCACTCTCCGTCTAGGCACACACTTCACCTTTGACGTATACCTCGACCCGGACGAGCCGCTCAACAATGACGACAGCGCTGGCACCAGCAGCGGCGGGGACATCTTCTCAGGAATCACTAGCCTGGCCAAGCGGGATGCGACATCACTGGAAGTAAGTGTTCTGGAGGAGTTTGACGAGGAAGTCGACGTCGAGGTTGAGGGTGGTGAGGGTCCCGGACAGAAAGTCCGGAAGCGGAGGAAGGGCTGGAGGATTGCGTGGCGGACGCGGGGGAGCTGGGCTCGGCCGACGTGGATGTTAAAGAGTGAGAGGGTGCAGGAGTTTGCGGAAGTTGGGGAGGGGGAGACGGAGTATGTTACGTGGGAGACATTTTATGGGCCTTTGGCACCAGTTGTAAAGGCTCTGGTGGGGGTTAAGGTTGCTAGGGGATTTGAGGCTTGGGCAGAGGGGCTGAAGGGGGCTGTTGAGAAGTGAGGGGTTTCTTTGTTTTGGGGGGGGGGTGTTGTTGGGTTTAGGAGGGGTTGAGAACTGTAGGTATGTCTACGAGATGGAACAAGTCATAACAAAACTGTATTAGTCTTGATGAATACGACTCTCGCTGTTCATCTTTGTCGCTGTTCGGCTCCCTAAAATCCTATCTCTTGTTCAAGCCAATATCTTGGACCTTCAGTTCGGCAACCCTCCCTCAACCTCCCGGTACACCACAAGCGGGAACTCCTCCACAATCTCAACAGCAACCTTCTTGAGCTTGGCATGTGCCGCGCAGTCGGTGTCGTAGTACTTCATGTCGTCCAGACTGGCGAATACGGTGTACGCAACAACAGTGTATCCTTTGGAGCGAGGGTCTTCCTTGGCCTGGCCGGCATGGCAGCTGTTGGGGCGCGTCAGTTCGACTGATACTAGTGGGAGGAAGTTGCACCATAGGGGAGACGAACTGGAGGATGTATGGCTTGACCAGTTTCTTCTGGTTCGCCGGATCCGGAACCTTGAACAAGGTAACACGGTGGATGGACGGACCCTTGGATGCCATGCTGACTCTTGTGTTCTGTGTCTGTGTTTTCAAGCTGGGGTTGATTCTGAGTTCAAGTTGGATTTCTGGAAGAAGACACACCCCCGACTTATAGTAGACACTCGAGTTAACCGTCCATTCCTTACTCTCTATCTCTCCTTCTTCCGATTACACGAATGCCTTCCCATTACGCAAGTTCCAGATGCCATAAGCTGAATTGAACCTGCTGCCACAACGGCAGGCGGACATCTTACCGGAAGGATAGAACCTCCGAGTCCCTTCCAGGTTCTGCCCTTGGGAAGGTTGTGAAACCGTTCAACACCGCGCCACATGCCTCTCATGACTCTAACCCGAGACTTGGGAAATGCAAGCCGGTGCTCTGACGATGAGCAGTTCCCTATGTCACTTTGAGACCTTCTTGAATACAAGCAGAAGTTGAGTCAACACTCACTGCCATGGAATGCTTGACAATAACTGAACTTCAACTACAGTGAGCTTCTCCCAAGCTGCAAAAACATCTGCGAATAGGGACCAATTCTCCACCGATAATGCCCATCCCACCAAGCTTGTTCATCTGTGCATCTTCCCGCCGCGCGGGGAACTGACATACAGATTTCCGCGTCCTGTGTGACCGGACACGGATCCCCGTAGATCTATCGACGACGATCCCCAATCGCCTCCAGTTTTGAAGAGAGGATGCCTTCCCAATGTAATATCCCTATTTGTCGTGCACCATCGTGTTTGGGATAAAAAATCTAGATGGCAAGAATCAGATCGAGAGTCATCAGCCGGTGACGCGGCTTCGGACAGTTGTGGGGGTTGTCAACGAAGGACATGTCGTATATGCCGTGCAGAGGCTCCTAGACACAAGAGTAACACGAATAAACAGTCTGACAGTATCGCAAGACGAAGAGTTGAACCATATAAAGTGCCCGTTTGATGTACATACGTGTTTTTTTACAAAGTATTCCGCCATAGCCCCACCAAAAAAAAAGTCCAAAGATTCTGCGCCCGCTTTTGTACAATAATGACCTAGAAAGCCCCAATATCCACGCCGAGACAGTAAGCTGCTGAGAGCAGAGATTTAAGGGTATCCCATACAATTAGTAATACACACAGCAGCAAATTCCTCGTGCCGTAAAGACGACACGACAAACGAAAGATCAAGCTCGATCTGGCCAGCCAGCTAAGTCTGTCATTTCTCTGACCTTATGTCGAGAATGTGCCCCTCTGCCCTCTGTACCATGCCATGTCATATTTCATGCCATTATTTTCGAACCCTTTTTGTCCCCTCCAATGATTTTTCGTTCCAAGTTCCAATCTATATCTACCGGCTTTCTCCGAAATGAACGATAAAAAAAAGTTAAAAACAATACAGCCCTCACCGAGGTTAAAAGGCAAAACAAAAATAATAAAGAAAACAATACGAAACGGAATCAAATCCTAATCCTCCTCACCGCCTCTCAGCAGCCCCCCCCCAGCCGCCACACATCCCATAACAAGCCGCATCTTCTCCAGCAACTCCGGCATGCGATACGGCTTCACCAGCACATCATCACACCCCGCCTGCCGCGCCTCCGCAATCTGCTCCATGCGAGCGTTGGCACTGACCGCGATGATGGGAATCCTCCCGCCACGGATGCGGCCCGCGCGTTCCAGCTCACGGATGCGCCGCGTGCATGTCAGGCCGTCTTGCACCGGCATCTCGATGTCCATGAGGATCATCGAGAGGGGGAACAGAAGTTGCTGGTCGAAGTCATGGCTGGTGCTGGGCGTAGAGGAAGACAACGGTAAAGGGGGGTTAGAGGTTAAAAGGTGTGTAGACGACCTTGGGGTAGCGTCGTCTCCTGTTTGGGGCTCCTCATCGGTGTCATCTGGTGCTTGGATGAATCGGTCGGTGCGCCGGAGCTTCTCAAGACATTCAAGGCCGTGATTAGCCACGTCGACTGTAAAGCCCATGCTCAGTAAACCGCGTCGTGTGATCTGCTGGTTGATGAGGTTGTCTTCGACCACTAGGACTCCCCTAATTTGAGGAGTTGATACTTCAGGCAACGGATGAGCACACTCGCTGATGGGTGTAGCGATGGGTGATACCGAGCTGTGATCAAAGATGCTTCCATTGGAGGTGGGAGTGGTTGAGTCACTCAAAGTGCTGCTTGTTCCAGCTCGTTTTCTGGTGCAAATAGCCTTGTCCTGGAGGGAAACACTCGAGATATCCAGTACAGGATGGCATCCTCTCGCCTTGCGGGTGACTGCTGCACTTGCTTCCGCTTCTTGGATGGCGTTGCTGCTGGGAATGCGGGTTTCGATGTAAAACCCGAATGTGCTGCCAACCCCAGGCTGGCTGGCCACGCCGATAGCTCCATTCTGGAGTTCTGTTAAGCGGCGGCTGATGAACAGGCCGAGCCCGGAGCCGCCATACTTTACGTGGGTGCGGCTCGATGCCTGGACAAACCGCTGAAACAAGCTCTTCTTTTCCTCCTCGGTTAATCCTTCGCCCGTGTCTTTGACCTCAAACATTAAAAATACAGGACTTCCACGGATTTTTGATGCTAACTGGTTGCCCTGATCACTGTTGACGGTATCTTGTGACCGGGGTATAAACTGAACTTTGCTTGTAGCTTCCGTTGGTCGTGTTAGACTAGCGCTAATCGTGACCGAGACATTCCGAGTCGGACCAGTCTTGGTAAACTTCAGAGCGTTGGTAAGCAGGTTGATAAGGACCTGCTTCAAGCGCGAAGGATCAAACTCTAGGTACTTGATGCCCAGCTCGCGGTAGGCGGGGTCGACGATCATGCTCAAGTTGATGTCGACCCGCCGTGCTTCCACTTCGAACATCTTTAACGCCTCCTGGACCATCTTGATGGGATCCACGATGATCGGGGTGATACCCAGTAAGTTCGAGTCCAGTTTGGACATGGTTAGGATGTCGTCCACAATCCGTTTCTGGTGTTGAGCACAGCTGACAATGGTTTCGGCATTGTCGATGCTGCTTTCGACGAGGTCGCGAGCCTCGGTCCTCCAGCCATCTTCAAGTTTGGTTGCATTTATTGCTGATTCCGCCTTATTGTGGTCCGTCCTGGAGCCAGCTTCGGATCTCCGAGCGTGAGTGTCGAGAAGCTCCTCGACCCGAGTGAGTGTGGCAGTGATTGCGTCGGCGCAATGGATGATGGCGCTCAGAGGGTTACGCATCTCGTGCGAGGTCATGTCGATGAAATTCTCTTGCTGCCTCTTGGACTCAAGAGCTTCCTCCTTGCGCTCTTTCTCCCAATCCAGCTGCCACTTTTGCAAAGAAATGTCGCTGAGGCAACCTGTGAAGCTTGTGATGACGCCCTCATTGGACTTCACCGGCATCAAAGTTGCCTGGACACACCTCGGTACGACAACTTTGTGACCCGAGCCGTCATCAGCGGTCCAAGTTGTGTTGAGCCTGACTTCAACAGTCTGCACCTTGTCTTCTTTGACCATCCTCGCGAGCTTTTCGGTGAGCAGCGAGTAGTCTTCCTCGCAAACACAAGATTTCCAGGGCCGGACGTCCACCTCAGTGGGATCAACCTTTTCTAGCCCACATAACTCAAAAAAGACATCGTTTGCCCCAAGCAACCGGCCTTCAAGATCCACGTCGTACAAGCCAACAGTTGCAAACTCGGCCATACGTTTGAGATTCTCAGCCTGTTGCGCGCGGCGTACTGCTTCCTCGGCAGCACGTTTGTGTGCCGTCACGTCTGTAAGGCAGGTGAGGATGCGGATGACGTTCCCGTCAACACCATACTCGGCTCTCGCTGTTGCCATCACATGACGCTCCGTCATGTCGTCGACTGAGACTAGGTCGAGGCCGGTCTTCTCAAAACTGGGTGGGGTTACAGGATAGACCTGGCCGTCGTTGCTGGCAGGTCGCTTTACCCGGAACTCGAATTGGACGTTGCCAGCAGTCTTGAGCTTCTCGTAGGCAACAATGACAACTGGCCGGTCCTCGTCCTTCACACATGATATGAAGCCTTGCTTCTCGATGCGGTCCGTTTTGGGGTAACCAGTAATCTTATACCAGGAATCGTTTGCATATGTGATTTCTCCTTGGGGGTCGCCGAAGGCCATCCCGACAGGGACAAACTCGGCGACTGCCTCAAACATCTGCATCGACTCCGTGGCTTCCTTTGTCTGCATGGCCAGCTTCTCCTTTAGCATGGCCTTGTCATAGGCGGCTTCTTCAGCTGCGTTTCGGCCTCTTCGGGTCTCTTCCTCCAAAAGCACTATTGAAGCTAAAGAAGTCGCAAGCTTCTGACTCAACAGAGCAATGTGTTGACGATAGTCGTTGTCATAGGGACATCTCGGGTTCAAGCCAAGGAGCAATAAACCCATCACTGCCTCATTTTTCGTCGGTCGAATGGGACAGATCACGGCTGCTCGGCAAGGATCTCCTCCAAACGCCCTCCACTGCAGGCCTTTTAGCAAATCCCGCGGCAATGTCCCATCCTTTGTTTGTAGGAGGATGGGATGTCGTGCAGACAAGGCCTTCCGGAATGCCAAGGAAAGTGCATCGCTATCGGACTGTAAATCGAGCGTTTGTGGTGCGATTGGGTGGTTGGTAGGGACTCCCAACGTCCCCGCCAAGCGACATACTACCGAGGAACTGTTCAAAGTTGGCGTTCCTGGGGGGTCTTGCGAATTTTCAACAATGTATAGGATCGCCAATGGTACGTCGGACCGAGGCTCGACGGCGGCTAGCTCCTGGATCGTTTTCTCCCAGTAGCTTTCCACATCCCGTGCTGTGAGGAGGGCCTCTCCTAGGTCAATCAACATTTTCATGCGACGCTCCCACAGACGTAAGCTTGTTGTCTCTGCAACAGGGTGCATGAAGCCCAAACACTCGTTATTCTCGATGATGGGGATGATGGACCATTTCAGGTAGGTCTCTTCAAGCCAGGGAGTGTCGCCTTCAGCTTCGGACTCCCTCTCGACGAAGAACCTCCATTCATCTTCGACTCTTCCCCGGTGATTAGGAGGGATAGCACGCATTATCTCCTTGAGTCGATGGCCAGCCTCATTCCATGCTTCTTGTACAGGCATGCCGAGCATAGCGGGATGCTTTGCGCCGCATATTTTGCTGAAGGCCTCGTTGTAGATGGTAGTGTATGAGGGACCCCAATAAATGGCGATAGGACGGCTGTCGACAAGAATTTGGTTGACAGTCTCTCTGAGCTTTGGATGCCATGTGTACATAGGGCCCAAGGGGGTCTGGGCCCAGTTCACGCTGTTGATGACATCCAGAAACGGACGTTGTTCTGCAGCATGCCCATCAGCAATGGCCTTGAAATCCTCCGCGGGCATATCTTCTTCTTCTTTAATTTTTTTTCTCACCTGGAGTGGTATCAGGAAGTATCCAACCAGGATCAGAAGCTGATCTTCCCTGAGACAAAGATTGGACCGGTTCACCCTGGCATGACTGCCGGTCTTTCAAGCTGATAGGAATGGTAACCGGCAATGATCTGCTGCGGCGCTCATCCGGCGATGATGATGGACAGATCGGGGCCGTCTCCAGAGCAGCAGAGTTCAAAGTCGCTGGCTCCAGAGGGATGATGAGCCTTGACGAAGACGCTGGAGCTTGGACCTGAGAAACATCGGATTGGAAAATACGGGCTGGCCCCGTCTGGAGCATCTGCTCATTTTCTCCGACAACTATTAGCTGTTCATTGACCATGAAACGGGTCCAGTAAACGCCCGAGTAGAGGAACGACGGAGCAGGAACAGCAGCAGGGCTCAACACGTCCCCTGAGTCTAAAGGAGACGGAGCTTCTGTGATCCATTGCCATAACGGCGAGAAGTTTTCGGCGCTCGAGGAAACGAGGGATAATAAAACACCGCGACCTGAGAATGCGGGGTTTGCGTAGAGGACGGTAGGCGGTTGTGGTGCAAGTGCGACAATAAATGACGGCCGCGGATCGGCCTCGAGCAGATCGATGATGCTGATGTCGTAGAGAGAGATATGCATTTTGCCCCCGGTTTTCGTCGCGATTCCTGTCACTTGGTCACCGTCCCCGCTGGCACACTTTCCGGCAGCCGCCACGGCAGGCGAAGTTTGTACGCGAATCGACGGCTTGAAGAACGGACAGACGACACGAGACTCATTCTCTTCTCCGCGCCCTGGTGTCTTCGCTGCGGTTCACCTAGCGATCGTCTCAATCGAGAGGCAAGCTAGGAGTGCGAAACTAACTGACAAATTATGGCCGACAGGGTATACAGGGTATTGCGCGGCTGGACTGGGAGGACAAAACCCGAACTATCGACGTTCTGTCGACACCGTAGTTGGCGCTGGCGATGATGGTGACAATGGTGACGATGGCCGCAACGTATCGGGGAACGGAACAGGCCAGGTCGTGGCAGATGTCGCACCGAGAGACGCATGGAAGCATCTGCGCGACAATTATTTGTCCGAGAAGCCCAGACCTTGCCTTACTCTTGCCCTCGGATGATTTGCAATCCACCTTCCCTCCAGGAACCGTCAAACTCGCAGATCAACCACGGACCCGGGTAACCCCATGCTGATCATGACTCCAGTTCTGGCCCTTGTGGGGTAAATAGTGGCGAGACAGTCTTGTCGTTAGTGATTTTTTATGATGCTGCTACCGAGGTAGCGGGGGATGGCGATAGGAAGCTGCATCGTAAAGCATGACGACTCGCGAGGAGCTTCGCCAAGTCCCTAGAGCGACTTTTACACTGCATGGCATGATGATACAGTGGGATCAAAGATGCTTTTAGGGTCTATCACACTACTTATGTACGGGATTCGTGCGCCCCATATGCAATTAGGGTATCTGTATGTAAGGCAAGTTTCATACATTCTTTCCCACCCAGATCTGATTGATTTACACAGTATCGGCTCATTGAAACCGAACTCATCAGCAACCTCAGCTTCAGATCATGATGCAGAAATCCGACTTCGACGTTGTGCTTGCGAAGTTGGATGCCACGAGCAAAAAAGCTCAGGGCCAAGAAGATGTTCCCGGCGGGCAAAGACGTGCGATACCAGTCTTTCTCGGCACCTGGAATTCGACGATCTGATGAGATCTAGTGAAGCCAATGCCCAGACCATAGCCAAGCTCTTGGCAGCTTGGCAGTGGTAACATCGCTCTTGGCACAAGTCTTGGGCCCGGAAAGCAGAACAAACCGTTGGGCATTGTGGGAGATCCGCTTCACATCGGCATGGATGGGACTTGCATCATCACATTTGCTGTGGATTGAAGGGCGGTAAGGCTTGGATGCCTTGCCCAGGTTTTGGAAGACGCCTCCGTTGGTCCAGACCATTTGCAAAAGTCCGGACAGCAATGGCTTTGGCGTGGCATGGCTTACAGAATCGCAAGTAAGCAAAACTGCACTATTGGGGGCGCGAATCCTGCACAGTAAACCCTGTCAGTGTAAGACTCATCCGCATTACAATTACAATACAGTGACGTCAGGTACAGTTGGCAACAGGCACAAAGGCTCCGGCTGAGAGCAATCCCTCTCTGGCCGACCTCATACAGCACACCTACCTACCTACCTACCTACCTACCTACCTACCTACCTAGGTAGGTAGATATTCCGCAATCTGTACTCCGTATGTATGTAAAGTCAAGCAAATATCTACCTTATATCTTCACGTTTAAAAGTTGGTTAGAAGATGTTGAGGTGATCTGGCATCCTCCAGCCGTGATTTGTTCGTGTACAGTAGGACAACAGGCTCTCTATCTTTTTGCACAAACGCGCGTCTGGAAGAGACCAGGCCGGACTTCTCAGGACAAAGTTCGAGGCCAAGACTGCCGGGAGCCGCCCAGCCTTGGCACAATGCCCGTTTGATCACTTGAGCATGGGCTGAGACGGAGCCAAGACCACAAAACACAGATGAGTCGCACACAACACGCAAGACACATACACTCGGCGCACGCAGGGCACGAAGTCCGAAGGCCACAGAGGCCACGATCTGCTGTACTGTATATGGCTCGCTCAGGGATGCCGTGGCACAACGGGATTACATTGTTGATAGCCGGATGCGAGCGAATGATCCAAGAAAGAACAGGCATTCCAAGGGTTGCGAGTACACCAAAGAGCCCAATTGCGATTGTGGACGACAGGACCACGACGCGACCAAGAAAAGAAGGCGTCGCCATCGGCATTAGCATTGGTGTTGGCATTAGGTGCCTAGCGCTGATCGGTCTGGGCGCCAAGCCACGACGGAGCGGACGGGGCGCGGTTGTTTACCCGTAGTCGCTGTTCGGTGCCCAGGAGAACCCAGAAAAGGCCCCTGGCGCCCGCCGAGAAATCATGCCCAGACTGCTCCCAAGACTCCGACGCCCGCATCCAGCACAACGCCAAGGACGGCCCAGGACGGGTCAGGACAGCAGGATGTGAGGTTAAAATGACACCAGATCCCAGCTTGACGGGAACGGCCAACGTCGTTTCGTCTCGTCGCCGCGACATGCTCGCTGCTCGCTGCCACGCTCTCCCTTCTTGGCACCCTGCGTCCATCACCATCAGCATCAGATCCACACCTCATCCGTAGCAGACGCCAGCGACTCCCGTCCGTACTTCGTTTCGCTGCCTTTATTTCGGATTACCATTACTATCCTTGGGGCCGGTTGCCCTCCCCTTCCCCCCCCCCCCCTCCGGTGGTGGATTCTGGGTTGTGGAGCGTTTCCTTCACCAACACTTAGTACAAGTATCATTTATTACTCTAGTGCCATCCTCCTTCCAGCGGCCTTTAAGTAGCACGCAATCACTACGGAGGACGCTTCCAGTGTCGACCCTGAATCGCATACCAGTACTCCTGTCGGGCTGGCCGTGTCGCCTCTGGAGCGGCATGGCGTGAAACAGCCATCTGCCAGTCCTCCAGCCCCTCCAATCCATACAGCCAGCTTAGTTGGATTCTTTCCAGATCGATCCCACCAGCGGTACCTGTAAGCGGGTCTGGTCGCGGTCGAGTTGGTCCAGCAAGCAGGGGTTTGGCCAGTCTGAACGACGCTGGTCTAGCTCGGTAATCAGTAACCAGTCTTCCTAGCGATCACCCACAGACACATTCGACGAGCCGTGAGATGCGATTTGCTCCCGCCCCGCTCCTGGCTTTGGCTTCCGGGGCATTGGCACGAAATGTTGTCCAGTTCAATGTCACCAAGGGCCCGCCGGGAGTCCGAATTGGCAGCGTATCGTACCTGAACCGCCGGGGTACATTCGCCGAGAATCTGATCAACAATGTTGCCGGCGGCGGCTACTTCATCGAAGTGCAGATTGGTACCCCGCCCCAGCCGGTGACCATGCTGCTGGACACCGGGAGCAGCGATGCTTGGGTCTTGAGTCGAGAGGCGGACCTGTGCAAGAGCCGAGAGTTGCAAGAACTCTATGGGATGACGTGCGCTGGCACCTACAATCCCGACAAGAGCTCAACTCACCACATGGTTGAGCGCAATGGGTTCAAAATCGTCTATCTTGACGGCAACTCCGCGTCTGGAGATTACATTTCGGACGACTTTATCATTGGCGACACCATGATCAAGGGGTTGCAGATGGCATGCGTCACCAAGGCTGTTAGGGGGACCGGAATTTTGGGGCTTGGTTTTAGCGAGAATGAGAAGGCTAAAGCCAAATACCCCAACATTATGGATGAGATGGTGAACCAGGGCTTGATCAGATGTAAAGCCTACTCACTCTACCTGAACGACCGTCGGACCGACTCAGGGAACATCCTCTTTGGCGGCGTCGATCTCGACAAGTTCATCGGCCAGCTGCAGATCGTGCCCCTGTACAAAACAAACGGCTCCAACTACACCTCCTTCGAGATTGCCTTCGACGGCGTCTCCCTCATCTACACAAACGGCACGACCATCGATGTCAGCACCTCCATCCTCGGACACGCCGCTCCCGCGGTGCTCGACTCAGGTACTACCTTCTCCTACCTCCCCGATCCCATGACCAGACCCATCTACTCGGCGCTGGGCGCCATCTACGACCCCGACCTCCGTTCGACCATCATCGATTGCAAATACCTCACCTCCGAGCCTAACCTTCACCTCACCTTCCACTTCGGCAACACCACAGCCGGCACAGCCGCCACCATCTCCGTTCCTGTCTGGGAAATGGTCCTGGACATCCTCCCTGCAAGCTACACCCACCCAGGCTTCACCCGGCCCTGCTTGTTCGGCATCCAAAGCACAGCCGCCATCGAGTCAGTCGGCACGGTCAAGGACTCGTCCAACTTCACCCTGCTGGGCGACACCTTCCTGCGCAGCGCCTATGTTGTCTACGACCTGACTCATCACCAGATCGGCCTGGCCCAGGCCAACCTTAACAGCAGTACCTCTACCGTCGTCGAGCTGCACTCCACCGGAACCAGCCTGCCCAATCTCAGTGGTGTGCCTTCCCAGCAGACCACTTATACCCCGACCCCGACCCTGTTCCCCTCCCGCTCTGGGTCGGAGGACCCTAACTCGGAGGAGTCCAAGAACGCCGCGGCCCCGGCTGTGGGGGTGATGGAGCTTCCGGGATGGGGGACGTCCGGGGGATTGGGCGAAATCTTGAGCGTCGTGGGCATGACGGGAGCATTTGCGCTTTTCGGTGGGGCGCTTATTGCGTTATGAAAATAGGACTGGAACAAGAAGGGAGACCACGGCTTTATACATGTACTGCATACTCAGAGTCAGTTTATATCTGCCAGTTTTGATACCTCTGCAGACCTCTGCAGCGGTGTGTTTGAAATGCCTTACATGTTTTTGAATTGAGCTTTGTTGTATATATATATATATATATAGTGTGCATGTGTGTGTGTGTGTGTGTGTGTGTGTGTGTGTGTGTATGTGTGTATAATATATGCATGTACATGTATGTATGACCGAACGTTAAGTTGTGTAGCTGCACATCAAATGGGATAGGGATGTTCAGACTGTTTAGACGCTTCGGTTTTCAAGATGGCGTCAGTGTCTCAACTTCTCGAGTTGCAGCAACACACCACGTATATACTTTCTCATGTCTCACATATCTCTCACGGCTCGGGAATGTTTTAAGAGACACTTGAAACATGGTGTGGCAGTGAATACTTCTGTTGTTGCATTGTAATCCAAAATTGCCAATTGACAACATCTAGGCTTGCACAAGCAGTGTTCGAATTGGGCAACTACTTTCCTGTTACGCTGTGTTTGTTCCTTGGATAATGACAATAATAATCCTAACGCTGTGACAACTCTCTTTGATCGACATAGTGGCATCATCCACAGATTCACAAGTTTTTTTCACCACCCACTACTTTGCTGGTCCCCAGGCCTTGACCTCCATGATAAATCCAACCTTCTCTCGGTTTGACCACTTCGATTCCTGCGTCTGTCATCATAACGCCGCCTACCCCAGTTGGCCCCCCTACCAGCTGTGTTCGAGGGCGTATGCTCGCTCCAAGACATACCCCCAGCATAGGTTTGGTCAATGCCGTTATTGTAGGCATATGTCCCCTCCCATTCGGACGCTGACTGATCCCTATGCGCCCAAGGCTGACTGGCCTGATCAGATGGCTGGAAGGCTGCCGACATGTACTGTTCGCTGGACCTTGAACCTTGGCCATTCATGAAGCGGACAGACCGCTGAGTGTTGGAGCCGTGAGCAATCACGACGGATTGGTGTTGTGGCTGAGGTCTTGAAGAGGGATTATCCGCAACCCTAATATCGGCCTTGGTATCTTCTTGGGGGACCTCATTAACCTCAGTAGTCTCTGGCATTTCTTCCCTGCTATTATTCTCGCTGACTCCGCTTTCAGAGGGACCCAAGTTCTCGAAAGGATTTTTGGGAATAGGGCGAATAAGTATGACTCCTGCCTTGCAGTCCGTTGACTCCCCAAACAGGTCGGAGGGGTCGTAAAAGCCAACTTCGTAAGGAATAGAGTTTGCTAGGTCTGCTCCAAGCTTTTCAGCATCTTGGGCCACGAAATGAGCAGCTTTCTTCAAAATTGCATGCAGATAGCCTAAGGTTGAAGGTTGTATCGGCTCTTGGGATTGGCCATCGTCGACAGCTTCAAACACATCCAGGTGTCCTAGGGCCGAAGGCTGCACCTGCTCACCGGATTGATCATCGACGACATGTTCAGCCGGAGTATTGTGTGGAACCTCTTGAACATTATCTTCGGGGGTAGTATCATGCTGAGCTGGTTCATGTTCGATCGGACCTGGCAAATTGGTGCTGATGGCAGCAAGCCATGCCTGGCCTGCACGAGTCACAGCCTCGTTCTCCGTCAACAACCTTTTCTGCGTAGCCTTGATCAACTCGAACAGCGGCGCGACGGTTGTCTTAATGAAAGTGCTCACTACCTCGCGAGAGGTCTCCGGAGCGAAGGTCAGGGCAATGGTCTCGGACAACCAACGAGGGGGTCTATGGAACTTGGGAGAGTTGTCATTTCGATTTTCTCCCGGCAGGAGGTTTGGATGACAAAAGAAATCGCCAACATCATGCAGTGCTTTTGCGAATTTTGGGTAATAGTTGTCATCAACATTGACCTCCCCCCAAAACCGGCAGCTGTGTTCTTGTCGGCGAGGCAAGCCTAGCGCCTTTGCAATAAAGTGGGCGAGAAGCATATTCGATGACCGAAATTCGAGCAGATCGTAGATTCGCATTGCATCGTGTTCTTCGAGGGTCTCTTCTAAAATTTTCTTGAAAAGTGTTTTAGTTGAGAAGCTGGCAAAAAAATCCCAGTCCCGATAACAAGTGTCCCGTTCAATATCGATCAAATATTTCAAGTGAAACTGCTGAGACTTGCGAGTACCACCAAAAGCCTCACCGAGAAACTCATATCGGTCTTGAGTTCGGAACTTGAGACGGTGACTAGGGAGTTGGCTAGCCCAAGTCGATAGAGAAGGGCCCAGTCGGGGAGCCAGGTCGGTCTAGGCGTCGGTCCAAATCGACGGGTCCATGACAGCATCGGGACTGAGAAGAAGACCGTGGTTACGTGCAAGGGTATTGAATTTATGCGATAATGTTTGGTGTATTTGACGCTTGAAGTTGTGAAACTTGCTTATCTGCTCCGGACTTGGTCGAGCTGGAAGTGGCAGAATAAGATGGTTCCTCCTATCCATACTTCGTTCGCTTTCTGGTAACAGGGGACTTCTTTCCTCTCCATCCTCCTCAGCAAACAGTCTGACAAGCTGATCAGCAAAGGCTCCGCCGCATGACTTCGCAATAACTTGCATCACACGTTCTTTGTCCTCTTCTTGAGAAAAGGTAGTGGAACCCATGAACCACGGGCGGCAGACCCATCCACCAGTTAGAGCGGAGGGTGTCACCAAAATGACACGAAGATTCAAATCTTTATTTGGGAAAGCCTCTCCGTGTCGATCAATAGCACGCTGGATCGCTTGGCGGATTTCCTGTGCAGTCAGGTAGACTTTTGCGCTCTTCAACTGACCATCAGGCGTACTGATAGAATCTTTTCCCAAGTCGATGCAGATGTCATGCTCAGGAGTTACGGGAGTAAAGGAAAGGATGGCTAGTGTCGTGTTGCGATCGAGGGCCCGATTAGCCTCGTAATAGATTTGAGTAAGAATGTAGTCCTTGAATTCATGGTTAGTCTTAGACTGGTGCCAGATTCCACTGCTGCCGGCTGACAGAGGTTTGGGCAATCGCCCCTGTTGGTCGTGAATGCTAAGATATTTGTCTGCAGCCTCAATAAGTTCTTTCACAGAAAGAGTGCTGACCCATGTTTGCCGCTGTCATTAAACATAAAAGTCAGTTTTTATCAACTAAATGAATAATCGCGCAACGCAATGCTGATAGCATGACGAACCTCGCTGGACCCGTCAAGAGCTGTGAGCATATGGTGCCAGGTCAGAAAATCAACCACCATCCAGCCATATCTGTCCTGGCTAGCATTTGTTGATGAGAGGCCACAGATGCCCAAGACCCCAACATCAGATGGCACATCAGGAGGGACATGAATAATGATTGACGCATCGGGCAAGGCTTCCCGCAACAGCCGTCGGAAGAATGGATGACTAGGATTACTGGATGTCATTGCTTCTATGCTCATGGTTAGTATTCCCTATTCTCAGAGAAAAAGATTCCCCTGAAGAAAAGCTCACATTATTTGTCTGTTCACGGGGTTAAACTGAGGCCGCAAGTAGTGCACTAGAGGGCTTTTGATTGTAAAAGATCCAGAACAGCGTTGCTACAAGCGAATTGACTTGGTGTTCGCTCTGGCCTAGCTAGTGGCGAGCAATCGGATGGCAGATGATATCGATAATCACATGAAAACACACAGGATAGGTAGTGTAGTGCATCTTCTGAGTTATGGAAGGTAAGGTCTCTTCATCCTGCACAAGGGAAAGCCTAGAGGATAGAAGCTTCCACTCATGTTCGAAATGGATATCAGATGTTACATTTCAAAGCATGGTTGGTTTGAAAAAAAATGACAATCCTCGGGTTCAATATTGGGTCTTTGAAAGAAACACATGATGAGGATCAACAGCATGCATCTTGACAACCCGCTCAAAAGAGATGTAAGCCAGTTAAGACCCGTCCTCAAGTCAGCAAGACCTGAACTTCCACGCGGAGGGGTATGGCATGTAAATTAACACAGGTATCTAATGCTATTGATGTCCCGAGTGACCAACTCATCTTGTAGAGTCCTGATCAGTATCTCATGTGCTCCTCTCTGGTACTGAATCCCAACCACCCCAAGACCCAAGTGGACTAAACGAGACACTGGTATCCCATTTTAAAAAAATTTTTGCACCTAATATACGGCTCTTATGGTCCCAGCTTTTCAAATCTCTCCCTAGCCTTTTCCCTCGTCTTCTCCACGAAAGCCTGGAAGCCACCACGCAGACTACGAGTAGCCTCCTCAGTGGCGTCACCAAGCTTGCCGCCCTCGGCGCCCAACCCGACGCCTGGCACATACGCTTCCGTGGCGATGGCCTCAGTACGGCCAGAGCCCTCAGCACCCAGACCGGTCCCCTCGGTCCAGCCCATCTTGGCCAAGATCCCGGCACCCTTGGATTTCTTGGCCAACGGCACGTCTTTCTCGTGATCATCGGCCGCAGCAGAGGTGGAAGCAAACTCCTTGCGCTTCTCGGGTATGGTACTAGTCGTCATAGTGGGCTGTTTCGGCTGACCAAAGGCCTTGCGACGTTCGAGAGCCCGGTCGCGATACTGTGGCTGCAGCTGGATCTGGACGCTGCCGCGTGCTTGCTCCCAGCGTTTCTTGAACTCAGCGTCCGGCTCAAGGATGCGCATTTTTTTGCCCATGGCCTTGAATTCGGCCGCGGCACGCGCGCGGTTCTCGGGCGAGGCTAGCATGCGCTTGTGCAGCTCGCTTTGCTGTTCATGCAGCCAGATTAGCCGCGCATCCTTGAAGACGCGACGGCAAAGCACACAGCGCAAGGTGTCAAAGTCGGCATAGGACTTGTACACGGGAAGTTGTTCGGACTTGAGCCTCGGAGTGCGGCGCACAATGGTTCGAGGGGTCTTGTTGAGAGCAGCAAGAGCCGCGGCCGCCTTCTCGCGGACCTCAGGGTCCTTGTACAGCTGGTGAGCGCGTCTCTCGTGGTCGATGAGGAGATCGCCGCGAGTTTGGGGCAGGCCTTTCTCTTGAATTTGCTCCTGCGTCGGAGCCTCCCAACCGCAAACGAGACAGGTCATGCTATCCCAGTTTGCATACGACTGGTACTGGTCGCCCCATTGGGGGGTGACTGGACCGTCGGGCTGGTCGGCCTCACGGAGAGCACCAGAAACAGCACCGGCAAGGAAGTCCCGTTCCGAGACCAAAGCCCCGTCCGCACCAGATTCTGCGCCCTCTCCTTGCTTCAGCCCATGAAGCTCGGCCGACGCCTTGGCCCAAAGCTGCATCTGGGGTATCATGGCAATCTTGCTTCCAGGAGCAGCGTCCTTCTCCTTCTTGGTCTTCTTGACGGGTCGTGCTGCTGCTGTCCCAGATTTTGTATCATCGCCTTCGGCCTTCTCCGGGCTCGGAACACCTGGCAGAGGCTCGGTCGAGACGACATGCGCACTCGGATATGCGCGATCATCCCAGTACTTGACACGTACATTCGGATTGTAGATTGGAGTGAAGGAGTACGCCTCATTTTCCGTAGGTCCCATGTCGAAGGCGGGAACGAAGACGCCGGTATGGATGAAAGCGACCACAACAGGCTTGGACGAGATGGTAAATTTGGGCGACGCGCGGAATTTTGCGACTGCACCTTTGGCGTCTTCGACTGTGGCGAACTCGGCAAACCCATACCGCCACGACTCGTTCGTTTTCTTGTCGCGCATCAAAAAGACACGACGAAGAGATCCAGGTCTTGCACCGAGGCTGGCTGTGTTGTTGGTAGGGGCCGTGGATTTCAGCTTGGTGGTGGTTGTGCCGGCGGTTGTCTCTTTCGGAGGCTCCGGATTCTCAACAAACAACTTCATAACGCCCTTAGCGAGAACTTCTTCGGTGACAGACCCCTCAAGTTCTCGGACCACGATATACTGAGACGGTGTCTGCTGAGGACACTCGTCGGTCTCGCCGGTCAAAACGGGGCCAGAATCGTAGCCATCTTCCCAGATGTCAGAGCAACAATACACAAGATGAAGATCAGGGTGTCATATGCCTACCTGGACGCTCCGTTTTGCACTTGAAACACACGGCTCGGTGAGGGTAGTTAATTGCGCGGCACTAACGGCCATCAGTAAGGCAAAGTGATCTGAGAAGAAGAGGAGAAGAGCGTACCTTGATGCACTCCCAATCGTCTCCATCTCGACGTGTTTCTCGTGTAGAATCGATATCATCACGATGTCTAGGAACTTCGACTCTCACAGTGATAGGGTCTGAGTCTAGGCCACGGGAATGCTCCAGGCGAAAGGAGATGGTGGGATAATATCGGCCGTAAAAGTGTTCGGCATCAGAACGGCGATGAAACTCAACAATGGCGATGCGGCGACCTAGTATGAATGAGAATGCGTCCAACATAGAGTAGGAAGGACAAACGCACCATTATGTTCGTGTCGTAACCGAGCGAGCCTCACCTGATCGGTAGAAAAATAACGGTCCCTAGTAACATAATCGAGACCGTAGAGGATCTGGGCGCTGGTCAACCAGCCTGGTTCATAAATTTCAACCATGGAGGACGGCATACGTCACGCTCAGTGGCATCCTCGGGGAGGCCTTCGAGAATTAACACCTTCCCGGAGCCGTGGTGATGGCGGGAAGAACCCTGATGACGGTGATCAGGATACTCGCTACCGCGGTGGCCGTGGCCAGAGGACCGTGTGTGGCCAGAAGCAGTAAGTTGGCGCTCATCATCATGACAAAGATCAGCAGACTGATGCAGCGCAGCATGCTCCATCTCATCAGTATAACGGTAGGCTCGAGCAGACCCTGATCCGGGATGACCATGGAAATCTCCTCGGGCCCCATACTGAGCGCGAGCGCGAGATGGTTGCGAAAACTGTGAATGAGCCACGGGTGCCTCCGGATCTGTATTATCACCACGATCCCGCGGATCACCCCAACCCCTTTCAGGGCGAGGCTCTAGTCCGTGGGAAGAGGCATCATGATCGTAGCGGCCACGGCCTGAACCTCGTCCCTGTCCATAGCTCCAGCGGTCGTTGCCGTAACCTGTATTGCTGTCATAACGATTGCCTCTTGGCGCGCGATCGTGATCCCGGTCAGCGCGGCGGTGGTAGTCAGCGCCAGTGTTTTCAGCGCCGTCCTCGTCGTCGTAGTTCAAGTCTCTTGGGGGACCGGGGGAATCTTTGAAGAAAGAAAATGGGACAAGCCCAAGTCAGCCATCTTCTAGCCTGATCGAGAGCAACGACCACAGAAACTCAAAGGAGAACAATGGTAATAGTGTTGGAAGTGCCATGCGGAGGCGGGGGCTGGTATGATCGTGCGGGTTCCAGTACCCTTCCTCGACCGGCGGTAATCGCCATCTCTGTCATCAAAGCGGCGCGCGCGAGGGCTGCGACTGCGACTCCGACTGTAGTCTCCGCTGCGACTACGACTACGGCTGCGGCGCTCGCGATGGCGATCGTAGTCGCGGTCGCGGTCGCGATGGCTTCCCACGTCACGGCGCGGCGAGCCCTGCCGGCCTGGATACATGGCGCTGGCTGGCTAACAAGTTGGAAGGCAATGAGAAAGAGAGAGTAGAAAGAAATGAAAGAGATAACGTAGAACAGCGTCTCTCTCGGTGTGGATGGTGCTTGAACCGAGCAGCTGGTGGCTGCCAAAAAGAAGACCCCCAAAGCCAAAGACAGCAGAGACGCAGCAAGCGTCAAACGAACCCACCAGGAAGCTTGATGCCAAGAAACCTACGGTGCTCTTATCGTTATCGATCGCTAAATGTGATTTTTGGGGCTATATGTTACAGTGCGAATTGCGAGCGATAACGGTGCCACAAGGGAGTGATGGATTGACAACCATTAGTTGAGAATTACCTAGGAGTTGTGATAAATGTCAACGCGGGATGTATAAATGCTCAGTACTTTGTAGATCAAAAAGAAAGAAAAAAATATAAGATCACAGAGCTCTTATTCCAATACACTTGTGCTAGATTCGGCAAGGGCTTTCCCACAGTTGAACGTGGGGGCCCGCATCTCCTCCCTCTTCACCTGATGTCCCTGCTCTCACAACTCCCGTCACCCCTCCACGACTCAGCTTGAATCAACAACACGGGCTTGCAAAGGTTATTTGTGGCTTGATTGTCTTTGGTTTCGCTACCTGGAAGTTAGCCAGAAACCTCTTTTTTTCGAAGGTCTCACCTTCATCAGCGATTGATCCAGTCCGGTGGACATACGCTGGGTGATCCCTCTTTCGAAGCCCCTCCCCCCCTCATTTCATCGCTGGAGGGTTAACCCCTGAGTTAAAGGAGACACAACTTCGTAGCCAATTACATATGCACAATGTCTGCCCAAGACGGCGTATCAAGACTTCAGGACCCAGCTGAGCCAGAAGCTCAAGAGAGTTTCTTGACCGAAGACGGCTGCTATGTCGCCCTTACCCACGCCCCGCTCAATGTCCAGTCCATCATGGACCGTGTCCGCTCTCCGCAAGCTGGTGCGATAGTCCTCTTTGCGGGTGCGTTCTCCTGTTATTTTATTCATTTCTCGATACACTTTCTAACCTCCCTACAGGAACAACCCGTGACTCCTTCGCAGACAAGTCCGTCTCTAAGCTGGTCTACTCAGCCTATGTGCCACGCGCGCTGCGCACGATGCTGGACATCGCCACTGAAATACGCGCTAAGCACAATCTGAAGAGCATTGCCATGATTCATCGACTGGGGGAAGTGCCAGTTGGGGAAGAGAGCATTATGATTGCTGTGTCAGCGCCGCATCGGGGCCCCGCGTGGCGTGCTGGGGAAGAGGCCCTGGAAGCATGCAAGGCGAAAGTTGAAGTATGGAAGTGGGAAGAGTTTGCCGAGGAAGGAGGTGGTGGTGGTGCGTGGAGGGCGAATCGGGATGGAGCGGTCGGGGAGAGGGTGGCTTAAGTTTGGAGTTTTTGTGAGTGTGCTCAGCTTCTGTGCCGACTTGATTACCTGACGACCCTTCTAGGAAGATGGAGGATGACTCATTTCATGATTGATTCTCGGACGAGCTCTGCTTCACACTCTGGCTCAAAGTTGTAGTTTCGATCTGGAAGGCCTTGTATGCCTAAGCAAGGAATAGGATTGAGAAGTTCACAGCATCCTGTATATATGGGCTAAGAGACTACTTTGTACGCACTCTTATCTCATCCACAAGGACTTCAATATTCGAAGTTGAATACCTCTTTTTTGCAAAGGTCCAACCCAGTCTTTAAAAAAAGAATACAGACAATAAATAGCGCCTGTCGCCGTTGGAATTGCCCGATAACCTTTAGAATAGCGTATTGAACAGACTCCCAACACCGCGCCTGCCATCACGGGACCGTTTGTCCAAGCGAGAAATTAAAAAAAAAAAAAAAAAAAGAAGAAAACCAATCCGTAATCGTCTTCGACCAAGAAGGTAGCATCCAATAACGCAGACAGGCAAACAGCAAACGGAGAGTATTCCCATGCCAGACCAACGCTCCAAAGAAGACAGTAGTGAAATACCACGCAAAATCCCGTTACCCAAAACTCCCAGCCAGCCCAACTCCATCATGTCCAACCACACAAAAAGAATACCAAATCCTACACAGCACGCATTAGTCCACTTATTGTCTACCTGTACCACTACTACCATCATGGCCAGCTGCTTGGCCCAAAGGTCTGCCCTGGTGGTACCGTCTTCTGAACAGCCTTGTTCTGCATATCAAGAGTCTGTAGTACTTTGACGTTTCCGAACCACCTTGGGGCTTCTGTCTCGCTGAGGTAGAGCGCGAAGAAGATGACCAAGGTCGACACGATCAGACCGCAATCGAGGGCTGATGACGTCACATAATTGTACTGCAGCCACCAGCCGGTCTTGCGGCGACGGATGAAGAAGTTGAAGATAGTGCCGACGATGCCCCAGCAGTAATAGATGAAGACCGTAGCCGGCGGCAGCATGAGCGAACCACCAAAGATGAGGGGCATGTTAACATAACGCCAGAGCGAGCGCGGGTATTTGCGGGCGAAGAACCAGGTGACGACAGGAGCAAGAGCTCCAACAAGCCAGAACCACTGCAGCGAGCTGTAGAGAGCGTCTCCCGAAAACATCCGGGCAGGGCCAATCGCACCCCAAATGATAGATGCGGTGTAGAAGACGCGAGCAGATGGGCAGTTCCAGTGATGAACCTGCGTCTCGGAGCAAACGTTCGGAATGGTGGCCAGGGCCCAGTTCATGACGGCGAGCTGGACAATGGCAGACCAAATGGAAGCGATGAGCTGTGACCAGAACATCAGCCGCGGCGGGACCTTCATGTAGTGGCCGAGCTTGAGATCCTGGACGAAATAGAGAGCCTGCGACATGCATAAGTAGCCGTAATTCTTGAACATCATCATGGCCAGAGGACGGCCAGGGAGCATGTAGCCGACGATAAACTCGGTAAGCACATTCAGGCCAAGCTGAATGTTGGTAATTGCCTGAACGATGCCGATTGGAATCGTCCAGATAATCGGTATAAGCATGCAGACGACGTAGGCCCACCAGGGGAAGTTGGTATCCCAGGCGCAAACAGTGGCGAACGACAAGCCGACCATGATGACAAAGAGCACCGCGTACCACCAGTCCGGAGCATCGCGATACTTCTTCATAAGCCTCATATGAACGTCGTCCTCCTGAGACCGGGCCAGCTTCCACTGAGTCCATATCTCGCGGCCGTGATAGAGGACAACGTGGGTGATGACAGCAGAGATAGCGGCGAAGGAGAGGCCATAGGCGAGTGCGAACTGCGTAGGGAGGTAGAGAGGTGAGTAGGCCTTGTACTTGGCCTCGTCGAACTGCAAGTCGGGACCCAAAATAGCCGACACATTGTAGATGTGACCGGTGTTGTCGTACGCGTGAGAGTTTTGGACAGGCAAATAAGCAGAGTACCACAACCCGGAGTAGTGGATTCCGATAGAGACGATAACGAAGAAGATGGTAACGCCTGTGATGACATTGGCAATGGCATGGAACGGCGGGATGAGAGGTGAATTGAGGTAGCCGGAAATGATACTCCAGTCCTGCCAGGGGTTAGTAAAATTTCTGACAGGTTAGAATAAAGCCTTCTCACCAGAGTGAAGGGGAACAATCCCCAACCGCTGTAACCGCCAAAGAGCTGGTTGACAATGACATTGTCTGGCCAGATCCAGGTAATGAAACAAAACCACGACAGACCCTGGAAGAGATAACCAGGGAACCAGTACCACAGGAAGGACCCTGCGAAGACAAGCAAAAACCACTTGTAACGACCAATGCGCCAGCCATTTGTCCTCGTAGGATCAGAAGGCGAGTGATCGTGAAGAGTGTAGAAAAGGGCGCAGTTAACGAGATCGGTTGGCCAGATCATGGCGGCAGGATAGACGAGGATTCTTCTCGCGATGCCGGCGAGGCCATAGCCCGTGCAGAGAGTTGTGATACTGAATAGCAACTGCCACAACCAGCCAAAATCCTGGCCGTACCACATACGCTGGGCGATGATGACGTCGCTCGAATAAAGGGCACCGCCACCATACGCAGCCTAGAGGAGAGATGTTAGCACTGACTAGCCTTGCTTCAAAACTAGGCGATAACAAATTACATTCGACATAACCACGATAATGACGTGCTCCTTGAAGTTGAAGGGGCCTGGCTTCAGATTAAACTTGATACCGCAGACATTCCACACACGATCGGGAAATATCAAGTCCCAGAGCAAGCCTAATGGGTAGGCGATGAGTTGGATGACAAAAGTAGTGAGCGAGATACTGGGGTTTCTGAGGGAGAGCAACATGTTGACGGCGGAGCCGACGGTGCATAGAAACATGCCAATGGCCCAGGCACGGATGGTGTTGACGGGCATGTCGACGTCGAAGTTCCGGACCGAGGCGCGCACTTCTGGATATGGCGAATTGTCCTCGTTCAAGATCTGCTCGATTTCGGCACCCTTCTCGACATTGGAAGTGTTGAACGCAATGTCGACCTCTTCCAGTTCGTCCAGCGGCAAGTTTGGGTCTAGTCGATGCATCTTCTCGAAGTGCTTCAGCGACGCGAAGTTCGCAGATTCCCCCTCCAGTGACCCGTCCATATCTGGAACTACAGCACTTTCGCGCCGCCGCCAAAGAGATCGGAGAAATGCCATAACCATGGTTGTTGTGGCTTTGTTACTTGCTATCCTCCTGCTCTCCTGTTCTTCCTCTACGCAGGCAGTCTCTTCGTGGCCCGCTCACCGTGCTTCTCGGCGCAGTAGGACCGGGAAGAGAATGGAAACAAGCGACTCGCAGTCGTTGCGGCTGTTGCCCTGTGGATGCTGACGGGCCGGGCTCGCGATCGGGACAAAGGTTTGATCAAGAATTGCCTATTACCCGTAGGGCGGGGACGGAGAGGAAGAGGGGTTGAAGAAGGCGAGACGCGGGAGGGCACAGCACGCAACTGAGCAGATCAGCTATTGAAACCGGGGGCGTGTGGCGTTAGGAGGTCTGCAAGTATGGCTAAGGCGGATGGATGGCTGCTACTGTCTGGTGCGTTTGTTGCTGGCCGTGGACATGGCTGTCCGGCGTGTTTGGTGCTCGGCGCAGTCGCTGAGCGGGGTTTGGGAAACCAGGCTGGAGGAAGCGAAGGTGTGCGGTTGACGGGACTGATGGGGTTGACAAATTGACGGGTAGGGTAGTTGGCGGTTGGTGATTGACACTTTACACGGAGACTGAAATGCCAGCAGATCAGATGTGCCGAAAAGGAGGAAAGGGAGAGGCTCAGGACACGGGTGGGTTTTCAAAAGACTGCGGCTTCGTTGCGACGCTACGGAGCAGAGCTGGAGGGGATTCGGGCTTAGGGGCCGTTCTGGCGACCGGGGGCAGGGCTACGGCGAGCGAGTGCTGGTCTTGCTGGGTTCTTGGGTCGAGTGCATCAAGACGATTCTGCCCCTCCCTCGATCCAGCCATTGCAACCGGCTGGGCTACTGTGGGTGGGCTTTGCTGTGGGTGGGCGACCGGCGCGACAGGGCGGCCACTTTACTCAGTGCGTGCAAGCCTCCAGCGGAACAGACGTTGGGAGCGGGGGGGGGGGCACCTTGCTTCCAGAAGCACGCAAGCAAGCCAGCATAGCAGAACATGCAGGCCCAGAGATGGACGACCTGCCTAAAACGGGATGATGGATGGGCCATGGGTCGAGCTCCCGATTCCATGACAAGGATCGAGGCGGGGGCTTGGCCCAGCTTGGCCCCTGGGGACTGGACACTCGATCACCACCCAATGGAACCCCTGGGCGCAGCACGTCTCTGCGCGTGCGACCCGTGGAGCTCGTGGGGATTCGTGGGACGCAGGCCGACCTGTTTTGGGAGATGTTCCCTGGTTCTGTCGAGCCATGCCGGTGCCGTCTCCATCAGATAAGACCGAGGGTTGCGCACTGCAATAACGCTAATGCCAGTGTGCCGATCATCTCGAGGTCGAGAGAGCTGGGGTGTCGCATTGGAATTGTATTGTCGCCGGGATGGACATGTGCTTGCCGTCCTCTCGCAGCTTGTCAAAGTCGATTGTAAGCCGTTGGTTGTCGTCGCCGACAATCTGCAGCCGATCTTGCGATCAGCAAGCACCCATCGTTCTTCGTGTGCGCTGCGATGGCGGGGCAGCGGCCAGCCAAGACCCCCCCCAGAGTCAATTCCAAGATATGGGCTGTGGGCGGCGGATTAAAAACAGCCGCAAAAACGCCAACGGCACCCACATGCGCGCCTACGGTGCCGCGCAGCCACTCGTCTAAGCCGTCTCATCAGAACCTTGTCTGGCCAAACTCTTGGCAACGGAGCTGTGGCATGTAAGTGTCTCGGCGAAAAGCAGGCCGACTGGGCTGCGGCGCTGGGCGATTTTTGGCTCGGGCTTGGTGTGGCCTTTTAATATCGGGAGATCCGACATCCATGGTATCGTTATCTGTCCTTTCCGTCCGTCGGCAAGACTGTGGTTGCGATTGTGGACGGGAAAGTCTCTGCTCAGAGTTGATGGTCGGTTCTTCAACATTTCATCAGCGAAGTTTTGATCTAGAGGTGTTCCTTAGGTCAGTTTGATGTGAGCCTTAACTGTCAATGGTGGACAGTGATCGGGAACCTGAGTTCCACTGAGCGCAGGAAGCTCCATCTCAGTCACCTATGTTCGGCGGCGGCTTCCGAGTTCGCTTTTACAGTAATTTACGAGAATACAACAAAGTGTAAGATACATAGATCAAGGAAGCGATCCCCACGCTGGACTCCAACTTCCACTTAGGTCCCTATCTCCCACGGTCTCGAAGCCGTTGCCCACATACAACATGCATTGTGTGGGAGAGTGGCGTGGTCTTCGTCAATAACGGATGTCTGCAAGTGAGAAGAGAACAGGTTGACAGGAACTCGCATGGGGATACTGTAGTTGGCAAGTCTGTGTCTCTTGTGCTCTTCTGTTAAATTTCCCTTCGAATAGGTTATAGCATTTCATGAACAGTCCAGGCCTTCGAACTCAACACTGCTTAGATGTATTTCCCATGTTGCTCGTTTCCTTCCAAAGCCAAGTCGACTAACAACAAGACATCACCCGTTGCCGGACAATTGCAGACCAAAGAAAGTACTGGCATAAGCCAAGCAAGGTGTTGAGTCTCCGATAAGTCCTCAAACATTGAATTGTTTCTTCTGATGAGAAGAGATGGAATGATCGCTTTACCCCACGCTTCCGTCCAGGGTCCATGTGGATCGCAGGACTTCCGTTTTACCTGGGTTGCCAAGACCCCACGAGAAAATCGTAACGGAACCTGGAAGCCGTTGTTTGTCTTCCGTCGCTCCCTCCAAGATCCCACCTTCGACGACAGTACCAAGCTCCCGTTTTTTGTCGCCTTCCTGCTCTTCTTTAAATCCACTAAAAGGCTGTCTACAGCCAAGGCCAAAAATGTTACGCCGGCCAAACTTGACGAATCGACAAGCTCCAGGGCGGTGAAGCTCAAACTCTTACAGTTGGTTCGTTTAGACGATCGCCCTTCCCAAACGGATCTAACATCTTAGTCTCCCTTCAACTACTCAAACATATCTCACTCTGAACGAGATGCGAAAGCAAAGAAAAAAAAAATCGAGTTGCTAGGCGATGTATCAAACTTGATTTGTGGCCACACTTTACATACTAGAACTCACTGCCGACGCCAAACTCAAGGACTGTTTTACTGCGATAAGGCCGTCCCCATGACCAGACTTTAGCGTCAACGAGACGTGATACAACATCAACACTGGGTCTAAAACATTACCTCCTGTCAGCCCAGTGTTGTCAATTCCTGCCCCGACAAACAGCACTTTTTGTGGGAGCGCTACGCGCGCAGTCACTGCAATGCTGTCCCGATCGGAACCCACACGGGCGGCCAAGTATCACGGGGCAGCACACACCCCACCAAAATAGCAGCGCATAAATTGGTTGCTCTTATCGGCTATTTACCATAGATTGCACCGCTGCTACCGCACACACAGGCCAATCCCGATTCCCACAAGGAGCATAGATGATGATTGGAGATCGGCCTTGTTTTCTGTATCCGGCTTGGGGGCACACCCTTGGCAGCCTTGGGTTTGGGAGGTCGACGCCGACGTCTCGGTTCTGGTGCCTGTGCGCAACTCCCATCGTTTCAGCCGGGTCGGCTCCCACCCAAGTTGAGAGATTATGACGGTGTTTGCCGACTCTATCCGGTGCCGATGCCTTGTTAGTTTTTGTGGCAACAGATATCGAGATACCTGCCTTGATACTGCCGCATGTGACATCAACAAGGCCATGGCCGCTCAGAGGTCAGCTCGAGCGGGCGATGGATAGTAGTTCATTCACCTCCAGAGCGCCATGCAACTTTATTGATTGAATCAGACTCCAGAGTCGGCCAGCAGGCTACGCGACTTTAAGCGACCTATCTGGACGAACAAAAAAAGGCATAAACGACAAGACATTTTCACATGCACAAGACCCAACCTTGCGTCTTGCTAGCCCGAGCGCGTATCTTGGGAGAGAAAACATCGAAACACATGTGCCCCCTGTGACAATGAAGGAGAAGCGAAGCAGCCTCACCTGGTTTAGAAGACTGCAAGATCAAGGAGATGACGCGGATCACTGAATCTAGCAGAAGGGGTAACCAGTTCGACGCTGCGTGGATCCCTTCAGTATTTTTACTCCTGGTATGAAAATCTCAGGTATCTCAGGTCAGCATCAACGGGAAGAGGGGGGTAGGGAAGCATGGAGCATCGCGGCATCACCGAGACGAAAGAATTATTCCCAAGCCCATGGGGAATTTAGAACAACGTAACAGAAACAAAAAGTTTATGAAAAAGAATACATTAGAAGATAATGATGGGGCTTGGCCGGGGATCGAACCCGGGACCTCTCGCAAACTTTGCTACAGGGTGAACCCTAAGCGAGAATCATACCACTAGACCACCAAGCCAATCAGATCGCTGGAGCGATAGGTCGACGACTTGGTTCATGATGGCTGCCAGAGGAGAGTGTCCGAACGTTGCACAAATCTCTGTGGCACTTCTTTTCTAAACAGACGGAGGGTGGTTCATCACCTGTGCGGCTAGCGTCGTCAGCATCATGATCTCTTCGTTGTTAAAGTTACCCCCTGAATAACCCAAAAAAGAAAAAAGAAAAAAAGAAAAAAAAATATCTGCACATAACTCTCTATATAGCAACGGGTGCCTATGGGCAAACAGTACCAAGTTATCGCTGCTTCGAAAGTTTGATCAAGCAAGTATGCCTCCCATGCTAACTGCTACAACTCCTTGCCCTTCCATCCCTCCTTTTCGAGAGCCCATCTCACTCCTTCCCTAACATCTTTCACGATCTGCTTGGGCTTATGTACTCCGTCCAATTTTCGGCCCATCTCCGGCTTCCAAACTCCCGTCCTCACCAGAACCGATACCCACTCTGTTCCCTCCTTACTGGCGTAGCTGTTCGCGCCAGCAATGTCGCTTTCCGGGTTATCGCCAACCATATACACCCTCTTCAGCGGCGGGTGCCCCTTCTTCCCGCACTCCCCCTCGCCACACTCATCTACCAACTTGATTCCCATCTTGCGCAGCGTCTCCGCGCGATGGTCCGCCAACACGCCTTCCGCATACCGGTACGTGTTGGCAAACGGCTTGCCGTACCTCGTCACATTCTGTAGTTCTGCTCCTCCCGTGATTCGCCTCCAGAGTCCTTCTAGCGCGGCCTGGAATGCGCCCTGTCCGAGTCGCGGGAGATGGTAGCGGGCCGCCCATAAGAGGTCCGAGTTGCTGAAGTAGATGGGTGGTTGACCGTCTTGCTGCCAGCCGTTGTTCGGCAAGCTCGGGTTGTTATTGAGGGGTGAGTATGTCCCGACGTAGCCGCGGTGCGAGAGCAGGATGTCGGTAATCACCTGCAAATCGAGGGCCCAGTCACGGGGGTCGTTGAGGACGAAGATAGCGTCAATCTTGAGGGTCGAGGTGATGGGAAGAGAGGTGTCGGAGTGAGTGCGTTCTGGAGGCTGATAAAGGGGAGCAGGCAGGGGGCAAGGACCACCGCTTCCTTCAAAGTTCGGCGGGGAAAAGGGGAATATGCTTTTGTCTGCATTGAAGATATCGCCAACGGTCACCACGCGACGGAAGCCGTACCTGGGTTGCTGTCATCAGCTTTAACTTACTCGATAGTTGGTTGCTTCTGTTGAGACTTACGCCTGGAAGATGTTTCGACATCTGTTATAGTCGGACCCGGTCACTAGCACGGTCTTTTCGCGCAAGCCATCCGGGCCGTCAAGGAGCTCTTGAAAGGGAGTGTGAGACTGTACAAAGTTATCCGTCGTCAGGTGGACTCCGAGCTCATCGCTGAGATTCTTGACCCGGTCCAGTTCATGCTTCCCTCCACCATTGGTGAGAAGGATAAAGGGAATATTGTTGTCACTCAGAAACTGCAGAGTCTCGGGTGCACCAGGGATTGGGCGAGACACATGCAACAGGACGCCATCTATACTATTCCATGTATTAAGGAAGCTGTTATAAGGGAGTTTCCCAGATGCACAAAATACTTACTCGAAGGCAAAGGCAAACGAAGGAGGTTCTGGTCCCGTCTGGCTTGCATCTGTCCTAAACCCTTTCGCTAGGAAAGGCACGGCCTTTCTATCTTGTACACCCCGCCATGACCTGAGGTGATGTGGTTGTCTCGTAGAGGGAGTAGAAGTGCATAAGCCAGCAACAAGACACTCCCTACCTGCCTGGGGTCGGGGTGGAAATGTTTGGGTTGCTGTAACACGCCGTGAACCTAGCAAGGAGCTCAGCCCATCCAAGCGCCTAGGTATACTGTTAGCAATTGCTAGTTGTTTGGGAAACAATGATCACTTTCTCAACAGATGCATGGGATGCAGCAAGAACTAGCATCCAATCTGTTGAGAGCCTGCGAGGACTTAATTGTATAAAAAGGGGATGAGCACCGAAGTACAACCAGTACCTGTTTAGCAGCAAGGAACGACGATGCGACAACAGTGCCGCCATAGCTTGAAACGCTCCCTCACTTAGATGAATCGACTGCTTAAAGATACACCTATTCTACTAGAGCGCTTCGTGTCCTCAGTTGCCTTGTTATCTCATCCCGCAATTTTGTTCTCGGCTGTACTGTCAAGAGAGTCTCTCCCAGGACTACAAGGCTGCTGAAGTGTGCGTGGAATGGCAATTGTTTCGGAATTTGCATATATGCGGTCGCCAGTGCACCTAGGATGAGCTAAGTAAGGGTCCTGGTCACAGCAGCTGGGAGGGCGGATGATGAGCGAAGTTCGAATGATGGTTGAACCGAACCAATGGAGCTCCACTGTTTTCGAATCAAGGGCTGGGCTCCGCCGTTTGGATGCCCCACCTTCCCACCTTAACGAGACACCCACCCGGTTTTTATCAAGAGTTTGGGTCACACTGGGTGATGGAAACTCGGAAGTTCAGAATCGGACTGAATTGAGCTTTAACTGGAGTACGTAACCTGGTACTAATGAATTATGATGGCGATATGACCTCCAAAACCACAGCTTCTGCTTCGTTGTGCTCATAACGCGGGGCCGCTGATAGTTGAGGGGAAGCTGAGGCGCTGATTGTTGTTCTCTCGCACCCGGCATCCAAACATTGTTACGATGTGATAACACATGGCAGCCTACAATACCAGCCACATAGTGGACACATGCATTCTGGGAAACTCGTTCATTCCAATCCTGCTCTATAAGTACAAAAAAAGCAACCCTCGGTTCTCTGTCATGAACTGCACCCCTTGTCCTTGTGGTGAATCGGCGCCGGCTCTTAACTGGAGCCTGCGGTTTAACCCTTACCTTATCCCCTTTGCCATTACGATTACTAGCTGGGCTTCCGGCCTTCTTTACCACCTCCATCGCTCATCAACCATTATTGGGCTTTGACCAGAGACAGACACAGCGCCGACCATCCCAACCAGGCACGTACCGATTGACGAAAACGGGATGATGCCCCAACCACGTGAGTTGAGCCCGCCACCTCGTCCTCATATAGGCAAGACATGCATCGAAAGCTATGTCATGCTCCCATTTTGTCCACGCAATGTTTCTTGCCTGTCGTCATCTATGTCCCGTTCCGCTGCGTCATAAAGCAACCACAGGCCACTTGCCACTTTTTACACGCCATGGAGAACAGCACATACACCCCCAGCCTCAGCCCCCGAATTAACAGGAGAAAACGAAATATCACTTCACGAATCCTCGCCCAAGTAAGTTCCTGAATGGAAACCTCACTGCTTAGGAGCCAACCAATGCAGACAACAAGCCGCCGCCAAAGAATTAGAGGGCAATAAACCGAGAAGGGAGTGAAAAGGGAAGAACAAAAAGCAAAAAAAAAAAAAAAAAAAAAACACCCTCTCCATGGACTCAGAGTAGACAGAATCGAACACCCGCTTTTGAAATTTCACCGACGAACGCCTCGCCGAATCGAGAAAGTGAAAGTAGTCGTCAAATAGAAGATAAATCTCTAAATCGAATGGGTAAAACAAACAAATTATGTCGTGAAGAACAAGACTTGTATTCACATAAGCAAATTATGTCGTCAAGCCCACTCGATCATATGCGTTTGTCGGTATATTTTCTATGTGCCGTTTAGCGTCAAGATTGAGAAGATCGCTCAGGGCAAACACTCGCCAGACCGAAACTGAACGGGACTCATATATGATTAAGGCGGCTTGTTGCTTGGAAAAAGATTGAAGCAGAATTTAATCGACGCATCCACCGAACCGAAACTACGCGAAATGACCCAAACAACCCCAATATCCGGAATATCAACGCCCAAGAGCAGAATCATATCCGTCCAACCCGTTCAGGAAATGATGATGTCGATGCCGAGATAGAAGAAAAACCGGGAGATCGCCGAAGACACGCGTGTCATGTCATGCTAATGCCATGCCATGCTATGCAGCCCAACCGAGGAAAACGATGCAAGAAGAAGACACAGGAATTGCCACAAGAGACTATGAAGATCAAGCCCAACTGGAGTGCAAGGCGCGAGTAGAGTACGACCGAGAAGAGTGAGGAGAAAATGGGATTGCGCGGACGAAGATCAGACGTAGTGTGAGCGTAGTATGCCGTAAGCCATTCCAATTTTTTCTTTTCCCTTTGGCCGTCCTTATTTCGTACAATCGTCGTCGCTATTGTCGCGGAATTGATTTAATTAGGAAGCTTTGATATTTCGCACAAAGCCTCATCTAAACAAGCAAAGTACCGCTGAACACAAAAAAAAAATCTCCTCATTACAGAGTAACCGAAGGAATGTCTCTCTCGTCGTTGCTCCCTCGATTAAGCTCGACTAACTTGACTGATCGAGGTACGGCTGCGTTCATCCTCTTCAATGACATCGCTCAATCGAGTTGGGTGGTGGTGTCGGGGCATCGTTTCCCAGCCTGGCGTAGCATAACCCTGGCCTGAGTACGGGTCAGCGGGCCATTGTGAGCTGGTCGGGGGATAGTGGCTCGACGGCGGCGGCTGCGACGATCCCGGGGTTGTTCTTCCAGTCAAGTAGTCGTCTGCAGCGGCAGCGGCGGTGGATCCGCCGGGCGCATTGGTTCTTCGCCCTCCGCGGCTCGGCGACGCTGACGGGCTGTGGAAGGGGATCCTGTTGCCGTGCTCGTCGCGCACATAGTTACCGCACGCGTCGATCATGTACTCACCTTCGCTGTAGCCCGCATCAGAGCCAGCCCCATAGTCAGCCATGTCGTGGCCCGCGGGATCTCCTCGGTGATAATAGCCATCACCGGGGAAATCTGATCCCGCTGAAGTTGATGGTGGCACGACAGGAGCGGGCGCCGCTCCATACTCGTGGTACTGGCCTGTCTGCGCGGCGGCATATTCCGAGGTTGTTGTGGCTTGACTTTGCGAGCGAGCATGCCGGCTTGTGGTACGGCTTGGGATACCGTGCGTCATGGGCACGACTTGAACGCCGCCCACAAGGGTCGGGTGACCCTGCTGTAGTGAGAGAGTGCGATCGCGCTCTTCTTGTTCGCGACGGCCAAGTTCTTCCCAGGCGCGCCGCGCTTCTTCCTTTGAGATGAGCAGCTCTCGTCGCATCTCGGCGAGCAGTTTCTGGAGCTTCTTGTTCTCGGCCTCCTTCTCGGCCACGGCTGCTTGTGCTTCGGCTCTCGCTTGACGCTCTTGTTCCATCTGGGCCTCGAGCATGGCATTAACCTCCTGGTGCCTCTCCAGCTCGGCGCGCGTTTCGAAAAACCAGCGCTGGAACTTGCGTTCCGAACTGGCGCGCAGCCGTTGCAGCTCGACCACAGCATGAAACAGATTCGCCCCGGCAGCAGACAGGTCGGCAACTTGGCGCGAGAGCTGGGTGTGGATCGGGTTGCGCTGAGCCTCGTCTGTATTTTCTTGGAGCCTGCGCAGCCAGAAGCTCGTCATGCCTTCCCAGTGCGCTGAGAGGGCTTCCCAACGCTCAAATGCATGGGGGAACGTGTTTCTGATCCTGGTCCCGCCAAGGCCATGGGAAGACTCGCCGGTCCGGGCTGGCGCCGGAGTGCTGAGATCGGGCTGGGAGGTAGGGGGGTAGCTAGTGGAAGCTTGGGGCTCGGTTGTCGCTGGAACTCGCGTACGCAAAGGCGGCACAGTGGCTGGAGGTTGCGACTGGGTTGGTGACACCATACCTGCTTGTAGGCGTGAAGACGCTTGAGCTGACTCCTGGGCACGTTGTTGGCGACGCTGAGTCAGGGGGTCGGTTGTTGGGGGTACATCGGAAGCAGAACCAGCGCCAGCAACGGACGGCCTCTGCTCTGCTTGACGCCGCGAATCTTCTAATAGCCGGGCTTCTTCTTCAGCGCGTGCGCGCTCCATTTGCTCTCGTTCCCGTTCGGCGCGTTGTCTAGCCTCACGCTCAGCACGCTCGCGCATGATCACACGCGGGCCACGGATGACTTGCTGAGGAGAACCGGTTTGGGACGGCGAGGCAGTGGGTCGAGAAGACGACGCAGGCTGGCCATTGGTCGTGGGAGGGGCAACATTGGCCCCGAGGAGGTCGGCCATGGAGGCGTTTTCTTCTTCTAGGTCGGGGGTGAAAGGATGTGGTTGTCTCAGTGCGTCCTCGAGAGCCCACAGAATGGCACTCCTCCTATGCTTCGAGAGCCGACTAGATGGGTACTGCGGGGTTGGACTGGCCCTTGCTGCCAGTCGGCGTTTGTGTTCAAGGAAAGAGAGCCGGCGCTCGGCCGGCGGTTGTTCGTCGTCGCTTGAGCTCTGGGAGGGCTGCCGCCGGAGGGGATCGAAGGGTTGCTCGTAGGGTCCCGGGATCTCGAGAAAGGGCCGGGGACTGTGGATGCCGACGGTAGCGGTGGCGGCGGCGGCGGCGGCTTCGAGGTAGTGGGGCCGGCGAGAGGGAGTCGGGGTATCGAGGGGGACGGGACGAGGGCTAGGGTTGGAGTAGAAGCCGGAGGTTCGACGAAGAGTCCGGTGAGACGACGGGGTTGGAGAGGGGTCGTCTCGCCGGAAGGAGGTGACAGAGTCCTGACTGAGGGGAATTGTCCGTCGCTGGCGCTGGGGCGGTGTGGCTGGGGTGTAAAACTCGCTGGGGAGAATCGGCGAGGAGGCTACTTGACTGCCAGCAGCAAGGTCTCCCAAAACACCAGCGGGCACCGGCGTGGTCGACAAGGCGAAGGGGTCACCACAGGAGCTGTGGTGACGAGGGACACTGGCTTACGGAGAAGGGACCTGGAGGTTGGGAGCACTCCCAAGGTTAGACGTTGTTGCCACCAACCGGGGGGTCGAGGGGTCGGGGCTGGAAGCAGTAATGGAGTGGCGGGGGACGGGGATGGAGCTTGGACGCGAGCGGAGCAACCGAGCGCCAAGACGCGACGAGAAGGGGCAGCGAAGGGGGCCACTCACGGTTGGGGCAGCTGAGGAAGCTCGGAGAGCTGGGATAAGCTGGTGATCGGGCGGGAAGCTCTGGACGCACACAGAGCAAGGAATGGGCGGTTTCCGAAAAAGAGCGAACGAGGCCTGCCGACGATGACAGGGCAAAAACTCAACCACAGTTTTTGTTTTTTTCCCGAACAATGACTTGACCTGTGCTTCTGAGTCGCAACGCCGGCGAGCGCGACACTCGCATCGACTGAGCAGCGCCCGACGAGCTGCCGTTGCAATTGCAATTGCAATTTGCGAGGCGCACGCGGCAGGCAAGCCGGGCCTGTTACACCAGTTCCAGGTTGACCGTGGCTGGGGCACGAGTGCGGTGTGGTGCTGGACTGCTGGTGATGCTGCTCCCAGCTGGATCCAGAATTCCAGGCTGGATCTGATGGAGATTGTGCGATGGTGGTGCTGGATAGTGTGGATGTGCCGGATGTGCTGTGTGCACCAGCAGGGCACAAAAAATCCGGAGGCGGGACGAGAGACGAGACTCAGAAAAGTGCGTGGCTGGCTTCTGCCAAAAATCGCATGGGATCGGTCGGGTGGCCGTTGCAGCGTTTTGCAACTTGCAGGCGCCCCGTTCCAAGTTGGGCTGGCGCGCCGGCGCCAATTGCAAGTTGCAAAAATTTCAAAAAGGAGCGACAGGTTTCAAAATTCAACGACGGGATGGCTTCAGCTTATTGGGTCACGGGCTGTAAGCATCGAGCAGCAAGGCAGGCAGTCCTGGGCACCTAGAAGCGCGTGTCCAGCGGCAACAGCAGGCAGGCTGGGCTGGTGAGATGGAAAGAGCGAACAGCGTGAGTAGGCGACTGGATGTCCGAGTGAGCGAATGAGTGAGTGGGTGGGTGGGTGAAAGAGTGAGTGAGTGGGTGGGTGAAAGAGTGAGTGAGTGGGTGAGTGAGCGAGCGAGCGAGTGAATGAGTGCTGAGAGCCGAAGCTGTGCGAGTGTATCTGGAGCAAAAAAAGAGTGTGCAGCTGCTGATGAGAGAGGGACTGTTCCTTGGTTTGGCCGAGGCCGTCGCGTTAGCAACCAACTATTTGTTTTATCTTAAACCTCCTGCTATCTTCATGCTTTTTGCATCGTGCATCCGGCTTTCCTCCTTCCAAGCCCAAACCTTAGCAACTGGTCGACGTCGCGACGCCCCATTCGCGGCGCTTGCATCGCGTCAGGCTTCGCTGCCCGACCAACTGCCGCGGCCAGCTTCGAAGTAGCAAAACCTGCAACCTCTTACCACTCTCGTGCCCTCACGCGTCGGGCGTCTTCCACACCCACATCCAATCATCCAATCCCAGGGAACAAGACGAAAAAAAAAAAAAAATACTCAGCGCTGCACTCACCGCCTCCTCACGACCGCAATAGATTGTTCGTCTTCTGTAAACGAGGGACTTCGGAAGCCGAGCGTCTAGCTGTGCAGCAGGGACATGCTCGAGCTCCAATGGCTTAGAACGAGAGACAAGCGATCGAGAATCGATCTGCAAGAGTCCAACAACAAGTTGCCCAAGCTGTTGACGCTGACGCAAAATCTGAAAGGACAGACACTGAATAAACGGGAGAAAAGCGGTCGAGGGGTCCAAGTACACACCGGCCGCTCAGGGGGACCGGCGCTAACCTTTGCAGTGCACGGGCCTGGCTGGGGAAAAGTTGGCCAAGGTGCCAGGCGGGCCTGGGCTGTGGGCTGGCCTTGTCGCTGCGTGGCCTGTGACTCTCTCGCCAACCCGGCTAACGAGATCAGCAGCTCGCCTCGTGGGCGGAACGCTTGTTCGGGGTAAGGAAGTACGTAGGTACGGGTCCGTACTTTAGGATGCCAGGAAAACCGGCTACTCGATGTTGGCGGACTCTTTCGTACTGGGGATGTTGGACGAACACGCAGAGGAAGTATGCCTGCGGATCATGATCTCCAAAGTTTGAGCACTAAGACGCCAGCAGGTTACACTGGCTACTTCATTGGTGCCGAAGATGACAACGTGATGCCTGGTTGAACGCTGATGCTTCTTCTCTGCTCTCCCGCAGGTCGGCATGACCGGAAGACGACATGATAAAAGTCCTGAAGGGAACTTCCAATCCCCTCCTTTTCAGCTGACCGAGATTCAGTCCTTCATTTGTGTTGCTCATATAAGCGTCTCCGGGATTCCCATGATTGCATGCAAACCACTGACGTCAAAGACTCGGGGCTTCCGACCAGCACTAAAAACAAACGCTTTACGTCTATGCATCATTTTGCCTGATCACCCAATCATACCTTGGAAGTTTTTCTCGACTATTATACTCGGGACTTTTGTTCGTATCTGCTTGAACCCTCCATCGAGCTTGGGAGAGATCCGGTCTGCTTCGATGCACAACAGCCAGATGTTAAGTGCAAAAAGCTCTGATGAGCTGGCATGCCATACTGGAGCTGATGGACCTGTGGACGAAACGAAACAACAGATCCCGACATCAGGACGAGAAGTTCCGATTGGCCATCCTCAGCCAGAGCCCCACATCCTCTTTGGTCCTTCTTTTGTGCTTCTCGAACATTTGTGTTTCATCTACTCGTTCACTCCGCGCTTCCACCATAGCATAATCCCCATCAATCCAAAGGGTCGCTACCTACATACCTACATAGCGCATGGTTGAGCAGGGCCGGCCTACCTACTATTGCCCATAGATTGCTACAACTTATATAGAAGCAGAAAGCCACTCACACTGAATGTTGGTTCAGGTCCTGCTAAATCACCTAAAAAGCGCTTATGCATGAAAACGGGTTCTGAACGTTACATTCAACCGTTTGATGTGGTCCGTGCATTTGGCTTGATTCTGTCCAATCTTGCAGGGGTGTTTCTTCCTTGTAGGGACCAGATCACTTTGGTCGGCTGTTTTTGTTTGCACTTCAATGAAGATCCCATGCAGCCTGCCAGGAATATATATCGGTAACTTGCGGTTTTCAGGAATCCTTCCATCTAGGCAGTTCTGGACGTCAGATCGTTGGAAACGTTCAACGAGATCATAGAGCATAAAACGTCGGGATCTTGGTAATCCTTGCCTATCTGTTCCACAAGGTGCCTATGGGGACACTCCGTGGTTTGCTCGGAGTGCATACCCCATACTCTTGAGCTTTCACCGAGTCTTCAAGTTACTTCCGTCGTTTTTCTACAACACCTAATCCAACAGCATCTAGCCGTCCCGGTCTTGTTCATCTTCCTCCTCCGAAAATATGTGGCGCCGACTAGCCTCGATCCCAAAGCGCCACAGCGCCGAAGGTCCCTGAATGGAGGGTAACCAGCACCATGGTGCCTGCCCCACGCTTGGGCGAGCTGGGCTCAATCGAAAGGGTGGCCTCGTGCAGACCTATAAGAATCCTTTGACCTGCAAGTGTTCATCTATTCCATACCTCCCCGATGATCACAGTAAGCCCCGTTGTCAGTGTTGCCTGGTAGCCCCTCGCACTTAATTAAGGGTATGACGTCGTATGTCGCAAGGTTCCTGGCTTTGCGCCACGTCTACATAGCGCAAGCACGGCATACCATTGGGGGCGAAAGACAATGCCTGCCTTTTCTTTCGTTACATCTGGAATCGAATGGTCGGCGATCAAGGCCATGAGCGGCGGCGACCTCAAGGCGCGGGGAAGAGGCGAAGCCTTGAACGGCACAACTAAGTCTGCGCCAGAATGCAACCCAAGCCTGTGGTTCACACCAAGTTCTTCGTTGCTGACATCTATTTAACCAGGAAGCAGGAAGGTATGGTGGACCCACGCCATCCTGGGGCTTCTTCTCATCCTACTCTTGACAGAAAATCGGCCTGAGTATTGTGGGAGCCAAGACCTCAAAGTTCACGAGAACCTTGTGCTCAAGTGGTACTGATGCCCTTTGACACACCTTGAGAAGTTGACAAGGCCGCAATGTCTCCATGCTGCCGCAGTATTAGACAGGCAAAACCCGGACAATGGTCAATCTGCCCCGGGCCAAGCGCTCAGGAAGAGATTTGCAACGCGGGATGAACAGCGAGTGGTGGGATTATACTGGTGCTTTTTATCCAAGCGGGTCGCTTGGTCGCCAAACCTGAGCAGCGATTAGCACCCAGGTAACCAGCGAAGGATCACTTCTGCAGACAGAACGGGCTTCTTCTACCCACCCACCGATACATTCGCGAATGAGACTAGGTGACCTCCGGCGACTGGAAAGTTGTCTCGGCACTGTTCTCTTGCTTGAGGAAAGATAGTCAACAAGCATTCCGGAAGACATTGCTGGTGGGTATGTCAATATATGTGAGCAGTCGAAGGATTCTTGAAGCGATCGAATGGCCACTGCCAAGTTGTGCCGTCCGTCCTCTGTCACTCTTCAGCGCAGCTACGCGGCGCAGGTCTTGAGATTGTATCATGGTAATAACCCGAGCGGATGCTTTAAAGCTCACACGACCCCAGAAGTAGGTAGGTGGGTATGTTGGTATCGGCGAACTTATAACTGTGGTGTTGTCATGTGTCTATCCAGACATATCTACTCAGACGCCGTTCTCAAGACGACAAGGGTAGGCTTGGATGACACTCATCTATCTTCTACCTCACCTTGTTGGATCTCGTCCATCATGCCGTGACTACCATATGCATCATCGTCCTTGCAGTCGACTGACTCTGACGGTGACCTGACAACTTGGAACCACTATGCCCGCGGCAGTTCACTGGTCTCTTGTGAAGTCAAGGCTCTGCCAACCGCAAGATGCGTTTGCCATCAACCCGGTCGGCCCTGTGCCATACAGCAGCTACCAGGCGTTTGGAATATCCCTTGTTGTTGTCTTCCCCCTTCTGTCAGTGACAGTCTGCGGCCTGAGGGTATATAGCAGACGTATCTCTTCAGGGCTGGGCGTGGGTAAGTAAAACCATGATGTTGAGAAATTGTCCCTTTGTCTGGTTTAACCTGTTATTAATGAGACATTACTCAGACGATTGGTTGATTTTCCTGGCTGCGGTAGGTTTAAAGTGTGGAATCCTTTCGGGAGCACTCCTGTGCTGATGACTAGAATCAGGCCCTTGCTCAACCGCATGCTATCTTTTCCATTCTTTGTATGAAACCCCTTTATCGACCATAAAGCCTGTTGGATTCACTCTCTCATTAGAGCAAAGCAACTGACGGTGTTTGAGATTAGATATACGAACTGGATATTGGGGGTTACATGATGAGGATATCCCTCCTCATCCACCAAACCAGGGGCTGTTTTGTGCCTATCTGACCCGAGTCTTTCACACACCGCTCCTGGCCTTGGTCAAGATCTCAGCGTTGTTGTTTATTCTTCGGCTTGGTCGGTCTAAGACGTCTGTCCGGAGGTTTTGCAAAACCTTGCTCTTGATTTGCACTCTACAACTCATCGTCTTCTTCCCTATAACTGTTTTCAAATGCCGGCCTATTGAGAAGAGCTGGACCTCGCGGGGTGACGGGCAATGTCTGAGCCATGGGGCTGTCACAGTTATTCTTGCATGCTTCAACATCGCCACCGATATCTTCACAATCGTTATCCCATTCGTCGCCTTTCATGATCTCAAAGTGCCAAATAAGATACGTTATGCTTTATTGGCTGTCTTCACCTTAGGAGGCCTGTAAGTGTTACGGCATATATACCTTCAGGCATATTCGCTTCTTTCCTTCTCAAATCATGGATTAGTAACTGACCGTACTAATCGCTTCGGCTCCCGACACCGACAACAGCGTGATAGTGATCAGCATCTTACGACTTTATTTTGTCATCAAGGCCTGGTACCTACCACCAGGTAATGATTCGCGTTACTCGTTAGGCTATACGACCAACTCGATCGAGGTCAACCTGGCCATCATAACGGCGAGTATTCCAGCGTTATGGCCATTGGCTCGAGCATGGTTTCCCCGCGCATTCTCATCCTTGGGCATTGATCGCCCTTATCTATATCCCGATATCGAAGTAGTGTATGATACGACACCATCATCTCCAATTGGGACGACTCGACCAACAATACATGCCATCGGCGAGGACGGCGCGGTCCGTGTGCCCAAGCGGGCTGTCCTTCGTGGCAAAATCCGGTGGCTCCAGAAGCGCCCTGGCCCTCCCAGCTTCGTACGTCCAGCCATAAGTGTTGACGAGTCACGACACTCGGCAAATGCAATTGCAGGAGGAAGCCATGAAGATAAGACTGAACAACCTAAACAACCTTTCCCAGAGAAACAACGCCCACAGCCTTCGGACATCCGGACTTATCAAAAGCAACAACATCAGGGAGGAGCATCATTGGCTGGCAGTGCGCAAGAGCAGCAGCAGCACACCAGTTCTTCAGCCAGAGTGCTTTCAGGGGAAGAAGGAAGCAGTGAGGACGATGGGAGCGTGTTGAATTATGATTATCATAGGTTTCTTCGGGGCAGTGAAACTGAGACCAGACATTAGAACCGGTATGGCCAAGATTGGCGTCGCCAGACACCGGGGAATGAGTTTCGGTGACACAAAAGCGATGACTGGATAAGGCTGCGGAGGCTGGGATGAAATAGCTCGAGGACTGTCAGCTGGGGGCTTATCCGCGCAATAGCGACTACCCTGAAACAAGGTAACACAGCCAAGTATCCGAATCGACGAACCTGACCAGCATGTTTCCCAGGCAACTCAAATGAATTCCTCAGGGAGGTGGGGTTGGATCGAGAGCAAGCCTGCAGGGTATTGGAGTAATGCGTAACGAGAGGTCGAAACAAGTAGTAGGAAGTCTTGCCCCCGGGGGGGGGGATTGATTGATACCAAAAAGTCGTACAGATCTTGCTTTCATAAGTAATCGATAATTTGTTAAGTCTTTTGCCCCTGACGTTAGAGCTGTTGAAGTGTGATCAGTGCTATGGTTAAGGTTGGGTACTGTCCGACTTCGGCTATTATCCCCTTTTGTTTGTCTTGTGCCATGGCGCGACTTGCAGGGTGCTGCAGTGTAGATCGCCCGAGCGGCGATGGAAGGAGAGCAGCTCAGGGCTACGATGCAGCACAAGCGTATAAGCTCGGGAAACGGGCGGTGCCCCTAGAGACGGGATCGCCACGAAAATAAAAGAAGTCTACCTCGAGGTCAGCAACAAACCAATGCTGAAGCCTCTTGCGAGTGCTGTTTCCAGGTTTCAATTCTCAGCTTTGACACAGCAATGACTACCAGGTTACTGATTCGTAGTTTGTGACAACCAATGACGGGCAAAAAATTACCACACTGGGGTTGTGATGGATCCAAGCAGAGTTTAAAGAAACACGGCATAGCCAAAATCTTGAGAAGGAGGAATGATGTCGTACAAGCTGACGTCCCGGGAGTGTTGGGACTCAAATTGTCATTTAGAGTCTGTGTTTGTCGACAGGTGTCGACTTGGGAAAGACTCAGCAAGAAAGAACCTTGAAGGCCAAATGCTATCCTCAATTCCCTTTCTCTTTCCTGCAAAACAGGCCAAGGTGCTGAGCGCTGACTAAGCTGGGTCTCGGCGTGTGATTGGTCCCAGCTTCCCAGTGGGGACCAGGCCAAGTGACGGCTTGCAATTGCCTGCAACCGGGCTCCTGCTGTGGCTCCCGCAGACAAAGTGTGGGTGGAAGAAGCAAACCACCAGATGATTTCTGGTGACTATTCGATACTGCAGAGTACTGACAGTCTGGAACTGCTGCCAGCAACACTTAAGTCAATCAAACAGGTCACTTTTTTACATAATTAATGCTGCGTCCTCTTGCATTGCATGCGCATCATGAGTGCAACTCATTTTGCTTTCTTGAAATTCCAACCTCGCCCCGCCATGTCCCTGATGTCCCCTCCCTGTCTGCGCTCGTACTAAAACACATGCAAAAGCAGGTAACAAAGCACACCCAAAGGCCGGGCAGAATCACTGTCTGATTCAACACCCAGGCACAGGCCATAGGCATAGCCGCGTAGATATCCGATGCACTGCAAGACTTGCAAGCCCACGATGGCATCCTCGGATCAGTACCGCAAGCTGATTCTTCCTACTGCCTTTCCTTACTTAAGCTTCCTTGGGCAGGGCTGGCAGTGTTGTCCAACCAGGAAAGGCCCTCCTGTTGTACGAATCACACTAACAACTGGTTTCCGATTGGTTCCCAGCAATTGAAGGTGCAGCCATCTCTTGTCCTGGGCCGGGAGATCGACCTGCAACCTCCGGGGAACCAGGAACCAGGACAGAAAGGTCCAGATCATGGTAATAGAGCTCGGTTCGGACGCTATCGTACTTAGAGTGTCCCAACGAGTGGATAAACATACTGGGAATCATCTGAGAGAAAAAAAAAAGTGCTTATTGGAAGTCTGATGGTGTTTAGAGCTGCTGCCAATGCTGTCACTTTTCCTGCTTGTGCAAAGCCATTCAAGAGGGATCTTCGAAGAGGGAAAATCGGGTCTGTTTTCCTCGCTGTGCCAGATGCAATGCCATGTCTCGGCCAGTCGGTGGCATTGCCGTGCTCCCCTCCCTCCCCAGGACACTTCGCTTCCAAGAGAATGGGAGGACTGCCTTCTGCGTATTTACTCTATGGGGTACCTGACTTGTTCTACAGTTTTGCTTGTTAGCTTGGTACTTGATGCAATCCAAAACAAGGATATTTGGTCAATGATCTAAACTTCTAGCAGTCGAGAAGTTGGCGGCTGTTGAGAAGGCTCGAGGATCGCGAATATAGCTACTGGACCTCTTCTCTGACCAAGGACAGTTCTTCCCAATCAGTCCTGCCTCTCAGAATGCCCAAGATGCTCACAATCAATGAAGATGGGCTCAGAATGTGAGAGCTTCAAGCCACTACGAGAAAGGGGATGCGGCTGACAGAAAGGTACCACGCTAACATATAAACGAAGGTAGATGTGTACGTTAACAAAGTTGCCATCAGGGACAGGTACACCATCCATCGATCTATGCACTCTACACAATGGGCAAACAACGAGGCAGAATACGCACATACGTTTCCCGTGTCGGTTCCCTACGGGAAATGAAGCGACACGTCGAACGGGCTCGAATGCTTACAAGACGCTGTCGGGCCGTGTCAGTCAGCATAGCAAGTGTGAACAGCAAGGGCGTGTGTCGAGATGGGCCGCCACTCTCCTCTTGGTGTGTTCGCGACTCACATTCACATCTTCGTCCGATGTCTGTTGGGCCTCACCTGTGCCCTCATTTGCTATGCAGGCAGGCTTGTGATTCTCGGATGACGATTGCCACGTCTAGCCCGACGCCCCGGATGGACAGAAAAATCTGGGGTTCTTCCGTGCCATCCCTTTGACAGGAAAGCTTGCTTTTTTTTTGCTACCACTGCGATACGTCATACGCACTGGAACGACCAGACTCTGTCTGAGCGTACAACGCGGCTTGACGGTAGTTGCACTTCACCCAGACACGGCTGAAAGGTGAAAGATCCGATCTCAGGGCGTGTCGAAGACGGGACAACCTGCCTTGGTATAGGGTTCCCAGCATGTTTCAATTTCCAAGTGTCAAGCCGGTCCCTTGCGCCCTACTCAGTCCTGTTGCGGTCCCAGCATTTGATTTTCAACGCCCACAATTGTGCTTATCGCGACGTTCCTTACTGTCATCCTTTGGCACATATCCTTTCTCTCCAGAGCCCCCTACAGCTTCGAGGTTTTTGTTTGTTGAAATTTGGCATTTGCCCCTCTAGTAGTGCTAATCTATCGTGAATCCTGTTGGTGTGCTCCTTGGGCAAGCAAGCCACGAGTTTACTCAGGAGGGCAAGGCACACATGTGCTTGCATGTGTGGATGCAAGCTTCGGGAGGAATTTGATTCCATCCCATGTGCCGGTCTTAAATCACCCCAAGTTCCCAGCCCAAGCCTATAAGCACATAATCTCGGAGGTTACATGTTCTTCCTTTCATTCATCCACATACCTTTTCTATACTTTTCTCGGTTTGATTCTTCATTCTTTTGGCTGCTACTTCCAACAGATCTCTTCATCTTTCCATCCTTCTCTCTTCCTTCGCGAACTTTTCATCGCTTCATCGCTTTATCGCCTACCCAACTTCCTATCTGACATTCGCTTCTATTAAACTGCTCTTTCTTCATTCAACAATGAACCGACTAGGAATAGCCAATAGCGAAGAGGTCCCTCGGCTTTCTCAACCTCAAGGCCGGTCTCATCCCCCTCCCAAGCTTTATGTCGCCAATTTTTCTTACCCCCGAAGCAATGCCGCGCATTTCTATCCCCGGGTGCAGCCGATGCTTTCTCCTACCCGAGATTCCACGGCATTCGACACTTCAATTCCCCCCATGGTTGAAGACCATGGATCGGATTTCTCAGCCGACGAGGAGAGCCACGATTGTGCATCGGGCGATCTGTTGGATTCTTTTTGGCAACTCAAGGAACAGCTAGACAGGAAACAGGAATACTCACCTCAGAGCGCTGTTGCTGGACACAACTGGGCCCAAGATGAACCAGGTATCTTTGAAGCTGATTCACCCGTTCTCCCTGTGACGGCAGTCGGTCCGCCAAAGCAGCAGGAGCAGCTTCTGCAAAGGACTATGCCACGGCCTGAGCAACGGCCACAACTCCTCAAGGCGGCACCAAAAGTGACCTATTCTCTGTTTCCACCAACGAAGCCGGAACCGCAAATCAAGAGACAGCCGCTGTCGCCTGTACCTCAGCGTCAGCCTGCTTCCCTCCCTCAAGCCGAAGCTCTGGAACCCTCGCCAATTCTGAGCGGTACCTCAGCAGTCCCTTTCTCGGGGAAGGTAGCCTTCGCGCCCAGAGGTGACAATAACCTTCCTCCAGCTATTGCGCCAATCTCTGGATCAGAGGCTTCCTCGAGGGTGACTTCGCCAATTTCACCGCAAGATTATCCTCCAGCAAGCAGCTCCTCGGATTCATTCTCCCTGATTCTCCAAACGAACACATCACCACATCAATCACCTTCTGCTTCTCCAATCGATGCTACATCTCCCAACCGTCTCGCCAGATACTCATCGCTTAAGAACTTGCGAACCCTCGGTCTTTCCAAGGCCAAGACACGCTCATCTCCCTCCCTGGCACAACTTGCGAAGAGCCACAGCGATCGACCACCACAAACCCAGGAGCCAGCCCGTCTACCTCAGGATGCCACTCCGCTGCACTCCGAGGATCGGAAACCGCCCCCCATACCTCTAGTCCCTCATCGGCCCCCTCCTACCCCACCACCGGTCTCCGTCTTCGAAACGGACTCCGACGACGGCAGTGACGAAACCTCTCGACACGCTAACAAAAGCTTTTGTCGCCGACTTGTCCATGGCTTGGTCCATCCTTATCGTCACCACAACAGCCCTAACCGCAGTCATATCCGACACATCAGCAGTCCCCTTCTATTTTCTCATATCCGTCGGGGCAAGGTCTCCGGTCAGCCGCCACATAAGCGGAGTGTCAGCGACGAAGGGCCATCTGGGTTCTCTAAGGCGTTCAAGCCCCAGACCGGCCATTTCGTGGGCGGAAAAAGTGAGACCAACAGCAGCAGTGGTGGTAGTGGGGTTCTGGCGCGAACGATCTTTTCGTCTATGAGAGCAAGGAATAACAGCAGTGGAGGAGTGGTCAGTGCTGGTACTGGTGCTGGCAGTAGTGTTGACAGCGATGTTGGTAGCGGCGAGCAGCAAACGCCACTGGGGAGACGTGCAATGAGCATGGATTTACCAAGGAGAATGGGCTCGGATGATAATCTATTGCCAGCCGAGCTTCGGGAGATGGAAAAGGAGAGAATGAAAGATAAGTTCTTGGGGCGGTTCTTAAAGCGGAAGCCGTAAGCTCTTTTTCTGCTTTTCTTGCTGCATTCCACAAACATTCGTCATGGAATCTGCCGAATCTCGCATCGGAAAACGCACTTTGTATTTTTTTTTTCCCCTTTGCTGTCCTACATGCCACCTTGTCAGACGCCGGCACCAAGCTTCTGTTTGGATGGATAGGGCAGGGATATCGGGATGCTGCATAGCATACATGATCAATGCAGTGCAACAAACAGTTAGCAGGGATAGGACTAATAATGGGAACAAAGGATGTGAATAGCAGTGTTGTTGACCTGTGTATGATTATTTCTGGTTTAATCTATGACTGTATATGGGTGAAGGCGGTTCAGGATCGGGATCGTGCAACTTCTTTATGTTTACCAGTTGCGCACCACGGTATAATGGGATGGTAGGATATGCTTATATATTTATTAGATTAGGTTGGCGATTTTGGGGATGGGGGGGGGGGAGTTCACAAAATGTTGGTATCATTTAGTACTGAACAGTGGATTGTACAATATGCTTCATTTTCATACACTCAGCATAGTTTCTTGAAATCAACACTATTTGATTATAGGGAGGGTTACGCAAACTTAAGGGAGCTGTTGGTTACTCCCATATACCAAATGTTTTTCAGGTTAAAGAGTGTTTTCAATGGAATACAGTAGGTCCGCCGCCAACTACATGAGTTGGAAAGGTAGCTGATATGCAAAGTATACATTCTTGCGTTGCTCCCCTTTTCATTCTATCATCTTCAGAACTACAATCATAATTCTTAACTATGTGGATCCGTAGCTCATTAATAGCAGGTATATTCATCTGCATAGCCGTCTGTTCATGCTGCTTCATGTCAGTCATAACCTTGAATTATCCATCATCTCATCAAATGCAAGTCATCCCATCTTGTCAACGCCAGATATATGCTAAATCACTAAGCCACAAAAAGAGAAAAAAAAAAAAACAGGATCGCCACCCAATCATCCATACATACGACCGCACATTGTACATACTGTATGTTGAGGTCATATACACATTCAGACACTACGTATAAGGAGGTGAATGAGGATATCATAACAGGGCTGCTCGCCCAATCTGGCTCTTCCTCACTTTCCTCCTTTTTTTCAGTAAACCTCTTAATCCTCCAGATGGCCAACTGATCTCCACCGACACCGAAGGCAAATACCCATCGAGTCTCCTCGCCAGCCTTACCCTCAACCACGCCCAGCCGATGAAGCAATTCCGTCTTGCTGGACACGCCACGGAAAAACTCTGCGGGCGATTCCTCATCCTCTCTACCCGGCTGCTGCATCAATTTCTCTTCCTTATGTTCGCTGTCCATGCCGCCAACCAAATAGCCCACGATCTCTCCCAAGCAAGTCACGCCATGCGGCATCCGCATGGCGTCTCTGCCAGGAAAGAGAGCAGCCAGACCGAGTACGTACAGCACGCACATGGCCAGCAGCAGGGAATACCCGGGCATGTTGGGGAACATGCGGACTTGGCCCTGACGCGTGGTCAGGGCCATGAAGGAACCACCAGCGAGGACAGGGATGAGCAGGAAGAGCGGAGAAAGGAACGAGATGAATGCTAAGCGCCAATGCCCGTTAAGCAGGGCGCGAAGTGGCGTTTCGAAGGGCAGGCAGGCGGGATAACCGGCCAGGAGGGTCGCGCTCGCCGGGGCTCCTCCCCCAGATGTCGGATTGCTAGCGTCATTAGCAGACGAAGATAGTGTAGCCCAGGGCTGGAGAATGCGGAGGTGCATGTCGAGAGGCTGGAACAATAGGAAGGCAAGCATGCCGAGCAAGGCAGGGAGGAAAGAGTAGAGGAAGTCGGCAGCAGAGAAGGCGCCCGGCTTGGGGTCGGCACGGAGCAGGGGCAGGAAACCGTCGGCGATGCGGGTTGCGGGAAGGAAAGAAACGATGAAGACTGCGAGGACCAAGACAAACGCCGTAATAGTAAACCACAACAGCTGATTGGTGCGAAGACACCATGGCAGGTAGCGGGTGCGTGCTTGGGTGCCGATGGGACGAGCGGCCTCGAGATCTTCGTGGTCGTGATCATGGTGCTGCTTGCTGGTACCGGAGAGGAGACCTTCGGCAGCCTGGGAAGCTCCAGCGGTATGTTTCTCGGAAGACTGCCGCTCCATGCGCTGGCCACCGGATGGGTTGAGAACGGGAAACAGATTGCCGTCATCCAACGGGTTGCCGAGGGTGTACCAGACGCCAGGGCGGCCGTCCTTCCAACTCCAGTAGCCCAACCTGTCACTTGCGCGACGGCGCAGAGCAAAGCGGATGCCTTCCCGCGAGCGAGCGAGCTGAGTTCCGCGGTAGTCATCGGCTGTGTTGGTTTCGGAAACAAGAGCGGCGATGTCAGCGAGGGAGCGCGGGTCCCAGACAAGACCGGTTTGCTTGACACTGGCCCAGTATCTCCAAACAATGACGGTCGAGACGAGAAGAGCGAGGTACAGGGCCACAAGCGTCCACGCGACGCCTTGAACAGTGGCCCAGGTCCAAACGTCGTCCACCAGGATAACGGTGAAGAGAGAGCTCTGCAGAGGAACGGTAAAGTTCATCAACCAGGTCACAATTACCGCCACCCACACGTTCCAGGGCCCGACCAGGCAAGGCCAAAGGAATGTAGTTGGATACAGCTCCTGGAAAAGCGCGCCATCCCTTTGGTCCCGGTTCTCAGAGGCCAGTCGCACAAAAGGCAGGATGCGGAACATGGTTGTGACAAGGAACTGAGAATAGAGCAAGATGACTCCGGCAAGAAGTTGGGGCAAGAACCGAAACACGAAGTAGCGTCCTCCATGGATGGCCACCCAAGTCACAAGACCCCGGTTCTTGTGGGAGTAGACGGCGCTGAAAACGAGAGCAGCAATCATGAGAACGCACAAGGTCATGAAAGCGAGCAGCGCGGGCGTGCGCAGCGGCCATGGCCTGAAGGTCAGCGGCGGTGGGATCCCAGAGGCCTGGAGCTGGTATTGATGAGCATGATTGAGCAGGTCCTCACGCTCGACAAACTTCCACTCGTGCGGCAGCACAGGACGCGAGCCATTCTTGAGCAAGCTCTCGGCGAGCGACTGGGCAGACGCCCCTGAGTTGTGAACGTGATCATCGGAAGGGCGTAACGCCTGACCCTGTGGTGATGTCGCCGGCTGATCGGGGGGATGGGAGGTCGGAGGATGTGATGGCAGCGGCTCTGAAGTGGGCTGCCGGTGCTGGATGGCCGGAGCGGGCTGTTGGGCACCGGGGTAGTGCGATGCTGGATTCGAGGAGGAGGAGGAGGAGGAGGGGGGATGGCTGTTCGAGTCTCTGAGCGTGTTCGGGCCGCGGGTGAGGGCCTCGATGGCGTACTGGATGTAGGGCGTATTGTCAATGCCCGGAGTGATGACACCGTCGAGACGGGCGAGCTCTTCGCGGAAATCTTGGTTCATGTTGAAGTCTCTGGGTGGAGTGGCCGTGACCCAGTCGGGCTGGTAGTTGGCTGACAGGGGAGGGATGTCGGACACGCGACGGTAGGGGCCCTCGATGACGATGGGACGGCCGAAGGACAGGCCTGTGGGACGATTGAAGGGAAGATCGGGCTCCGCGGCTGCTGGCGACGGGATGGGAGTGGCGTCGCTGGGGGTCGACACGAGTGGCGGCGTGGGCGAGGGCAGTGGCAGCGGCGTTGGCGATGGCGGCGGAGGGGGAAGAAGCTCCGAGATGGAGGTCGCTCGATCCGTTTGCTCGTGACTTTGACGAGACAGATTGGACTCTACGAGTCTCGGGTCGGCCGGGTGCTGACCGTGCTGCCAGTGTGAGTCCAGGGTGCCGTTGTTGTTCCGATCCCGCGAGTTCACCGCGCTCATTGCTTGGAGAGACACAGCACCGGCACGGCAGCACGACCACGACCAAGAAGACGATGACCGACGACCTTCGACCTATGACCAATACAACCGGACCAGGGCCACCTCCGGGTGTCCGCGTCTGTATCCGTCCTCCGTCCCAGATTGATAGACTGAAGTTGAGGTTGCGAAGTAAACTTCAAAAAGAGGATTCAAGGGCCAGGGCCGATGGCATTGGACGACGTCGGGGATAATGATCCGTATGCAGCTTAATGCATCCTGCAGCATCGACCTCGGGGTGAACCTTTGAAGATTAGAGTCGAGTTTGACGCGGCGCCAGCTGCCCGGGCACAGTGAAGTGTGTTTTTGAGGCTAGGGTTGAGCAATGAAGTCTGCAAGAGAGAACATGGAGCTGGAGCGTGAAATGCCTGCTAAAATGCAAATGCAAAGAGGGCTGTTGTGTGGTTGGGCGACCAGCAACCAGCCACCGACTTTCACCTTCAGGTTTCGGCTGGCCTTAGAAACTGAAACTGACATTACCCGATTTTGAATGGGCATCAAACATCGTGCACACAGAAAACGCCTTGAGAGCAGCTGCAGTCAAAAATTTGAGAATGAAGATGAGAATCGGATTGAACAAAGATGTGGTCAGCATACGGCTTATGACTTCCTCTTTATTTCTCCCTCTGGGCCGAGACCCCAGGGCTCAATCTTCTCCCGCCGGTCGAGGACACGCGACGGTGAGTTTTACAAAGGGGCAGTTGAGGTTCTGGAAGCTGGCTGCCAAGCAGCCTAGCAGTCAACACCCCGCCATCGTTCGTCCAATGACGACAGACAGAACCACAAACACTCTGCGGGGAGATCTGGGTTCTTGGATGCATCTCATTGGCCAGAGCTTCAATTCACAGGGCTGACGTCTTGTGGGATGGTCCACCGCCCGTTATGGAAAGGGGATATCGTCATCTCTCTGGCAACTTGCCACGCGGTCCTGCTCACAACGTCAACAGTCAACACACTCTCGATAGGGGTTCCACTTGGATATCCGGCTCTACGGAAGCTATCACTTAGTGCAGTGTTGACAATTTTCTTGGACATACGAAAAGGAAGGCGGAGTTGTGCATTTTTGTTCCAACCCCTTCTTCTCCTCCCCCCCCTCCCCACCCCCTCCCCTCTTTCTCTCTTCTCGGTCGTCGCTCTAGGGCCTTTCTTTCGGTTCTGCTCGTGTTTAATGCGGACTGAAGCCGAGCGACTAAATAAGTGTTACCATTGAGTGCATTGAGGGGCAGACAGATGACAGATGATTATCATGGTGATCGAGTTGAATCTACACAGCGCAGAGAAATATCTCCAACTGTCAGTTTAGATACAGATACATAACCGGTAAACAAGCATTATGGCCTTCAACAAATGCCCATAGTCCCTAGAGAGAACCGCCACCATATGCCGCAGATCCAATACAGCAATTCAGTAATTCACCATCTTGACCCTACCCTTAACATCCTCGCCAAGCTCATCGAGAGTCACGAGTCCCAGAAGAACACAATCCCCAAGGAAGAAGAATGCCCTCTCCTGTGCATAGCCGAGGTAGTCAAACTCGTCAGAATCTGCCTCTTCCTCCGAACTCTCGCCGGCCTCTCCATCGCTGCCTGCACGGCCATTTGTGCTGCACCTGGTGTTGACACCCGGGACTTTGGCCTGCACGATGCCCCACGCAACCCATTGCGCGCTGTTGGCCGTCCGCCACAGCCGTGTTTCCTCCATCAATTCTCTAACTTTAGCCTCCGTCTCTTCCTCCTTACGCTGCTCTTCTTCGCGCCAGCTGCCTGATGGATTCATACGGGAATCGAGGTCAAAGTCTGAAGCTAAGCTCGCCGACGTAATTGGTGTTGCAGAGGCCGGTACGGGCGATGCAGGGGACGTAACGGACACCTGCGGATGGTGGTCGACATAGGCCCGAATGAAACGGAGCTGCTGCTCTGGAGTCGGATAGCGTGATGTGTTGCATGCATGTGGACGAACTGGGTCGTGGTAGTTGTAGGTCCATTCAGAGAAATGGTTGGCAAACTCGCAACCCGGCAGGTTCGCACCTGCATATTCAAAATCGATTACTACCAGCTGCTTATGCTCGTTGGCTGGCCGAAGAAGGGGCGACTTTTGGTTGTCTGGCCGAACGCGAAGGATATTACCATATTGTGCCTGTGGTAGAAAAGGTTAATACACACTGAGAAGTAAGGAATGATCTCAGTCAGGACTGTCTTACATCGTTGTGAGCGAATACGAGCTTTCGGCGGATATTCTCAGCATTGCCGTAATAGTTTTCGAGATAGCGGCGATACTTCTCGACCAGTGCTTTGAACTTGGGCCACTCGACGCCGCAAACGAATCCACGGGCCTTCCATGCGGATGAGGGCTTAGCAAACGAACCATTTGCCATCGCATATGCCTTGACCTGCTCATCAAGATAGAGAACCGTCTTCTCGACTTGGCCCAGCCACTTGTCCCAGTTCCTCCACACATTGGGGCCTTGAACCCTCTCTTCGTCAAGGAGCTCAACACCGTCATGCAGTTCCCTCATACGCTTGGCGATCTGCTTCGATGTCTCGGGTTCCCGCATGCTGTCCGACGTCAGAGCAGTGGCGTTTAGATACTGCTCAAACCTGCCGTTGAGGAAGGTTCCCAGTAGTCGTGGGCCGATTTTTTTACGAGCGAGCCGTCGCAACACCTCCAGCTCGTGCTCTCTATCGATTAGGTGTTCCACCTGGGGACCATATACTCTTAGCAGCACCTTGCTTGGCTGCTTCTTGCCTTCCTGTGGTGGTAGCACTGCTTCCGAGGGGGGCGAGACAACGTAAACAGCGTTCGTCAGCGCACCGCTCAGACGCTCAACCGAGATAGTCTCGCCGCCATCGAGGGGAACACGCCTCCAACCCTTGAGTTTCAAAGTGTGTGCGATGCGGATGATCTCGTTCTTGAACGTGATCCATGCCTGCTTTTCCTTCTCTTCCTTGCGGCTACTTGCGACTGATACCGTGTCGTCACCAGCCGCCTTGCCACCCGAGTATCCCAGGGTCTTGGAATTGTCTAGGAAGGCATCGCAACTCGGAACAACGATGTCGCCGTCGAACCATTCAGTGTCGGATGATGCTGTCCTGAGGTTCTTGCTCGACCGCTTCCGATTCTTTCGCGTCAAACGGGGGCTGTGTTGCGGAATCGAGCTCAGCCCCATGGCAGCCATGTTCTCGTTGATAATCGCTTCAAGCCTGTCCAGGGAAACTTCGCTCGAATCTGAATCGAGCGAGTTTGCGCGGGGCCGGCCAGGTTCTGAGATTCCGGCAGCGACATCGGTCGGGGAGGACTTCCACTGCAACTTGCGTTTCCGGGACTTCCGGCGCTCTCTTTTGGTCTTTTCGCGCTCAACCCAGTCGGCCACCTGGGCCATGAACCTCTCGGTGATCATATCTATCTTATGGCGATGGTGTGGGTGAGGATGGCCATGGGCGTCCTCCGCCAAGACTGGTGCAGTCGAAGCTGGGGAATCAGCGGCGCCATCGTAGCTCACCTGACCCACGGTCGAGGACCGCGACGACGCAGTCGAGAGGGGTGGGCGCCCGCTCAGTCTCTTGGCAACGCCAGCAGAGAACTGCTTCTTGACCTGCGTCTCGTCAGGAGAGGACGGTTCTGGCTCGGCAATCTGAACAGCTGACATAGTCAATACAAGTACCGTCTGGATGAGAAGGACAAGAAATGACAGTGAAATATTGAATGAAGCAAAGAGGAAGAATGGGACGAAGTTTGCAAGAGAGCGGGGAAGAGAGGGGGCTATCTAAGAACAACGAAGACCAAGCCATTTGAAGAGAGAGAGAGAGAGCGCGGTAAAAGGCAGCAACCGAGCTCAGACGCAGGCGCGCGTGACTGGCGACGAGGACTTTGGGGGGACGTAAACGGTAGATCAGCCAATTTACCTTTGACCGCCCCCGTTTGGGGGATCTTGTCGCTGTCGCCGTCTGATTTCAGGGCTGAACGCCTTGGCTGCGCTGCGGCACCTGTGCTGGCCGTCATGGTTACATTCACAAGCCCATGTATGGCGCCCGACTTCGAAGTGCCGATATGCCTGCTGTAATTCAGACGGGTCTGCGATAAGGGTCGCGTAGGCTCCCGTTTTGGTGTGTCGTGAAACGGGGACGGGAGCGGGCAAAGCGGGGTGACCAGACACTGTGGAATCCTTTGGATGGAGTTGAGACGAGATAACCTCGATTTTATCTTTATCCCAATCCTGGACTTTTCCTGGACGAGTCTCTCGGCTCTTTCGTCTCTTTCAGCTGCCGAGGCGGGTTTCTAGAGAAAACTGCGTGGCCATCAAGTATGCAGGTCGCGTGTGGTGTTGCGATCGAAGGAGCAATCCCATCCAAAGTCAGGTCAAGTCTTCCGCCCACGTGAGAGATTTGTGGTCGGAAATTCCGGGGATCGGGGGCGGTTTGCTCAAAGTGGAAAGTTTTTGGTTCCAAACCATGGGATGTCTTGTGGAGAGGGTCCCCAGTCGCGCTGATGCGCGCCTAGTGCTGCTGTCGGGAAGCAGCCGACTCGAGGATTGAGGAAGGCTCGCGTGGGGTCAGGCTCGGATGACCCGTGCACAGTTCGCGGTTATGACGTAGCCGGCGCTGCATGCTCTGCGACGAATGGTCCCAGCTGTTTGGGACAGTAACGCGTTTTGCATGCATTACGGATCATACGAAGGTCGGCCGCGCCTATGTGCCCCCCGCAGACTGTAAGGCCGAGGTACACAATGTCTCAGAGGCTGTTTGTTTCTGATAAGCCATGGCCAGTCGCCACGAGATGCGCGATGCTTAAGAGGTACCATACCAACCTAGGTGGTACAGGCTACAGATTTGAGGATGATTACGGACTGCCGGTAGTCTAAGTGCCGCAGTACGTCAGGATGGAATGCGGATCACGACGCCCATACTTTCCTCACATATTCCGGCAGTATTGATGTCCGAACTTGAACTCCTAGTTCGCTGAACTGTTTGAGCAATTCTTTAACAGAACACTAATACTTAGGTATCATTCATCAGCAAGGGGGGAGATATTGTACAACATCCTTAATTATACAATCGGCATTCGAATACAGTATGCCAGCACCGCCCGTCAGCTTTGAAGCCCCTCAATCCTTCCGCCACTGGCCCCTCCAGTCCTTCATGTGGTCGAGGATGATTTTGGCGCCTTGTTCAGGAGAGTGCTGCCGTCCCAGAGCCTCAACAAAGTCTCCGTCGGGGTCCATCAGATAAAAGTAGATGCTGTGGTCAACCAGATAATCTTGACCGGGCTTCACATTGCTGGGAGTGCTGAAGTAAACGCGATAGGCCTTGCACATAGCCTTGATTTGCTCATATGTGCCGGTTAGACCTAGGAACTTGGGGTGGAATTCGACCAGGTACTCCTTCAGTTCCTTGGGGCCGTCGCGAGCTGGATCGCAGGTGACAAAGACGGGGGTCAGGGAATTGGGGCGCTGTTCCTCGACCAGGTCGAACATCCGTGCCATTTTATCCAGTTCATCAGGACAGATATCTGGGCAGTGAGTGAAGCCAAAGTAAACCTTTCAGAACGATCAGCATGAGTGTACCAATGGCCAGCTGGCAACGATATGGCATATCTGGCACGTACCAGGGCATACCGGCCCTTTAGGTCCTCATGTGTCACCGTATTACCGTTCTGATCGATGAGGGAGAACGGACCGCCAACTTTGGGCTTGCCGACCCCCTTTGTGGCCTCTGCTATCCTCTTGCGCTTCATCCGCTCTTTTTCACTCTCGAAGTACCACACCAGGCCGATACCGGTGAGCACAAACAGGAGGCCGGCTTTCCATGAGAAGGGCTACCAAGCGGAATTGTCAGCTTCGACTGCTAGGGGACCAACGTGGAATCGCTCAGGGTAAGATGGTTGCTAACCCCTGAACGGTACCGGCTCTTCGCCTCCTCTACTGTCTTGTAAAATCTGCGTTGTACCAATGACTGGTGTGTCTGCGACAGGGGCCTCGTGGCACTTGGGGCGATTGGGCGCTTGGCGGGGGCGGCGCGGGCGGTTGAGATTGTGCGGACAAGCTGGCGAGGGGTTGCCCTCGGCAAGGCGTTGAGGGCAGCACGAACTGCTGCTGCGGGCTGTGGCATGGTGTGGAAGAGTAGAGCAGATCTCCCTCGGCGACCTCGACGTTATGAGCGGTATGTTTCCCGGCCGGGCTATCGTCCTTTCCTGTCTTTATTTGCTGCTATCCTGGGCCTGCATCAGCAGATCAAGCTTGAGCTTCTGTCGGATGCGCAATTGGTAAAAATCTCCTGATTGTCGCTTATCGCCGAGCGGCCCGTATAGATGCATATCGCCTAGGTCCCGTCGCCGAGCCCAAGAGCCTGTGAGGCCATGCCCCGATTTAAGCATTCCTGCGGTTTAAGCTTGATTCTAACTGCCACCCCCCCTAGCATTGACGAACCGTCAAAAAACCGTCGTCCATCTCAGTCTCAGCGCTTGTCCATCGGCTTCATCAGCGACATGAGTTGGCAACACCCAAGTAACTGAGACCAGGCTGTTTTGGTGCACAATTCTGAGGATTATATATTTATCGTCACTCATGTCTGGACTGACGAGTTGAGTCTGCCATGCGCAGTTCGAGCTCACGGCCCCTCTCCATCTCATTGCCACCTTGCGCCAGCCCACTGGCTTTCATCTCGTCTTGCGGGTGATGTCCTGATGTTTAGTCACCTATGCAGTAGCCACGAGTTTATGGACGACTGAAGCACCATGGCTTTCTCGACGTCCTTCTTTGCGCTTGATAGCGCAGCTTCCACTTCAGATGAGAACCACCAACAGCTAGAACAAAGCAGCAGCATCGTCCACACAACCGAAAATGGCCTGCCCGTAAATGGCCAGCAGCCTCAACAGCCACAATACCAACAGCTTCATCGGTCTGCTGAATTGATGCGCTCTTCACCTGCCATCAGCCAACCAAACCCGCTCCAAGCGACCAGTGACGGCGAGATGACCAAAGGAATCAATGCTGCTACTAAATCTGCGGCTCCCAAGAAGGGAGTAAAAAAGGGAACGGCTACCACCACCAAGGCCCCTTCGAAGCGCTCTCGCTCGGGTGCTGGCTCTTCTGGCACCGCGAAGAAAGGAAGATCGGGCACATCCTCCAAGAAGCCCAAGTCTGGTGTTGCTGCCACGCAAACCGTTGGAACGGCAGACAACGCCGGGGACTCGAGTGAGTCTGACAATGGCCCCTACTGCTTGTGCCGTGGGCCTGATGACCACCGCTTCATGATTGCCTGTGATCGGTGCGAAGATTGGTTCCATGGCGAGTGCATTGGCATGGACAAGCACACGGGCGAGAACCTGGTACAGAAGTATATCTGCCCCAATTGCACCGATGGAGGCCGCTATACCACCCGCTTCAAGAAGCTGTGTTCGTTCGCAGGCTGCCAGAACCCAGCTCGCATTTACGACGAAGCCCGGCCCAGCATCTTTTGCTCTGCCGAACACTGTCAGGCGTGGTGGGAACAACTAATCTCTACATTGCCCAAGAAGAGGAACCCGGGCGACCCTGATTATCTCACTCAGGAGGAGTTTATGGGGCTGTTAGATGCCCAGTCGGTGATGAAGGAAGAAGCTGGCCCACATCCAAATCTGCCCACAAGCCCCTGGAAACTCGGCAAAACCCCCTTTGGTTAGTGCATCCTTGCCCTCTCTATCTCCTATTCATTATCTAACTTCTCCTAGAACCCCCGCCAAACTTTTGGGAAACTCCCATTTCTGCGCAGGCTCTCACGCCAGAAGAGTACGCGGAGCTTACAGCCTCGGCTGAGACTCGCTCCAAACTTAGCGAACAGATCGCTCTGTGCCGTCAGATGCTTCAGCTTATTGAGCTTGCAATCGCACGTCGTGAGGCTGCCATCGCTGCCGGTATTCCCGGAATCACCAAGGACATATGTGGTTATGACACCCGCCTAGACACGGTGGGCGCTGCCCATCAGTTCTCACTTTTTCTGCAGTCCCCACAGGGACAGAGTATCTTCAGCACGAGAAGTCTAGACAATCCCCCATATGTCACTACAACCATCAAGAACCCAGAAGACGACACACCTGCCGCCACGTCAAGCAACTCGGCCGAGACAGCAGCAGGCCAGGATCCCCGCACGGCTGGCATGTGTCTGCGCAAGAAATGCAAGCCACACAACGGGTGGGGTGCCCTGCTCACCAAAACAGTGAGGCATGATATTCGCGAGCTAGCCCTGCAAATCAGGGAACTTCTTGAGGCTGAACAGCGCGTGCGCGATGGTGCTGCGGGGCGTTTCATGCGGCGTATGAAGGAGCGAAATGAGGTCATTGCTATTGAAGAGGACGAGGATGATGATGAGCATGGCAATGGCTTTCTTAGAGAAGAAAAACTTGGTCACAAGAGAAGTGATGGAGATCGAATGGACCTTGACTAACTGCAGAAAATGAGGAGGTTGCCTTAGTTTCCACCGTGCAAACATCGAGTGATACCTCAGTCTTGGAGGGGCATAGCTCTTTTGTCTCTCTGTTATGATCTGGGTTCCGGGACCGGATATTATACAGCTAAGACTAATGGTAGTCAGAACAGTACTGTGCGAAAATGAGAAATAATAGGTACATAGTAATCAAACCATATGTGGCTGCTTATCATCAACGTGTAGAAACCTATAGAGAACTTAAGAAAGAGGAAAGAGAGTGATCCAAGGTTATGTGAAGGCAAAAACACCAAGTACTTAAATGATGTGCCATAACTCATAAGTTGTCCCAAACTCCGACCCAGTAAAACTTGACACCTGATACAAAAAAACGTATATTAACTCCAGAGCTGGCCGCGAGGCCATGTTCCATTTTTATCCCAGCCGTGAGGCCTGATCCAAGGTCTTGCGAGATATCATCGTCATGAACGGGCATGGTTTAAATGGCGGGCTCTACCCGATCCGAAGCCATCACATCGAGTTATTAGGCACATAACCTTCCATAAAGCCATCGTTATTTCTCTCAAATGTAGGGAAACATTCTGAAAGGGGAAGTTTGTCATAAGTTCTTTTTAATAGCTGGAGGTGTACTCGATAATGAACGAGCAGGTACCGTCCACGGCATCTTTTCGTTTTGAGGATAGCTGATGCTGTTTACGGTCAGCCATGTTCGTATGCGATTGACAGCAGCCCGACTGGGCCAGTTCAACTGACAGAAGGAACAGATCAGCTTCGTCGCTTCCCAGAGCTAGAGTGTCCATGGTTACGATGCGATGAGTGGCTGTGGCCATGTCTCTCCCTTCTAGATGAGCTGCTACCAGAGCGATCCAGTTCGCGTTCCAGCTCCTCCGCATGACGGCGAAAGTCCTTGACAATATCACGAATGTTTGCTATTTTGTCGAATTCCAATTCAAGTTCGTCAATCTGTGCCATGATATCATGGTAACGTTGAATCTCCGCATCGGCGTTGTCAATAAGGTTGCCAGCTTGATCATATATGCTGAGTGTCACTATTTGTGACTGCTGGGTCAAGAACTCAAGGCGCTGCTGTATCGACTGCATAACCCGGTCAAAGTGTCGCCCAAGTTGAGCGAGGGATGAACTATCCATCATAAGCAGCCCCTGAGATGAAGCCCGGCTTGCTGCACGAGATGAAGTCGACCCGGGGTTCGCAGCCGCCACCTCCTGTTGTCCATTTTGTAACAACTGGACTTGCTCTTCGGTCAACCCAAGTTCAGAGGCCGGCACCGCATTTGCAGGCAGCTGCTGAGACGACGACATGGTAGTCGCATACCCTAATGGAGACCGCTTCCTTGCACAGGTCTGCCTGAGCACTGAAATACCACCCCGAATGCCCGGAAAATCAGGGAAATTCCAGCTACATGTATCACCCAGATGTCGACTGCACCCAGATATAACCTCCCCAGCCGTTTATGGCCTGCTCTCGGTGAAACCAACGTGCAATTAATGCTGACGGTGGCGGCAAGGCTTCTCGTTTTGCAACCACAGGAATAGAGTACCGCGTGGCAGCTGTTTGAGGGAATGACTGCGGGGCACGCAACAGCGATGGCACCTTGGAATCCAACTCGCCGGTCGACGGCGGGAGTAGATATCGCAACAAAGCCAGGGTGTTTGGGCGATTTATGGGCGCACGCGGCGTCATCATTTCGCCGGTCGTCGCGGTCACTGCTTAGATGCCATTCTCCGTACCCAGCGAGCGCAACAGTCACTTCGAGACAATGGATGGTCGGCTCGGCGAAAGGCAAGCTGACTTGACTTCCCGGACGATACAGCAGCACTAACGAGGAGGAAAAACGGAAGCTGAAGACGCAATGGGTTGACTAAAGACAATTATAGAAGAGTAGGTTGCAGAGATATGGAGAAGGACCTTCCCTGACCGATGGGCATTCGATGAGGCAGGCCACTGTGGGCTTTGGTCCGGGCATATGCACAGACACCTGCCCACCACGACTGCGATTGTGGACGACGGGGAATATGATTCTAGAACGAGCTTCTCGCCCTAGAATCCTGATGTGATTAAGGGCGGCGAGTGCCAGGTGATCCACTAAGAATCGCTGACTGGTTATTATTTTTTTTTTCGTGTTGATACAGATTACGGTAGCACGGATAACATGTTGTGAACTTTCGAGGGCCCCTCTGCTGTGGCTGCTGTGGAGGGGCACTGTGTCAGGTGACAGAGTGATCTCAAACAACCGGTCGCTGCACCGTATGCCAAGACTAGTCACGTGATTTAGTTCAAGATCGCAATCTGAATTGCCTCTCATGTTGCCCTTTTAGTTAGAACGCTTGCATACGATAGAGCCTCCCTTTGTCCCAGCTAAGCACTTGTCCAAAGTATCTATTTCTACCGTGTACGCAGTGATCTGAATGTCAGTGAACATGTTACTGACAACGCTGCAATTGCGTCGGTTTGTGACCACCAAGATACACCTTGAAGCTGTCCGCCAGGATACCTTGTAGCTTAGAACCATCCTAAGTTCGAGCTAACCAAAAGGTCCTGTCCAATGGCTAAAGCTTACATCCATATTAGTAACTTGAATGATACGTACATAACTCATAGAGATGTATCCACACTCTTTCACGGCCATGTTGCTCTACTGGGCAAGGTAAGCCAGATCATTGTGTCCATAGCCACTCTCATGACGTGACCTAAGCCTTTGACAAAGCACATGCTTAGAGCAATTCTTGTACTAGGTATGACTTTGATTCACAGGACTAGCAACTAGTCAGAAGGCCGGGTTGGTTGAGATACCTACCCCTTCGTCGCTGGCCAACTGGAGAAAGGACATGAAGACCACTAGACTAGATGACCTTGCGAAGACCCATCTCTCACAATGGGCAACATGAGCAGGCAGACCGTTCAATAGTGTTATCAAAAATATTGTCATTTTCTCTCTGGCCCAATACTTTATTGTAGATACTCATGAAAGAAAAAGGCGCACGACAATGAACCTTGTTTATTCAGGCTGAAGGAACAAATATGAAGGGCTTAGCTGCAAGATAACTTCAAACCCCCCTCCGGCCGAACGAGGATATGATATGTCCTCAGTTTATGACTCGACTACGTAACAAAGACCGGCGTTCTGATCAATATGGGAACAACGGAGGACCCCATTTCGAGAACCAAAAGAAGGGGAAAAGCCGATTCCTGTTCACAGTAGTCGCTCGGCAGGCTTAACTTTTTTTTTAAAAAAAAAGTACCTGACAACATTTGGCCAACTTTCAAATCTGGTACACTCTCTCAGGATTTCCCGGATGATCCACTATGACAAGAGAGCATGTGCAAATCTCGGCCCTTGTAGCACAACAGCAAATGGTTTAACGAAGCGACTTTCCAGATATACTTGTTTGACCAGGTACCATGGAACTTAAGTTATCATTGACGGGGCGCTTCCCAAAGATCCATGGCCCGTGGATGCATCCGTTTGCTAGCGCTCAGGCCGTTGGCAACTCTTTCGCGCCATACCATAGGGCGGCTCACTCCAGGAATGCCACACTCCTCTCCCTGGATCATATCATAATGGATGAGGTGCATGTTTCCGTCTCATGAGAGCCAGCGGGATTGTTGGATGGGCGAAGATAACCCACCATGTCTAAACCGCGAGTCCGCCATTAAGCCTTACGGTCTTCATCCAAAGCTTTCCCGGCATACATTGACGTCTTCGGTTGCGGGCTCGGAAGTTTGTTATCAATCATGCTTTGTTTTGCAACTTTAGATATTGTAGGCCTTAGTGTGCTGTCACAAGTCATTGGCACATGTCTTCAAAATGGGCAAGTGAGGATCACAAACTTCCCTAACACCAGGATTGACCCCTCCAACCATGAGTTTAATACCTATCCCGCAAACGCCAGCGAAATATCTTATCACCTTCGGCAATCTCACCAGTGATGGCGTTCTCGTTGGCTATCGCATTGGCGGGCTTGACTGGGCTTTCACAATCATTACTTGTGGGGAAGCTCACTTGTTTGTGAGCCCTGATAAACCGGGGTCTGACCTTACTGGTCCAATTAGCCTGTGAACTGTCGAGTTGCTGGTGACAAACTGGGCATGCGAAATTCAAATTCACTCTGTCCACGTAGCCAAGGGCGAAAGCTTTTCAAACTTCGTGACTATAATCCTCGAATTGAGGTTATTGGTGACAACCTTGCTGTTGGCATGTATACCTCTTATGAGGGCTTGTCTAGCTGGGCTTAGTAAGTTTGTCTCTAATATGTCGACCTTGTCTGATATCGACACAAGCGTCAAGTGGTCTTGGGACAGGCTTGGAAACACAGAGTGCTCCATAACTCCTTATCCTGGAATTTGTGCGGCAGATCAGGATTGTTGGGGGAATCCTCGGGAGCAGGTTCATCAGTGGCTTTACACCTCTGACACAAGTTACCGTGCGTCTGTGATCTGGGCTAGTGAATAAACAGATGCCTTCACACTTATGTATCGCTACTGGTGTGGCTCTTGCTCCCAGTGAAGTTCAGATAACACCGAGCCATGGGATTTTAGAAAGCATCCACCTGCCGACCTTGTTGCTATTAACATTGGTACCAAAGATAACAACCAAGAAAACAATGTATCTGCGCAGGCGTATATTGATGCTCTTACGAAGATAATCGAGGCTGTTCATGGCAAGTGGCCCAATTCTCAAGTTATCGTCATGGTAAGTGCCTTGTAGGCCCTTATTTTCTGACTGCAAGAAACCTTCACTTACGGAATTTGGCTATATTCTCTCTGGTTGGGATTCTACCAGTCTGGAAACAAATACCTTCTCGCTGCTCCTAGGGCTGTGAAATAGAAATTTGTCAACATGTCAAATGGTGAGAATTATTTGCAGCGACCTCCAGTGACTATACACAACCTGTTGACTGGTGCTATGTTCAATTCCGATGACTATCTTCGCGATACTGTTCTTTATGACGGCGTAACTAAGAAGAGCTAGAAGAACAAGAGATTGAAGCCATTTGTCCACTACTTCAACACCACTGGCATCATGCAACACGATGATATTGCACCACTATGGCATCCAACGGATGTTGGGGCTATCAAAGTCTATCAAAGTTGCCAGCCATCTTCAGCAGTTCATCCGAATGGAGTTTGGTTGGGACTTTTACGACGGGCCCAGAGTAAGCCACAATACTGCTTCCCTGAGATGAAATGCAATGTTGACTGATGGGAAGGGTATATTACGAGACTCTTTACCGGAACGACGAGTCCAATTACTGGACCAATATTCTCGGTTGTCAAATACGGATTAGGAAGGGTTTCCTAGCGGCTGATTCAAGTTTACTGAGGCTGTTGATAGGATATAGGAGAGCATTCTGACCTCTCTAAGCGACTTTCAGTGAAATGGAAGCACCGAAATCTTCTATTTAGAAGGGCTAAGATCGCAAGCTTGGGTGTAGCCTAATTCATACTTCTTGCTTTGGGCTCGTCCGTGGTAGTATCACAACAAAGTGCTCAGCAGCAAATACAGGTTTTTGTCGAAGCTTCTGTATCTGCTTTTGCTCTGTTCTCCATTGAAAGGTGCCCTTGATTTAGGGTTAGGTGCGGATTGAACCCAGCTCGTTCCCAGCCCCTGTTGTTTACTTACAGCCAGCCTCCGAGCAACCGCACAGATGGCTTGGCTGCCGTTTGATCTTGGCAGGAGACGTCCGAAACCCTGTGTGAAACTGGTGCAACGTTCTTGGGCAAGGCCACTGCTACGCCAGCTTCGGCAGATTGGCGTATGTATGTAACTCCACACAGATTAGGCGAGCAGAGGTTTTTACGCCAAATGCTTTCGAGATGTTTGCTCTGTTTCGCCGAGTTACACGGAATGGGAATTTGAATCCTGCAAAAGTCTCACCGACTTTCATTCACATGAACCCCCCAAGCGGGGCAGAGGAAAGGAGGAGAAGCATCAAGGCGTTCGGGATATTCCCGCCAAAAAGCCACATCAGCAACGCATTGAGCGGAAGAATGCCGCATTCTTTCCGCTCTTCATCCTCAGCTTGCCAGCACAGCTGCCCTGCTACTGTGTTCTCAGCTCTGATGAGGAACAGCCCATGTGAGGCTGCTCACTAGCCTTGTAGCAACTCTTGCTGGAACTGACAGGTGACGAAGCACTTCAGGGTGGCATGCTGGAACCAATAGAAAAATCTACAGTACCGACATCTGCATTCGATTCCTTCATTCCCACAAGCACATCCATACCTTGTTCTTTTGATATCTTCTCGGTGGGGATCCATATCATCGGCGAAGTTCCTTTTCATTAAGGGGATTACGGATT